TTTAAGCAGAATCACAAAATTAAATAAATTTTTACAACAATTATTACAGCCAAAAAACTTGCGATAGGGTATAATTATTTTTTGCTCCATGTAGGATAGAGAAATCATTTTTTCCTCTCACCAAAACCCAAAATGGTAATTCTCAACGACTTTGTGTTATTGACTTAATTTCTAAGATTTTGATGCTATATTCTTCATTTGCTTATCAAATATGGTTATACACCTAATTGACCCAATATTGAATCACTATTGATTTTTTTTTTCTTTTGATATATAAACTTTGTTTTTAACAAAATAAATTTAGCTTATGTAAAAATAAATTGACGGTGGGGACAAAGAAGTAAAATTGAAACAAGAATGAGAGGAGAGTGAGCCGTGTGACCTCACAATGCACTTCTTTTGTCTCTCTCCCTCTCTCTCTCTCTCTCTCTAATGATCTCAAACATTGGCTTCTCTCTTTTCCCGAGAGGACTTCCCAATAACACAGTCCAAAGCTCTCTCTCTCTATTTCCGATCAAAAAGTTGAGTAGCTTTCTGCAGCAGTACCATTTCCAATGTCTTTGTTTCCCATTTTACCTTTTTATCTCATCCTTTGATCAAATCTTGACAAGTTATTATCGATTCTGTTAAAAACAAATTTTTACATACACACTCCGTTTTATAATATAAATCGTTTAAGATAAAAACATGCCGATCAAAAAAATCTTTTTTTAAAAAGTTTAGTCAATTATAAAAGAGACGACATAATATAAATAATTATAAAATATTAAAATAACATATAATTTATAAAAAAATTCGAAAACGATTTATATTGTAAAACAATAATCTTTATCCAAAACGTCAAAACGTCTGTATATTATAAAATGACAAACAGTGTGAAGAATACATGCAAGTTATATCTTTGTGACAAAAAAAAAAGTTACTATATCTAATTTGACATGATTTGAAATATATAGTGATTCTCAAAATATACTATACGGCAAAACCAGATCAAATACATACAAGTTATCATCATAGTACCAAAACGAGTTAATTCAGTACATATAAATCGTCACCCGACAGCATGAATAACTGAAAATATTACATATTGAATACTCCAAATATCGTTTTCTATCGGCTCAATAAAATTGAAATGTTCGATAATGACTCTAATTTCCAGCAAGACATTCCATACGGTTTTTTTTTTTGTTTTCTGATGGTTTGCGATTTTAATATTTATATACAATTTCCATGCACTTTTTACACCAAGGACGAAGAGGTTTTTTCTTGGAGAATGAAACAATTTCTGTATGTGGAGATTAATTTATTTATGCAATTTTATCAGATCCTATCCAACTTGTTAAAATTATGATTTAACCATAAATAATCTAGGGTAAAAGCGATCTTGTAATTCTTAATTTATTCAGGGACATACTCAAATAACACGTCCCGAGATTTCCTTTGTCGTATGTAGTTTAGATGCACGCTGTTCTACGTTTCTCATGTCCTTATTAGTGCATGAAATAACTTCACTTATAATAATGAAAATTGACAACGTATTATTTTAATTTAATACATGATTTTTGATGCCCTGCCCTGGCCATATCTTCGTCAGATTATGGCACTCATACTATCATACATATTTTTAAGTTATATAGTATATATTTATTGAGTATGACTATACTTCGCTTTCTTTTCTTTTACTTTTACCGTCTTATTGCACTTTGTAAAAAAGTGAAATGATCTGCTAAAAGTCATGTTTTACACTGGTCTGATAGGTTTAGACCATTTTCAAAAAAACTTCTTACGTGGAAACTCGTATCTACACTGTGAGCCTTGGTGGAGTAGGAAGATTATACACCAATGGCCTATCAACATAAATCAAGATTTGGGTTTAAAACTTCAAAAATGGAGATAATTTTACCATTTACAGTAGTAATATTTCTAAGGATAACAAATACGTTTCATGGTGTTTTTACTGATACAACTTTTTTTTTTTGTTATCGTTAAAATAGAAACGTATACATAACACGTTCAGATTCAGATTAATGAAATATTATGATAAAATAAACACACGTTTCTATATCAAGAAAATAACGATCTTCAATGAAGACAAATACCACCTAATCGTATAATTCATGTAATTAGACAAAGGGATGATTTCTAACACATCTTATTATCATAATATCGAAATAAACATTAATTTTTTAAATACGACAATTAAAACAAGTATGAACTTGGAATGTATAAAATCTACAGAGACGTTATTATGTGATTTATTCGTTTGATATACACATAGTCACATATGATTGCTAACGTAGACTGGAATTTCATATCAAAGATTCTGTTATCGTAGCATCCATTTTTATATGTAAACGATATTTTTGCGGTGATAAATTAAAAAACGAAATAGCTTACAACAAAGCATCCTGGCAACAAACAGCCTAATCTACATTTTAAAACATATCCCTAAGATTAGCTAGCATGTGGTTTAAGCGGAAACCCCGCTTTCTGAAATTCTAACTCGAGGACCGTACTTGTTCGAATCATGTGTTCATAATATATTCTAAACTTAATTATATATTATATCATTTTTGTTCTAAGACTTGATTGCTATAGTCATGCATAGTCGGGTTAAAATTCTAATATAATTTCCTATTGTGGTGTTTTAAAATAAAGATAAAGTCTTAACACATTAGCAGCACAGATTTTTCTTCACCAAAAAACCTCGTTTTGTAAAAAAAGTAAACTTTGAATACAAAACATAATCTAGAAAAACATAGTTTTGTACAAATACTACTTCGCATGTGCAACTGCAAACAAGAAGTAAACTTGGGTGAGTGTTCAAATTTTGTAGTTCTTTACAAATAGTAGTCATATCTATTTTCCTCTTCATTCGAAATCAAAGAAAAGATATATCTCTTCTCTGTAAGTAAAACCATATATATGACAAAAACCGGCATTTTCTTTTGCTATTAAATCTTCTTTCTCGGCTTTTGTCCAAACTTTCTCCATTTTACTTTTCACGATCTTGTTCTTGGCCCGTTTTTATGAACAATGAGTTTAAATGAGAGACAGAGGTTCAACAAAAACAATACTGTTCATCAGTGGATTGATAACAATACATCAGACATATCAAATTATCAATCCATGTGACTGCTAGACGCTATATCTCTGAGGCTCACGTTTAAGTAATGGGCCTACAAAAAAAAAAAAAAAAAAAAAAAAAAAAAAAAAAGTAATGGGCCTACACTGATACATAAACTTAGAAATAAATAGGCCTTTCATATTACCCAGATGGGTCTTAGGACCATCACTAATTTGCCATATACTTATAACAATCACTTTCAGATCCTGCGAATGTTCACAGTTGTACTTACATCCACATATTTTTACGTTTAAACAAGTCGGATTCTCAAATCAACAAAAGATTAGCAAGACATGTATATTATAATTCGAAAAAGAAAAATAAATACATAAGTTTATCCATGATTTTTAGTCTAATGGTTTGTGTTATAAGTGTTGTACTGTTGTTAATTATTCTGTCACCATCAAGATTAACATCCACATTATACATGTTATTGTTGACAAAAACAAAATCATGAAATCAATGTTGATGTTTAATACATAATCTATAACGTATTCAACAAAAGATAATATATTGTATAAAATTAATTATACAATTTTGTTACAAAAAGATATTGGAAAAGACATTTCAGACGTTATCATATAGTTAATTAAGTGATCCGATAAAAACATTTTAAAACTATATTCATTTTTTTGGTCATCAATTCATTTCATTCTTAAAAATATATATATGTATAATATTATTTCAGCCCGTCGTCAAAGTCACTACATCCCATATCCAATCAAAGGAAATATAATAATCTCTAAAAGACTAAAACCTTGTTATTATATAAAGATAATCACACGATAGCATGGATGCAACCTATAGACTTATTCCGTATATAATTAAGAACATTGCCTATAATTGGATAACGACGTGATGACGACATGGGATGAACCACGATGCAAAGACAAATTAGCAGGCCCGGCCTACCCATAAAGCAGGCAAAACATCTGCTTTAGGCCACAAAATATAAGAAAGTTTTTAGGGCCACATTACAAAGAAACTTGCTTAGTCTAGTGGTTATGTAGTCAATAAGTTAGTGTCAAGTCCTGAGTTCGAGACTTGTGTTCTACAGTTTTTGTTTAACTTTTTAACAATAGTTTTAAATAAAAAATTCTATTATTAAAAAAAAAAAAAAAAAAAAAAAAAAAAAAATTCTATTATTAAAATATGCTTGAGGCCCCAAATATACAAGGACCGGGCCTGCAAATTAGTGATCACTTTCACTAATTTAATTTATTTTGCTCGTCAACGTGAAACTTTCATGCGTAATTGCGTTATAAACCCATTGTACAAAATGCAATATCCTCTGCCAGACATACAACTTTTTAAATCTTATTTGACAAAATAGCCACCATCTCACACACCCAACTGGTTTTTCTAGAGGCTACCATAATGGTTCTATGATACATTTGTAAAACATATTATGCTTTTTAATTCGATATATCGAGTTGAATATTCACTCATATTGTTGATTTAAAAATTTTAAATGTGAAACAAAAGGCATTAGCGTTAAAGTGGGATAAGCCTGAAATTAATATTGGAATTGCACAATTACGAAGAAACTAAACAATTATAGAACCATCACATTAAGAAATCTTGGCGATATTTGCACTAAACGGTTGCTTCATTGATAAATACATCCCAACATCTTGACGGAAACATCACCATCATATCATATATATTTATACAAAAATGTTGTATTAAAATATTCATTAGTTATGCTGTCAACAAAAAAAAAAACAAAAACATTCATTAGTTATGATGCAACATCCTTTAAATAGTGCCATGGTTTAAACTTCAAAGTCAACCTACCAACCACACCCTTTGTAACCATTGAGCAACCTCAAATCGTAGTGTCTCTTAATGCTCCTCTAAGTTTTGATCATCCATATCATCTACTTTGATCTTCACACCAAATTTTCCTCAAAAAAAAAAAAAGAAAGGAAAAGAAAGAAGACAAATTAAAGGTTATTGTTTTTCATTGCATGGACCGGAGAGCCAAACCGACGAAAGTTTGGTCCTCATGAACCCCAAAGGTAATAATAATCTCAACCGTTCAATCATCGGTGGTCATGATCATGGCTCGATCATACAACTACTACTCTTTCTGCTACTCCTCTCCAGCCACGGCGGATTTCAGCTCGTCGCGGGTCAAGCCACTCACGGTGGTTCAGATGTTCCCGGAGATAGCTCTCGGTTTGACCCAACCATGGCAATACTCATGATCGTCCTCGTCAGCGTCTTCTTCTTTCTCGGGTTTTTCTCGGTCTATATCCGAAGATGTCTTGAGCGAGTCATGGGGATGGACTACGGAAACCCCAACGACGCCGGAAACTGGTTTGCCACGAACCGGCAACAGGCGCGTGGACTCGACGCGTCGGTCATCGAGACTTTTCCAACTTTCCGATACGCAACCGTGAAGACGCTTAGGATCGGCAAAGAAGCGCTTGAGTGTCCTGTTTGCTTAAACGAGTTTGAAGACGATGAAACGCTGCGTTTAATACCTAAATGCTGCCACGTGTTCCATCCTGGTTGCATTGACGCTTGGCTTCGCTCTCACGCCACGTGTCCTCTATGCCGTGCTGATCTTGTGCCCGTACCAGGTGAACCCGTCGTCTCTATTCAAATACCCGGTTTAGTCAACGATCCTCCCGGTTCTGATCCGAGCGGTGATCGGATTAGAGTTTTAGGTTCTCCGGACGCACGATTGATTGACTCGGTGGCGTTGACTTGTAATCAGAGCATGCCACGTAGGTCTATGTCTACCGGATGGAATTTAGCCGGAATGTTTACGAATTCTGATCGGACCGGTCAACATTCAGAGAATCTCGATCGGTTCACGCTTAAATTACCGCAAGACATTCACAATAAGCTAGTGAATCCCAGCCTTTCAAAAAGCCACGTGGTGTTACCTCATGTGATGAGTTCAGCGAGAGGATACAGAACCGGAAGCTTAGGAAGTGAGAGAAACTACTTTTACTATGAACGGTTCGACCAAGATGGCCGGTTAGACCGTAGACCATTTTCCATAACTCCTCCATACCGGACAGGTTCAATCAATAACACATCTCCAGGTGACAGTAGTGATCATGTGCGTGCTGGTTCACCCAAAAGTTTGCTTCTAGCAATGAAATCACCGTTTGATCGATTATTTCTTGGAAAGAACAACAACGTCGGTGAACGCTCGTCGGATCACCTTCGTTCCGGCGATGCTACACCGTCGAATACTGTGTAATTTGGTTATTGAGAAAGTCCATGCACATAATTTTATTTTTACTTCTGCATTCTTCAGTTTCAACTTTAATGTCTCGGAACAATCGAACATACGAATTTGGTTTAATAGGAATATTTATGAAATTTTGGGGCTAAATTGTAATAAAAGTATTTATACGGGATACGTAATGAAGTTATGTAAAAGTCTTGAGTCAAGTGAAAAAAAATGTTGCAAATGTCGTTGATCTGATCTGAGTGATGATGATAATGTTCAAAATCGCGAAAGCTACATTACGAAACAGAAACTCAAGCGTCGCTGCTTCGCTATTCTACTCTCTCCAAGCTAGTTCTATCTCCAGGTTAATCAAAAAATGATCCTTTGTTCCAGATTCTTTACATACGAATTTGTAGATCTATGTCCCCGGAACCTGTGTTTGTACCAAGTCGAGTGTTCTGAGTCAAATTTCAATTGGATTCTTTTTGTTTTCCGATGTTGGTTAGGCAAAGTAAGGTGGTTAAGACAGAGAGAATGGTTGAGACAAATGACATGCATGTAACTCGTGTCTTATTTTGCGGTCCGTATTTTCCTGATTCCTACAACTTCACCAGAGAGTACTTGCAACCTTACCCTTTTATTCAGGTACAAAAACTGTTTGATTTCTTCTACCAATTAATAAAGTTGAGAACTTTACTCTCCTAGACTAGTTTAAAGTTGAAAACTTTACTCTCTTAGACTAGTTTATTGTTGTGTAGATGCTAGTGTTTGAGTTTTTGGTTTTACACAGTGTTAATCATTTGGTGGTGTTACTAGTTTCCACTAAGTAGTAGTAAAAATTCTTATTTTGAGATGGTTATTGATTATTTTGTATGGTTTTGGTTCATATAGGTCGATGTTGTTCATTACCGTGATGTCCCTGAGGTTATAAAGAACTATCATATATGTGTGGCAATGACTATGCAAATGGATTCAAATGTTATATCTCGTGCAAGCAAGATGAAGCTTATTATGCAGTATGGTGTTGGTCTCGATGGTATTATATGTCTCAGTTTTCTTATTCATTAGTACTCGATAGAGCGTAAATGGACTCCATTTAAAGCTGAAATTTACTTAACTATTTCAAGCAATTTACTTGTGAAGGTGTTGACATTGATGCTGCTACTAAACATGGGATTAAGGTCGCTAGAATTCCTAGTGAGGGTACTGGAAATGCTGCATCTTGCTCTGAGATGGCTATATATCTAATGCTGGGTCTTCTTAAGAAACAGGTGTCCTGTTTATTTGATTTGCCTCTGTATGGTTCCATTAGTATAACTCTTAGTCTCTCTAGTGCTAGTTCTGATATTTCTTTCTGAGTTAAAGGTAATTCGTACGACATGTTGCAGAACGAAATGCAAATATCTCTGAGAAACAGACTACTTGGAGAACCAACCGGTGACACGCTTCTCGGTAAAACTGTGAGTCTTAGAGTGATCTTAAATCTGCATTAGATATCTTTGGTTTGTATCCCTAAAAAATGGGTTTTTTAATTTTATTTTATTTCTATCTTTCTATCTGTTATACAGGTATTTATCTTAGGATATGGAAACATTGGAATAGAGCTGGCTAAACGGTTGAAACCATTTGGGTCGAGAGTAATAGCCACGAAAAGAAGCTGGCCTGCTTCTATCGTCAACTCAGACTGTATGGCCTCTCTCTGTTAACTCCTCTGTTTGCCTTGACAAACCATCCCAAGGTCTAGTAATTTGTTAACTTATATCTTCAGCCAGGCTAGTTGATGAGAAAGGTAGCCATGAAGACATTTACACATTCGCTGGCAAAGCTGATATAGTCGTTGTTTGTTTGAGGCTCAACAAAGAAACGGTAATGTTTCCACTTCTCCTTCATCATAAACTGGTGAAGCACATGAATATGAAGAGTTGTTCTTGGTGGTGATCTGCAAATTATTAGATAAGATGGCTATATACATTGACTATTGTTTCTACATGATGATCTTTCAGGCCGAAATAGTGAACAAGAAGTTCATATGTTCAATGAAAAAGGTGATTACCGGGGCTATTCATATATGGTAAAACCGAGTTCGATTAGATTGTGATTACTGACGACTGTTGACATCTCTTTTGTTGTTTCAGGGTGCTCTTCTTGTAAATATTGCCCGAGGTGGTCTTATTAACTATGAATCAGCTTTCCACAATCTGGAGTCCGGTCATCTAGGAGGCCTTGGGATTGATGTGGCGTGGTCTGAGCCGTTTGATCCAAACGATCCGATTTTGAAGTTCAAAAATGTTATAATAACCCCTCACGTCGCTGGAGTTACCGAATATTCATATAGGTCCATGGCCAAGGTAAACTCATCCAAGGAAGATCCACTCTTTCTGACAACTCTTCTGCATCTGGTTGGAAATGGATTCTAAACTCTTTACTGTTGTAAAATGTAGATTGTCGGAGACCTTGCGCTTCAGTTACATGAAGGTCTTCCTCTCACTGGAATCGAATTCGTCAATTAATGAGGTAACATTTTCATGTAATATCATTGCAAGAATAATATCGTGTAACACCCCCAGTAGCTAATGTAAATTAATTCAAGTCTCTTTCTGATAACTCCGACCTTTCATTGCAAACTTTTTAGTACAACGGATTAGTAAATAAGCAAAAACTAATCTCTTGTACTTTACTCGAGTTTCGAACAAACCGATACTTCTGTGACCAATGACTACTCTTAACCCAAACTAAACATGGTAGTTGAATCATCAATCTATACTGTTATCTTTCCGGTTCTGTCTAGAGAATTGGAGACACATGGATCAGCGTCGTCAAGCTTTCTCACGACCTCTCTCATGCTCGGTCTGAGATTCGGGAGCTTCGTAGTGCAGAGAAGACCTGTCTTCAGAACCCTAATCATGCTTTCTTCTACATAAGAAGACAATACTTGCTTGTCCAAAACGTTTCGAAGGTTCCTCCGATCTTGTTGAATCTGAGAGTAGACATAGTTAACGATGTCTTTCCCCTCTCCAAACTCGTCTTCCATAGGCCGAAGACCGGTAACTAGCTCTAGAAGAACCACACCGAAGCTGTACACGTCACTCTTCTCCGTCGCCTTGAAGGAGTAAGCAAGCTCTACAGTCATCATATCACAACCACAAAAAAAAAGAATCAGTTCCAGTTTCCATCTTACGAGCCAAAGTTCAATTTTTCACCGGTTTATATCCAAAAGTTATGGTTTTAATTCTAAGTTAAAAAAGGCAAAACTTACCAGGAGCCATATAGCCATGAGTCCCAGCGACACAGCTCCATTCATATCCTTTGTCTGCAACTTTTGCAACTCCAAAATCTGCGATTTTCGACTCATAATCTCCGTCAAGTAAAATGTTGCTTGACTTTATATCTCTGTGAATGATCGGAGGACAACAATCATGATGCAAATATGCGATTCCTTTAGCCGCTCCCACCGCAATTTTATATCTGTTAATCAACAAAAAGGGACAACTTAATCACTTTTCTGTCTTATAATCTTGGATCCATGATTAACCATATTGAAATTGGTTCATATTGACCAGAGAATAGAGAACAGAAAGTACCTTTTGAGCCAATCCAATTCTGGTAGACCGCCTTTAATATTGTTGCGAAGAGCCTGATACAAGTTCCCATTCTCCATGAACTCAAACACCAAATATCTAGAACCTCTTCCAACCAAACAAGCGTAGAGTTTCAACACGTTTCTGTGTCTGATCTTTCCAAGAATCTCCATCTCCGAAACAGAGACCTCTGTTCCGCCAACTTCTTCTTCTCCTCCTCTCTTTAACCACTTAACCGCCACTGTCCCGCCACCCTTTTTCAAATCAACACGATACACTTTTCCCGCACTTCCAGCTCCGATCACATGATCTTCATCCAATCTACAAATCTCCTCAGCGTCCAGCTCCATTTGATGAAAAGACGCGATTTTCCATTTCGCATCCGCCTTGTTGCTATCTCCGTTTTCCGAACCAAGCTCGCGTATCTTCACAACTCTGTAACGCAACGCGAACAAACCAGTAACGAGTACTACCACAACAATTGCAAGAGCCAAGAACAAGAGTGTTTTATCGAGTGAACCATTCCTCTGCACATGTTGGTCGCCACTGCAAATGCTCAACCCCAAGTTCTGGCTTGTTTTAGCGTTCTGTTTATCAATACAGAGCTTTTCGTTACGTGAGAACGCGGTGGATCCTCCCACCGCTAAAAGATCCGGTGGTATTCTTCCTGAAAGTTGATTTCCAGACAAATCGATAAAACTCAGCTTCAACTTCAAAAGACTCGCCGGGATTTCACCCGTTAGCTTGTTCCCTGAGAAGTCCAACGAGTTTAAAGAAGCAATCTGAGATAAACTATTTGGTATTTCTCCTGTCAAGAAGTTGTTGGCGAGATTCAGATCAACAAGTTTGACACAATTTGTCAATCTTCGAGGAATAAATCCTGTTATTGAATTGTTTTCAAGATGCAGAGACGATAACTCTTTCAAATCTCCAACTTCCATCGGAATTTCGCCGGAGATATTGTTGTTGCTCAGATAAATCCTCTCTATATTCGTCAATCTTCCGAGTTCACGAGGAATCTTGCCGGAAAATCTATTGTTCTGCAAAATGAGCTGACTCAATTCCGTTGAAAGTCCGATCTGAGGAGAAATCTCTCCGGTGAGTTCGTTATCGCTGAGATCAAGCATCTTAGCAAGTGGTAGAGACCAGAATCCTTCAACAACATGACCACTTAGACGGTTTTTGTTAATCCTTAGTCTCAATAGAGATTTACAATCAGCGTAGGATCTCGGAATCTCGCCGGAAAAATCGTTCTGCAGAGCGAGCAAGAATTGTAGTTTCTTGTTTTGGCATAAGAAACTTGGAAACGGACCAGTAAACTCGTTTTCAGATATATCAACTGTGTCGAGCGGAGAGAACCGACCGATGTTAACCGGAAATTCACCGGAGAAGTTGTTTCTATAGATCGAAAGAGAAGTGAGGTGATGTAGATCGCCGAAACCAGAAGGAAATTCGCCGGTAAAGTTGTTCTCATGGCAGTGGAAAACTCTGAGCTCCTTTAAATTTCCGAGTTCTTCAGGTAAAGCACCGCTTAACTGGTTCGAAGAAACATCGATTTCGCGTAAACGAGTCAAGTTCTTTATCTCGGGAGGGATTTTACCGGTTAATCTGTTGTTGAACAACTCAATCTTGGTGAGATTTACCAATCTTGTAATCAAGAACGGGAAATCACCGGAAATTGCGTTGTTTGCGATGTCGAAAGTGTCGAGAGCATTCAGATCAAAGATAGAGTTTGGAATCTTCCCCGTTAAGTTGGAGCGAGCTAAGAACAGCCAAGTCAATTTCTTTAAACCTCCAATACTCTCAGGAATCATACCTTCTTCGTAGTGATTGTTGCCAAGACCGAGAGAAACCAACTTAGTCATATTACCAATCCAACTTTGAAACTCTCCGGTAAGGAAGTTCCCGGAGATGTCGAGAATTTCTAGGGACTTCAAAGGAGAAAGGTTTGGGATCATCCCGGAGAGTCGGTTAGAGGTGAGATTGAGGACTTTAAGGTTTGTGCAGTTGACTATCTCTGGCGGGATTCTTCCGGAGATGAAATTAGATGGAAGTGACAACGTAGAGAGCTTTGTGAGAGCTGAGATTGATGGAGAAATGGTGCCGGAGAGATTTGCGTTTCCTAGAGAAATACCAGTGACTTTGCCGGATAAGGGATCGCATGTTATGCCGCGAAACACGCACGGCGAATCCGAAGGTTTCCAAGATTGTAGAATGTTGTGAGGGTCGTCGAGGTGGTTTTTGAAGCGAAACAGAGCTTGTTTCTCAACGGTCGATTCAACATTTGGCGGGAACATTGAGAGGAGAATCGTGGCAGCCACGGTGGCGAGCATTCTGCCACGTAGGAGGTCTGGTCTTGTCGACATTTATGGTGATTACCAAGGGTAAAACGGTCAATTCGCAGCTTAGGTCTTGATCATGGTCGATGCACTGGAGTTCCAATACATAGAAAAATAAATATATGAAATCAACAAACCAACCAACCACTTCTCTTCATATGAAAAATTGAGTATATAAAAATGTAAGTTCTTTAATGTATGGGATGGTCATAGTTTTATGGTTTTCCAATTGTGTTTAGTATTATTGTATTCCATACACACATGTATGAATATTAAAAAAATTCATCAATCATAATAATGAATTTGTAAAAAGAATGAGTTCATGTGATTCGTATCTAGTTTTGTATAAATAATAAACTAGAAGTTGTATACATTTATAGATCATGTATGGTAGAACCAATAATTTATACCAAAAAAATTAATGTAAACGGACATATATTTAGCTTGCTTAGGTACTAAACATTCGCAAACTCCATAAGTGAGCTTTAAAGGTACTCATTACAGTGCAGAAAGTTTATTATCCTTCTCAAAAAATTAATTTTTGTAAATTATTTGGTTTGTAAGTAAAGCAAATGATCTATCTTTCACTCTGTCCTTCTAAATCTATCAAGGATTAATGATTAAAAGGTAATTAATTAAGCAATCAAGTTAAAAATGAGTCACACAGATTGTAGTTAGTGGATAAAGTAAAATATGTTATTGGTACAGCTAGTAACCTACACATTTGAAATTTTGAAATTTATAGAAACTTTTTCACAGAATCTATCCTTTAAATCTTTGGTAATAAAATAACCTTAGATTGAGTTACAAAAAAAGAGTGTGAGGCTTAAAGATTCAAAAGTAAATCCAAGAAAAGCAACAGATTAAAGAAAAGATAATGAAGAATTGTACCTGAAATAGATGAAAACAATCCAAAATCTCAGGTTGGTGAATGAATGATCCTTCTTAAATTTGAGAGAGTTCAAAGAAAGATAATCGAAAACAGAGTAATGAAAGGAGTTTGGACAGAAGTAAAAAGAGAGAGACCTTTTTGTGTGATTTTCTTGGACAACTTTCTAGGAAAATCTCTAGGTAACAACAAAAAGCAGAAGAAGTCCTAATTTCGAGGAAGTGCTTCGATTATCAGCTGATTTAGTTTCTCTCAAAAGATAGAATTCGATGAAGAACAGTTACAGAGAAAGATGTCTCCAAGAAATACGAAAGAGAGAGAGAGAGAGAGACTTTGAAGATGGAGAGAAGAAAGAGAAGTGAGAAGAGACAAGAGAAAGTTGTCGTTGAGACTTGGAGCCAAAAAAGGTTAACACATTTATCTAAATTCAACTATTCTCTCGCTAGCTCTCACACCATACACTTCATCATGTTCGTGAAAGTTATAAAAACTTTTAAAGTTAATAAAAATCATCTGACTATACTGATTTTGACATATGTTATGATGATCTTTCTTAATTGTCCGATTCTATAGTTAGCGTTGCTCTCACATTTAAGAAAATCCAACGGTGCTTATATAGTTTTTAATATTAAAAAGGATCAAACAACAGACATTGACCTAAAAAATTGTTTCATGAATGTAAAAAACTTTCGGTTAATGTTTCTAGATGGATTGATAATAAGTGGAGATTCATTGTAATAAAACATTTTTAAATTTTTTTATTATAATGATACGTCATTGTCTGGAAAGTAATCTTATTTGATTTTTGTTTTTGTGATAGCGATAATTGATCATATTGGATTAGTAGCAACTATATATTGTTGTATATATCCAAAAAGTTTAATACGCGAAAACATTTATATTCATATAGTTCATCTTATAAAATGATATAAAGAAAAGTGAAAAATTACTATATAATTAGGAAATGCTGATTTATTGGATTTTAGATTTTAAGTGGAGATCTATTTTTTTTTGTGTGCACCCAAGTGGAGATCTATTAAAATAAACTATGGCAGTAGCTTGGAGAAACTTATGAAGGTTATTAGGGTTATAATTATGAGCAACGAATCGTATTGATCCCAAACAGTTAGGCAGAAAAAAAAAGAACCATTTATTGGTCTCTTCTGTACTGTTAATATTCGCTTATAGTCTGGAAAATAAATTAAAAGAAACTAAAAAAGAAATGGAGAATTAAAATGTTGTTGGGTCGATTACCCTTTCAAGTGAAGTTTGATAAGAATCGTCTAACCTCCTCAATGTCCTTTTCTTTCTACATCCGTCTCTCTAATTCTTATTTATGTTATCCCCTTATGATCCGGATCCAATTCTTATTTATCTCCAAATTTTATATCACACATTTATTATCAAAACTAATAATTGGTTATTCTCTTTCTGATTGATATCAAAGTATGATGTGCCTATGGCATTCTTTAGCCACTAAAAGTTAAAAGAAGGACCATAAAACAGTAAAAATATTTAGAAACTGTACTAGATGGTGAAATAGTTATAAGCGATAACTCGGCAAAAAATATATGATGATTAGAAATTAGGGTACCGTTTTCAATGGCCGAATAGTTATAAATATTAAATAGTTATAAATAGGGTAAAAGTAACGATACAAAAATATACTCCCTCCGTTTCAGTTTAGTTGTCGTTTTAGGATTAAAATTTTGTTTCATAATAGTTGTCGTTTTAGGTTTTCAATGCAAATGTTTGGTGAAAATTTATGTTTTGTCTTTAATGTTTTAATGTTTTGACCAATGAAAAAATTATAAAATATAATTAATTAAGGGTAAAACAGAAAATTTAATGATTTTCTTAATTTGTGTGCGAAAACCTTAAACGACAACTAAAACGAAACGGAGGGAGTACGAAATTCCAAAAAGTTATGGCCCTTACAAGGTTATTATCCTACATATTAGAATAGTATGGTGCTTCTTTATCTTATCAAGAAAGATGTAAGATAATTGTTTAAAAGTGAGACAATACACGAGAAAGAAATCAGAGACAGTCTAAAATAATTAAAAAAAAAACAAAAATTATAGGAGAAACACTAAAAAGAATCCCCCATACATTTGGCCAAAATCAATAATACTACAAAACAGATTTGTTTTTTAATATAGAAAATGCAATTTTAGCTATTGCAAGAAAAATAAAATGAACTTCTCTTTACGTAATTGATTTATAACGTATAAACTTAGATAATTATTTAAAAAACGTAGAGGGCTTAGTTGTTTAATACTAACTAGGTCGAAACCCGCGCTACGCCGCGGGATATATACTTAAAATATTATAATTTAACAAAATGTAATTTGTAAAATTAAATAAAAATTGAAATTTTGATATTTTACCTTTACTTAGATGTTAGTAGTTTTTATTTTGCAGGATTATTTTTTTATAAATGGTTAGAATTTGTAACTATAATTATAATCTCTCTTTGGCAACATTAATATCTAATGAGAAAGGTGATGTTGCAAAAAATAAAATTAGAGTCTCTTATTCAATTAATTGGTAATTTCTTTTTTCGGTACAAGATTTTTAAATTTATAATTGATTCTCACATTTTATGGATCTTCAAAGTTTCTCATCTCGTTTTTTGTTTAAAGTCCTTTTGGATTTGTCGGTGTAGATTAATTTAAACTTTAAAGTCATGATATATGTGATATGTGATAATTATGTTGCATGGAATCAGAAGCGGGTATCCATTAGTGAAACGTTTGGAAACTTGAAATTAGTTTTTTTTTTTTTTTAACGTGAGCATTCATATTAATATTGACCATCCAAGTGTAAAGCATTTGAAATTACATAAGGTACATAAGAATAGAACATGAATTGTAAATTCTGGGGAAACTTGAAATTAGTTTTAGTACAAAAAATAATAGAATCGGATATGTTTGGAAGCGTCCATTATATAAATTACATATTTGTTGAATATTTAAATTATTCTAGTTTAAAATATAAAATTATAATATTTAACTATGTAACTTAATACATATAATATCATAATCACGATTAAGCTAAGTAAATAGAGAAAACAAATACTATCTTTTAGTGAGATCATTTTTTTATATTCTTGTATTCAACAAAATATATTACTATGCAAAACATAAATTGGAGGAAAAAATATTTGAACACGTCAAAAAATAACTAATTGGGCTTGGTAACTAAACCAAATCGGGCCAAGTGGGAAAACTATGAGATTTTTATGTGCAGTCTCATAGTTTATGCGGATCCTTTGCTTACACTTAACTTAAGAGATCTTTATAGATTTAAAACACAAACTGAATATTACGTTTCACAAGAAAGCTAAACTCAGCTTTTTCCAGAAAGAGTATTTGACCTAAACTCATCGTCACATAAAATTGTTGTAGCTACACGCAAAAGCAAACACTAAAGTCTCATCTTCATACATTCTCCTTTGAGCTTGAAGAAACCTCAGTTTTTTTCTCCTCTTCTTTGTTACTCATTGCTACTGGAGATGATTTTGTAGCAAAATCTTCAGGTTCCATCTTAAGCTTAGACTCGAACTCTTTTGCAGCTTGCATTATACCAAATCAACACAAGGCTTCATCAATGCAAGTATAACGATAAAAGGAACATTGAAAAGCATACAACAAACGCTAATCACTCCAAAAATTAAATCACGAGCAACCTCTGTGATCCGTTTTTAAATAGAGATTATATTGTCAGATTAACCTAACATAACAACATGCTTGATCTCTACTATACATCAAAGTTACCAATGAATGAACTTACTGTTGCAACTAATGAAATGTTTTATTCTTGATCTATATACTCCAAAAGATAAGTTATACCTACTCAATCTCTAATCTTTCTGAATGTTCTTAATTTCTTATCAGTTCCTCACAATTCGACAGCAACTAAGAAGTTGAAATCCTGAAAACACATTCATTTTACATCATTTCCAACGACAATCAACAAGCTATTCACATGATTGGCGCAGGAAACTCCAGAATTACATAAATTTCCCCCTTTTTCAATTTATTCAAGTGAAGAACCATCAAATTACAGAACTAAACTGAAAAATTTCAGAAATGCAAATTCAAATCCATATTCTATCAATATGTTTTGATCCTATACAACTAAGTATACAAGTAGATGAATGGTCTATATAGTAAAGTTGTATAATCACTCAATTCCACACAAATCTAGACATAACTAAGCATTTGAAACATATAATTCCCAAAACATATTCCTCCTTAAGACCTTTTAAGTTTTAATCATGAATACCAACTACAGATCAACAAGATTTTTACATGACTCGACACAACAATCTTCGGAATTGCATTAACTTTTGAGTCTTCTTATCAATCAATTCTAACTACAACCAACAAACTTTTCACAGTAATTGGCATAACAAAACTCCAGAATTTCATTAAGTTGCCAACTTTTTTTCAATCATCTTCATTTTCAAAACGAAATTCTATGAGCAAACCTGTTGAAAGCTTGTAACGGTTTTCCCAATACTTTTGCCAATCTCAGGAGGTTTCATAGGTCCAAAAAGCAATGCAGCGACGCCAGCAATCACAGCAAGCCCATGTACACCGAGACCAAACAGGGCATTACACTTCAGTGGCTTTCTCTTTGGTTCATGTTGCATCGAATGGCCACGGAAGAACGGGTGTTTGGTCAGGTCGTCATTGTGAAACAATTGGAGAAGAAGGAAGATCGAGAGGATGGGAGAGGTAGAGATACAGGTGGTGGAATTGCAGAAACTATGAGCTGCAGATAAAAGACTTTTAGATCGATTACATAAAAATATCATTGGTTCTCTGTTAGCATGTCAAATTGAGTCTTCTCCACCAATGTTGTAGCTTCTTTCAAACTCAAATCTGTAAAACTCCTCAACTCCTTCATAATCTTAATCTCAACAGATGCATCAACAAACTCTAATTTTATCTCAAGCACAATCTTCTCCACTTTAGCTTACTCACGCGCACCACCACCACTTTGTCCCTGATTCGATCCACCCACGATCCCACCAGCTACAGAATTCATAACAGCAACGGTTCGAAGATTTCTTATACCGACAGAGAAGAGATCTCGTCAATGAATCTGAACACACGCTCCGTTGGTGGACTACAGTGCTTTGTTGGGAGCTTCCTTTGATTGTATTCTTCTTCTTTTTCGCTTGAATCTTAGAACTAAGCTCATCTTTTCAAACTTTTTCAAAGCTTCCGTTTTCTACGCTCTATACACTTAAGAAAGAAGAGTGGCATATGCAGTAGTTTGAGACTACTGCTCCTCCTCTTTAATTGAAATCCGATTAGGGTTTCAGTGTCGTTATTGAACTTCTCCTTCTCTCCTCTGGTGGTCGGGTGTGCGTTGCTCGTCACCTTCCTCGTTGCCATCGACATAGCCTTGTTCGTTTAATTTGGATTAGGTTCAATTTGGATTCGTTTACTGTTTTTTTTTTTGTGGGCATTTGGTTTATAAAACAAAAAGAATTAGGTTGGGCCTGTAACAGAAAACATTATTAGTGTGAGAGAGAGTGACGTGGAACAAAGAAAGATTATTATTGGACGAAAATGCTGAGATGTATTAATCGTTATGTTTTGATTGGGTATCCATTTTAATGACGTGTCACTCCGAGAGCAGCTTAAAAAGCTGAAGTGTCAGACCTGCAGAGACTCTTAGAAGTTTTATTGTATTGATACTTTCTAGTTTATATAATAAAAGTATTAACCGTGATACCCAATAATTTACCTAATACGGCTTGATAAATTATGTGAGTGAGAATCAAAGAAAGATCTATGATTTGGATGATGTTGACTTCCCCAGCTGTATCCCTTCCCTTTCTCATTTGGTTCCTTTCTTTTCCCAGTCGCTTTCCGTATTGTTTGCTCTATACTTAATACATCTATCACAAAAAATTTCTATTGGTAGAGACACTAGAGAATTTAAAGTTTTAATATCGCTAGAGACAAACACTAGTCTCTGCTCATTCATCTTGTACTAAAATATGATTTATGTGTTAGATATTCGTTGTTTAGTTTACTTAAAAATCGATACTTTACAAAAGTTCCCAAAACTTTATCTCGATACAGTATCAATTTTAGGAAAAAAATAAAGAGCTCACTGAACCTTATTGACTTTATTAGATTTTCTTCCTTGGAGAATTTTTTTTACACACATATAATATTGTATAAAATTGCATAAACATGATGTATCATAATATTGATCAAAATAGTTGATCAAAATAGTTGAGCTTATTTGTATCATTTAGAACATTGAATAGAAGATCATGAGGTTTCATTTTGAAGAAAATATAGCTAGCAAATAGTGACAGTAGGCCCGAAGTTAGCTAAAAATATAAATATTTACAATAATGTAAACGTGGGTGTCTCTATAATTTGTCGAGTAGGACCGTCCAACTATGATAATAATATTGATCGGACGAGAAGCTGTGATAAGAAGAGCATTTCTGTCTCCATACCTCTAATAACACAACGTCACGTCATTACTAGACATTTGTTTATAAGACAATGATTATGCAACTTCATGGGCAATTCACTATTTTACTAATTTATATATTTTTTCTATAGTACCCATTATAGATATCACCAAATTCAACTCACTTAATTCTTATGTGTTTGCCTTGAGAGAAGCTGATAATATCGACAATTTGGTAGCCAATGCATTTATATTGAGGGCCAAGAGAAACGTTTTGAAGATAGGATTTTTAGGCGGTGAGTTCCAGTGGAGCAACGTCACTTTCGGGACATGCACATGAAAAAGATGAGTCTATCACGCGTATGTGTTTTTGATTGTTACCATGTGAATAGAATCCACGAGAGCTGTACGTGTACTATGCACGTGTGACCATGTTGAGACAAAAATATTTGTGGCTCTATCTTGTGGTCCATTCATCTATGACACATTGTATTGTCTCTCTATGAATGGAAAATGTGTTCAACGGTTCAACACTTGGAGACTACTATTGGAAAATCCACTTTAATTTTTAGGTCAATCCATCAAAAATACCTTTTGAAATAACCAAAATTTCTACGTAGCGGAAACTTCTAGACATAGACTAGTAATCCGTTGATCTTGAAATACCGATAAACTAGAGTAAATTGCAAAGTTAGGCGTTTAGTGTGTGAGAATACCGAAAGAACTTCTTAAATCTACACATCATCAGTTTTGGCCAACAAAGATTATGGGTTTCTACAATAAGCGGATATGAAGATCGTAAAAGACCGTGAAGACTTTTCAGCAGCTACTGAGGTAACCTATCAAGATTTCTAGAAGAGGACCACTCAATATTTGATTTGTAGCTGAGAGAACAGAGACTGAAATAAAGTTTATGTTCCCATCTCAGAGTTTCTTGAGTCAAATGGTCAAACCATAGTTGATAAAGTTGAGTGGAAGGGTCAAAAAGACTAGCGTAGAGGATGTGGTAGGACGATGATTGATATGTACTTCCAAGCTTTTTGTGCTGTGATAATCTTATCATCACACATTTCAGTTTTCCTTTGCCAAACAGAACAATTATGTATTTCTAAAGGGAAAGCATCAAAGACAGAAGAAAAGGTAAGCACACATCTCGTAGTCCTTGCACTGCGACGTATAATGTCAAAGACATTCACTGATTCACGAACCGGCATGACGGAAATAGAGAACCGAGCGGTACAAAGCAGCAACATGGAGGAAAGCAATCAGTGCTATGAGTAGATCATCAAGCAAACCGACTATCCCCAGAACTCCTAAGGAAAATTAGTTAAGAAAGGATTTGTTAGAAGACAGTGAGATAAATATAAGATTCATAGGATTAAAAAGATGAATCACCTTCTGGAATGATATCTATTGGACTGATTATGTAAATAGCACTCAGAATCATCTGCATTCAATACAAAGAAACTGCGTCAGTCCCACTCCAAATGGAAGAGTAACAACCCAAAACATGACTAGTCTTTGTATAAACATAGTGATCAAGATGTAGTCGAACTTAACTGCGATATAAACCCGAGCCCTAATGACAAGTGGAAGCGTTCTTTGTGGATCCATCATTTCCCGCAACAACCTCCGTAGTAAGAAGGGAAGGTCTTGCATCCTCTGTTAAAGGGTAAAAAGAATTTCCTTATGATTTTTCAAGTTCACCAAACTTATGGGTATTCATGAAATTCAAATATATCTCAAACAAGTAAAACACAGAGATAGAACTCATACCTGAACTAAACTAGTTGAACGCCCGCCAAAGAGTCGGTTATACGTTTCAAGATTACCAAGAACATCCGCAACTGTACTGTCATTACGGTCTCTGATTGTGTCCTCTGAAGGAACCAACAAACTAATAGGACGACGACACAAAGGGCATTTACATGGCTGTATGCCTCCAAACCTGCATAATGCAATTTCCTACAAACAAATTGAAAAGAAAAGTTAGGGAGACAGATCACATGAAAAGCAGTATTATTCGTAATTAGACCAGTGAACTTGAAAAACCTAGTAAGCCCAAAAATCTATATGTTATAAGCATATAGAAGCTCAATGAAAACAAGATACAAAGTAAAAGGCTATAAATATACAAACTTCAATAGAGTAGATAGTTGTTAAGCAGGAAGCAAAAAGTCCGTGACTCTGAATTCTACTGTCAACCAAATCCAAGAATCTGTATCGAAGTTTGGAAATTTAAGATTACAAACTTATGCTGTTTGGATTCTAAATGCAAAATACAATCTCTAACCAAAAGCAAACGATCAGGAATCAGGAGAGCTCGTAGGCAATAGCAATAGCAGTGAATGGACACAAATTCAGGCAAAAATTGTCCGATCTCATTGAACAGAGTTAGCAAAAGACACAAGAGAAACCGAATCAAAGACTTGAAAAGATTGAGATTTGAGAGAGAGAGAGGTAAACCGCAGAACCAATGAGAACAATTGGCTTGACAAGGAGCGGTGAAGTGGGAATGACATATCGAACAAAGATCGTTCTCCGGTGGACTATTCATCTCTCTGTTTCTTCCGTTTATTCTTCTTCTCCTCCTCCTCCTCCTCGTCGTCAAAGATTACGTGCTCGCTGGTTTTTTTTTAGTCGGTAACTATGTCGGTCCATCGGAAATCTGATTGGTTCGATTTTTTTTTTAATAATTATTGCTCTTTCACACGTTGACCCGCTCGGTTATTTCCGGTTTGCAAATTTTCAGCAAGAAAAACGACGTCGTAGGCACGTGAATAAGGAAATCGCCCAAATTTTTAGAGGATTCTTGTTGAGGTTGAAGAACTAGAATGGGTGATTGATGATGTAACATTTTGGATTCAGTTGTTCAAAACCACTGAGGAAGATACAGTGATTAAAAAAAAAAAAGGTTTTTACATTTGACATTATCTCAAAAGACTCGTCTTTGCAGGTTTAGAAAACAATTCAACAGTCATTGCGTGATAATAGCTCTGTTTCTGAATACCCCGATCATTGGATGTGTTACTAACTTCACGCTTTATCGACATTGTCTACTCGTCTGCAGCCTGCAACAATAAGAAAAAGGAAAAGAGGAAAGATTCAACCTTATGTTCTTTTACATCCTCATGGATTTAAGATGATCCATTCGTCAAGCGAATGATGTATTTTATACTCATATACAATGATCATTCAGGAACCATTAGGAGGTCTGCACTCTGCACTAGTCACCACCCGCATTTGCAATTTAACCTTTTTCTGCTTTTTTTGCGCTACTCTACTTAATAGAACATTACAAACAATGAAGGTTGCAAGAGGGAACTACTCTATGAAAGGATAGATATGTTGTTCTTTACCAATTCGTAGTTCAATAGTCATTACTACAAGTACGACACAAACAAGCATGTATTTGTTTTTCGAATAGGAAAACCACAACTCTAAGACAATGCTCAGAATGTGGAACTAGTGTACTATATAGTAAGGATGAAAGTAAGAATATGTGATACCAAATTATAAAGTTTAACAAAAGCCATGCTTAATTTTCTCAATTTACTTTTAACCATATGCAAAGAAGTTGATTCTTATATCCATCAGCTAAACTCGAACCTTTCTAAACTCTCGACAGACGACAATCTCTCTAACAGTTTCACCTCAGTATCAATTTTGTACCAAACAAATACATTTGCCAAAATAAATTCCAACTAACCTGAGACACGGGAGAAGTCTCTGTAGTATTCTTGGGAGCTGCTAAATTGGCTGAAGATGAAGAAGGTGAATCAAAAGCACGAGAACAATCTGTGTATGCAGAGCCAATACCAATTCCAGCACCTAAAGCAATCGATGCCCATCTTGTAACAGGACTCCCTATACAAAATCAGAAACTAAGTTATGAAAAAAACGAATCTCAAGGCAAGTAATATAATTCAAGAATCAGGACAATATATGATTCAAACTGCAGAAATTAAACACTCTAAAACCCTAATCCGTAATCTAACTACGTATCTATCATCGAACAGCTACAAGTAATCAGAAAACGAGAATCGAGTAAGGGAATATTGAAACACGAAACTGAAGAACAGAAGACCAGCGAATGCGCCGCCGAGGGAAGAGTAAACGAAGCGGCGGACAGTGAGATCGAGACATGCGTCCCACTTAGCATTCACATCGTACTCCGGTGGCAAACTACCAATTTTCTCTGCCATTTTTCGCGAAACCTATCCGATTGATTGATCGTTCAGAGTTTTACTCTTCCGTTTCATTTTCTCGACTTTACCGATCTATTTAGCGCAAAACATGGGCTTGAAATTAGGCCCAATCGTCTGTCAATTAGATCCAAGTTTCTCCAATTAGGCCCAAGGCCGAAAACACTGGCCACTACTAAGGCTGTTTTAGAAAAAAAAATCTGATCGAGTTCTGTTTGGTTTTAGATTTTTTTTTTTTTGTCGACGTTTGGTTTTAGATTTTTATTATTTCGGTTTTAAAGTATTGTTTTGGAAAATACTGTAACCAACAAAAGTATGTTTTAGAAATCTAACCGAGACAAAAAGGAATTTTTACAGTATTAGTTCGATACGTAGACCAGTGAAGGTGTCAGGATGTCCAAAAAAAAACATAAAAAACAAACGAATATAAAACCAAACATATGATTTTTCACGTGGATCTCTTCTGTTTTTATTTTTTAATTCAAAATTGAAAGATTAAAAAGTATTCTTCAAATGTCATTGGATTCCAATTTCACGATTGTTTTGTCTTTGTCACACCAAAATCCTGATATTTAATTTGGAATTGATGCTAAAACGAGAAAATTAATTAATCTTTTAATCAAAAACCCCAACGAAAGTTATGTCGCCTGGTGACGACAATAAGAAAACCGGTTCGATCGGCGTGACCAATATACCCTTTTTTGTACTTGGACGTCTCAACGTATTTTTGTCTCCATTTTCTTTCTATAAACCCAAAATTCACTTTTGCCCAATTTAGGAACAATCACAGGCACAAGTAAAAATGGCGGAGGAACAACCTACTACCACTCTCGTTACACCGGAAAAGCTACCATCTTTGGACCTGGCGGCTCCTGAAGTATCTGAGTCTACTAAAGAAGTTCTACCGAGAGAGACAGTGACCGAGACTAATCCGCCGGAATCGGCAGAAACCACCACCAAGCCAGAAGAAGAAACCGCGGCAGAGCATCATCCACCGACAGTGACGGAAACAGAAACAGCATCGACGGAGAAACAAGAGCTTGGAGACGGATCATCATCGCAGAAGGAAGTAGCTGAAGAGAAAAAGAGCATGATTCCACAGAATCTTGGTTCATTCAAAGAAGAAAGCAGCAAACTTTCCGATCTATCAAACTCCGAGAAGAAATCACTCGATGAACTAAAACATCTTGTTCGAGATGCTTTAGACAATCACCAATTCAGCTCAATCTCTAAACCAGAAGACACCAACAACACACCAGAAGAAGTCAAGATTTGGGGAATCCCGTTGCTCGAAGACGATAGAAGCGACGTCGTTTTACTGAAATTCCTAAGAGCTAGGGATTTCAAGGTGAAAGATTCGTTTGCTATGCTCAAGAACACGGTTAAATGGAGAAGAGAGTTCAAGATCGATGAATTGGTTGAGGAAGAACTTGTGGATGATCTTGACAAGGTTGTGTTTATGCATGGACATGACCGAGAAGGTCACCCTGTGTGTTACAATGTCTATGGTGAGTTTCAAAACAAGGAGCTTTATAATAAGACGTTTTCTGATGAGGAAAAGAGGAAACATTTCTTGAGGACTAGGATTCAGTTCTTGGAGAGGAGTATAAGGAAGCTAGATTTTAGCTCTGGTGGGGTTTCTACTATTTTCCAGGTTAATGATATGAAGAATTCTCCGGGGTTGGGGAAGAAAGAGCTTAGATCAGCCACTAAGCAAGCTGTTGAGTTGCTTCAAGACAATTACCCTGAGTTTGTCTTCAAGCAGGTACAATTTTCCCATGGATCTTTTTGTTACATGGTTGTGAATTTGCTCTAAGTTAGAGTAGGTACCAATGTTCTGGTTGAATGTTTTGTTGATCAATATTTCAGGCTTTTATCAATGTTCCTTGGTGGTACCTTGTGTTTTACACTGTGATTGGTCCTTTCATGACACCACGGTCAAAGAGCAAGCTTGTGTTTGCTGGTCCATCACGTTCAGCTGAAACACTTTTCAAGTAACTTTTGAAAGATTTTCATTGATTCTGCTTGTTTTGTTTCCTAAGCTATTCTATGAACCTTTTTTGTTTAGTCTGTCTTGACTCTGTTTGAAATTTGTGGACTATAGATACATATCACCCGAGCAAGTTCCAGTTCAATACGGAGGATTGAGTGTAGATCCTTGCGACTGCAATCCAGACTTTTCATTGGAAGATTCAGCCTCAGAGATCACTGTTAAGCCTGGAACAAAACAAACTGTTGAGATCATAATCTATGAGGTTAGAGCATTTACACATTTAACTCTGCATTCCCTCAATATCCAGTTCTCAAAACATTAACAACTAAGAGATGAGACCAAGGTCATTGAGTCATAATGTTTATTGAAACTCTTTTGTTTGCGCAGAAATGTGAACTTGTGTGGGAGATAAGGGTAATTGGATGGGAAGTGAGCTACAAGGCCGAATTTGTGCCGGAGGTAAAAGATGCTTATACGGTGGTTATACAGAAACCAAGAAAGATGAGACCATCCGATGAACCGGTGTTAACCCATAGCTTCAAAGTGAATGAGCTTGGCAAGGTTTTACTCACAGTAGACAACCCAACCTCTAAGAAGAAGAAGCTCGTTTACAGGTTCAATGTCAAACCTCTCTAAGCTTTAAAAAATCTTTTCCAAACTTTGTTTTATTTTACAAAAATGTGGTTTCTAGACTTTTGTTTTTTCTTGAAACAGAAGTGAGATACGTCTTATGTGTGTTTGTATATGTGGGATTGTTTACTTTATCATTTCATATAAATTATGTGTGGTTTAATACGATCGAGCTGCTTGTATCTTTTGCTCTTGTAATCAATCATTTGTGGAGAATATATTACATGACTTTATGAAATAAAGATGTATAAATCTCAACCAATTTATTGATTGTGTCTGTTTATGAAATCAAGTTTATCCGGCTTATTAGGTGTCGTGCAACATCGAAGTCTATTATATTCTATTCAAATAAATGAAAAAAAGATTCGTAAGGCTGTTGATTTACACGTTGGAACAACTTCCTCGACACTGACATAATGTTGTTGTCTCAAGACTGGAGTAGGTGGAAGAGGTTCGATTTGTGTCTTGTTTACCCAAAATCTGTTGGCTCTTGCATCATTCAAATGCCAATTATTTTCTTAGTTGAAAATCTTGGCTGTGATAATTCTTTTGTATGATTTTTTTTTAGCCAGCGATATTTTTTTACTTTCTGAAGAATAAAAATCTTCGCAAAAACGAAAGAAGGATAATGAAACTAATATTACATGTTGTGGTTTCGGGTCTGGGGGATTACGGGCTTTGGCCCAGAACCTCCTGGTATTCAAAAAAAAATAAAAAAATAATTTCATATTTTGACTTAATTTTTAATGTCTAAGATCGATATTTATTCAATATTCTTCAGATTTTTTCGTTTGTGAGCTTTTCGGTCCGTTATCTCCTCCAATATCCGGATTTAGACTTGGATATTTTGATTTAAATATAACCTTCCGTATCAAAAAGAGATTGAACCTGTAACCCGATCGAAAAACCAATCCGTTTGTACTACCACTAGGTCACCACCAATTTGGTTAACAAGTAAATGGCTTTGAAAGAGGCAAACTCGTTGCTAACACTAAAAATAAATGGTCAAATGAACAAATCTATAAGCGTATATACAAAATCCTTTTTCACATTCACACAAATATATAGGCAAACACCTACCTCTCTATTTATGGAACTGAAGTGATCAACCAACAACAATTATTGTGAAAGTGATATTTTATTATTTTTCTTTAAGAATTTATATAAGGGAAAGCAAATAGAAAGTGAATGAGGAATTGATGAAGAAGCACATGCGACGACTAGGGCAGTAGTGAATATGTTCAAATTGCATTCATGGCTGTTTGTGTTGTGTCGGTCCACGCATGTCCCTTCCTTTTCTATTGTTTGATTATATTTCTGCAATTTTCTTATAAAACTCCGAACTGTCTTCGGACCAGACATTATGATCACTCCCATTCTTTTACATATTACTAGATTCGGACCCGCACGTTCGTGCGGGATTATATTTGTAGATGTATTTATTTGGTATAACATTCATTATCCTACCTCATATCAATTTGGTATTCGGTTTAGTTTCAATTTGGTTTAAACAAAATAATTAATCGGGTTTGTTTTTGGTTACAGTAAAGACAATTACATAATTAAAAAGAGAGAGAAAAAATAGACATATCAATTTTGAGACAGAAAATCCGTATGGTCACATATCTACCACATACATTTAATCATATAAGCGTTAATTTACTCGTTTGTGATTGTATATCGTGTAGGTCTAGGATTCGGATGGAATACCCGTATTTTATGTATTTTCGTTTGGATATTTAATTTTTACATAATTAGTGGAGGTTATCCATATTTTCTTTATTTTCTCAATATTTCACTACTATGTTTTAGAAAATACCCAAATTTCCCAAAATTTCTATCACGAAATAAACTTTACCCGTCCCAAATTTTTTTTATTTGGCACATGCTATGCTAGATAAATTGAAAGAAACATTTTAAATATATGATTGCAAGCAATGTTTTATTTTAATTGTAATATGTTATACGACATTTGGTCAAAAATATATATTCAAAGTATTAAATATAGATTCGAGTTATATGCTTGACTAAAAAGAAAAAAAAAATAATCTGTAATTAGAGTTATATTTGGCAAGTATAATAATTGTTGTGATATGATTTTGTAAACTAATTTAAGATTTCATTTAATCGTAAACAGTTGTATTTTCCATTTTATTATTTCGAATTTATTATTGTCAATTGTTATGGAAACCTTATTAAATCATAACAGTAAATTTAGTTTGTTTGAGTTTTGGATAGAAAAGACAGAACAATCTTTTAGAATATATATTGTTAATACTCCAACGAAATAAATTTTTTGAATATATATTTTTTGAATATATATTTTTGACCAAAAGAAAAATGCTCAACAAAATATATATATATTTTTTTGAACATATTTTTTCGAATTTTTTTCTTTTATTTTTTAAATTCAATAATTCTAATGGCATTCATTGTAATTAATCTACCAAAATAAGGTTTGTTAGTTTTGAGTGATTCCCAATTAATAATATAGATTCATTCATGTAACCATTACAAATTCCATGCTTTGTATTCATTCAACTTTCAAATTTGTTGGTTTGGTCTTGTAAAAAAGTCCAAATTCTAAATATACAATGTTGGCACTTGGCATTAATGGTGAAGTAACAATCAATTTTTGTTTCTTTTTGTCTACAATTGAATTCTATTATGAGTGTTTCGATTAAAAATGGCTAGTTTTAGTATTCCAAACTCATTTGCACATAAAAAAAAAAAAAACTCATTTGCACATTCTCACCTAAGTTTTACTATCAAAATGAATGACGTAAGTTAATGAAGAAAAAACTAAAGGACAATGACATGTATACACTTAATAGTTTATAATTTTAAGATGAAAAGATCTATGTTGATCATCATGGTAAGGGCCGTAGTTTATATTTGTTTAACTATTATTACTTTGATAAACATGCGGATTAGACATGACAAGTCACTTGATGTTAACTTTAGACTTATTGGATTAATGAGTAGGCCAATTAGCCATTATTAGTTTTCATTTGTCAACATTCACACCTAGCCCCAGTGTTTTTTCTTCTTCTTTTGTGAATGGAGAATTAAGGGTATACCTGTCTCACTTTAGTCCGGTCCGCATCGTACCGATCAACCATTCAAGATCGTAATATTCAATAAGATATTTATATTTAGGTCAACTCGAACATAAATCAACATATTCATTTATTACGAACGTAAACTAAAATTATAAAATTGTACGTACCATTGTTCTGTTGGACTAATCCATATAACATGTTGAAGTCAATCTAGATGTGAATTTTCTGAACAGACTAATTATTAATTTTAATCCGATCTTTATGGGTTAATCCCCGAATTTCAACCTATTTCAATCTTTATTATGATAGCTTAAGAAACAAAATTCAAATAACACTTCAAAGAAATGGTCTTTGGTCTTTGCAGTCTTAAGAGAATTAGATTCGCAAAATCGAGTTTTCGGTTAAATATCTTTCTTTTTTTCTCTGCCGAAATTTTTTTTCTCTTAGGGGGATGTATTGGAACTAGGATTTTAGAAAATTTTGGGTTTTTACTAAAATCACCTGTTATTGAATTTGTAATTTTCAAATCTCTTCTCAAATCCAATGTTATTGAAATTGAGATTTTAATAAAATCACTCAAAGTCTCTTGTTATTCAAACTATAATTTCTAAACTTGATATCAAATCAACTGTTATTCAAAACACAACTTTTTTTTTTAAAAAAAGCCATAACATTGATTTTGGGAGACTTTGGATACAATTTTACATGAGAAATTCAATTGAAGAAATCACACCTTCAGAGGTGTTATTTGGAAAAAAATTCTTTTAACAAAATAAACATAAGAGAAATTATTTTTATTATGATGGGCTTTCACGTTTAGGTTTTTATTAGGGTTACTTGTTAGGTCCTTAGGTGTATCCGTGTATATATACTCACAATCAATAACTTTTTCTTAGCAGCTTACACAATTACTATCGATATACTTCAAGCTGTATCTCTTTTCAGTCAAAGTGAGTACTCTCTTGATTTTCTTTTGTTAATTTGTTTCTATTTTAATTGTTACTTCCATGCTCTTTTAAATGATGTTCCTCTTTGATCATATAATAATATATACTGAAACCTGCGTTCTTAATGTGGTGTGAAACATTGGATGTTGTTAGTTTACGGCTAGCTGCAATTAGAAAGTACCATCTTTGTTCTTTGAATGATATGGTTTATGGTAGAATTATTTGGTTTTAGATATTGATTAGTGGGATATATCAAAAATCATATGTAGAACTGTTTTGCTTTATAACAATTAGAATGTCTGCTTTACATATTTTTCATATTGTATGGCCAGTTCCGACACCACAATGGAAGATACACAAGATACGCAAGATACACAAGATGCCAAAGGTCCATATAAAAAATGGTCTGACCCTCAACACAAGATGTTATTGCGTCTGCTAGTAGACGCAATCAATCATGGTTTTCGTGATGCTAATGGCAAGTTTAACAAATTAACGGTGGAAACAAGAATATTACCACCTATAAACAAACAGCTTGGAGCTAAGAAAACCTACAGTGAGTACCGAAATAGGATGAAGATCTTGAAGGGTAGGTACAAAATCATGGCGGAACTTCTTCGTTTTAGTTCAGGGTTTGGGTGGGATCCTGAAACGAAGAAATTCACCGCTAGCGATGAAGTCTGGGATGACTATTTGAAGGTAAAAAAATTATAACATAAATTTGATGAATATAATAATGTTGCTTATGTATACAAACTAACTATACATTTGTTTTTTCTTAAATAGGCTCATCCAAACAAAACAAATATGCGTAATGAGTCATTTGAAGATTTTGAAGATTTAAGAATGATATTTGGATCTAATACTGCAACTGGGCTTAATGCTGTGGGTTTAGGCGATACCGTTGATGCAGATTCTTACCAAGTTAGACAGAATGACGAGATAAATGATTCCAATCGTGGGCAAATAATGGATGATGTGGACGGAATACCCTACGCAGAGAAATCTGTGCATGACGTTTTCTCTTCATTAGAGAAAAGCAGGTTAGAAAAGCTTCCTCACCGAAAGAAACCTAGAACTGATGCATTTAATTCGAACAAGGCTTTTGATGAAGTGAACACAGTGACAGAATTCGGTAATCAGATTTTTGGCATGATACAAAGAAGATGGGAAAAAGAAAATGAAGAAAAAGAAGCTGAAGACAAAGCTGATAATGTGTGGAATGCTATTACAGAAATTCCTGATTTGACCAACGATTTGCGTTACGAAGCCATGACGTTGATTCACAGCTTAGGTATGAAATCTGGATTCTTGCATATGTCCATAGAAGATCGTAAGGGATGGATTATGCAAAACCTTCGTAAACCAAGTGAATGAAGTTTGATGCATCAAACATGGAATACGGATGATTTTTATTTTTTAGATGAATTTTTTTATTTCCATTACTTTTAACAATATTTATGCTTTTATTTTTATTTTATTAATACTTTTTTATGAATTTCAATTTATAAGAGTCAATTTTTTCTTCCCCTCTACGGATAATCAACTCATCTATGTCCTTTTTTATTATTGAAGAGAGGATACAACGTTTGATTCATTTTTTATGAATGGAACAAAGAATATAACGTGTCTCTATATACACGTTGTTACAATATATATATAAATTAATATCCCTAAAATTCATACAAAATTGCAATTTTTTTTTCTTGTTACAATTAAATTATATTGTTTTATTTGGCGGGTAAAATATAGGTTATAAAAGTTCGGCGGGTAAAAGTTTGGAGGCAAAGTTAGAATCTATTGTGTATATATTTTATGTTGCCCTAACTCATTTGTTAATCCTCTTCATAGCTGACATTACGGCCGCCAATTTCCTGTGAGGGAGAGGTAAGTTGCCGTCAATTTTTCTATATTATAAGTTCTATGCCGTAAAACTTCTCATCATATGAATATCTTGTTCTAAATATTTGTTTTTGTGACCATGTGCCTCGTATCCTCTGCATGAACTTTCTTTCTAGTTAAAATATTTGTTTTTACTCGTGATCTATATATTTTTTGATCAAACACTGTCCATTTTTTTGTGACTCCAAAACTGTATTATTGTGTAGAGTCTTAACAATGGATCGCATTGTTCAAGAAGAAAAAGAGATACAAGCTAGGAGAAAAGGAAAAAGAATGAGAAGGTTCAAATCGGATGTTGATATAATGTTACTGGTTTTGTCAATCATTGCGAAAATTCGTTATTTCTTTCCGCAAATACAACGGCAGATTAGAAAACCAACTACAAGGCTTGGACATGAATACATACAAAATGCGCTAGCTGAAGATCGTGAACATTTTCGACATCTATATCGTATGTATCCAGAGGCATTCCTAAAATTATGCGATATTTTTAGAGTGAGGATGGGTGTAAGAGACACAAGAAATGTTTCAGTTGAAGAAATGCTTGCTACCTTTTTGTTCATCGTTGGTCAAAATTCGAGGTATATTCAGGCACAAGATAGGTTCAAAAGATCAAGATTCTCAATAAGTAAGAGCTTTAACACAATTCTGAAGGTGTTAAATGCACTTGCTCCAAGCTATATGGCTAAACCCGGGCTAGCAGTACCCACAAAAATAAAAGACAGTACACGATTTTATCCTTATTTTAAGGTATGCGATTTATTGTACTTTTTTTTAGTTGTCGCAAAATTTTAATATTTCATTTTATATATTTTCTTAGGATTGTGTGGGAGCTATTGATGGAACACATATCCTTGCAATGATATCGGGAAAAGAAACGGCTAGCTATCGTAACCGAAAAGGACAACTATCGCAAAATGTTTTAGCTGCATGTAATTTTGATTTAGAATTTATATATGTGCTTAGTGGATGGGAAGGTTCAGCTCATGACTCAAAGGTATTACATGATGCTTTAACAAGAAGCACTAACCAATTAAAAGTTCCTGAAGGTATGTCACATACATTATGAAAAAGAATATTTTCTGTTATTAGTTTGTTTTTTATCTTACTTATATTTATGTGCATTATAAAATTTCAGGAAAGTTTTATTTAGTTGATTGTGGATTCGCCAATCGTCGTAATTTTTTAGCTCCATTTCGAAGTACTCGGTATCATCTCCAAGACTTTAGGGGACAAGGAAAAGATCCCGTAAATCAGAATGAGTTGTTCAACCATCGTCATTCTAGTTTGCGAAATGTAATAGAGAGGATTTTTGGCATCTTCAAATCAAGATTTCTCATCTTCAAATCAGCACCACCATTTCCATATAAAACGCAAGCGGAGTTAGTACTTGCGTGTGTTGTTTTACATAACTATCTTCGTAAAGAATGTCGCTCGGATGTGTTTCTTCCCGAAGAAGATGTTGTTGAAGAAAGTGGTGTTGATGAAAGAGTTAATGATGAAGATAATGTGGAAGAAGAGTTTGGTACTCAAGAACAACAAAGAGTGTTTGCTAATAACTGGAGAGCAACAATAGCTACACATATGTGGACAGATGCTATGAATATGGGATCTTGATGTTTTAATGTACTTTTCAAATTCACTACCAACAAAATCTCTCTCAGTTTCATGTTTTTAATTTGAAGTCCTAATACAAAAGCATAAAAATTTTCAGAATCATAACACACCATGAACGTGTTTTGGAACGACGTTGAACGTGTTTTGGAACGACGTTGAACGTGTTTTGGAACGTGTTGCAGAGCGAATCCAATTTTTCAATTTTTTTTGTAAAGCAACGTTGCAAAGAGATCACAAATTTTCTAGCCAATAAGATAGCTTTTTTGTAAATCCAATTTTTCTATTTTTGTTATAAAAATCTCACCAAATCATCCAATATTGTCTCTTAAATCTCACCAAATAACAAACTAGTATTTCCTTTTCTAAAATGAAAATTCTAACAATTCCACCAAAAGTATCCTAAGAAATCACTTAACTTTCTCAAAATCCAAAATTTCCTAAATTCCACCAAATCCTCCCAAATCTTTAATTCAATACACCCCCCTTAATGTCAAATATAATCCGTGCTTTGATTCCGTGATCCTTGTCTTATCCACGACTTATTAGTCCATATTTCAACAAATAGGGTCCATTCTCATAATATCTCGTCCTTAATGTCTCATTCAGTGTTATCCACTTCAATCTATTATATACAGATGGACCTTTTTCATATTTATATTCATATCTCTCTATCAATATTGATATAACAACAAATCTACAATCAGTCTTCTTGACACGTCTCTTCTCCTTATCTTTTAAAACTATAAATATCCACTGAACATTATCTTTATATCTTTGATGATAATACATTAGACTTAAACATTTGGTATGATCACTATCCAATGTAACTTTCAACTCTATTTTTCCGAATGCTTTACCAATAAAACATTTGTTTCAGAATCAATTTCATGAACAAGAAGTAAAGATAAAAGAAAGAAAAAAGACAAGTATAAGTAATGAATACATTAAGATTTACACAATTTTACAAACAAAAGGGGTAAGGAACAAAAAAGTTAAAGGTAAGAAATAATGAAACAAAGTGTTCTTTTTTTTTTTTCTTTTGAATTTTAATCACATATTCTCCACACACAAAAACAACCCCCAATACCAAAACAAAGCAAAACACAACCACGTCTTGAGATTTCAAAATTACATAATAAATAACAAACTAAATTAATTAATTAAAATTTGTTTCCCCCAAAAAACAAAATAACATTCTTTTGCTTCTTCCTTGGATTTGGATTTCAAAGATCAGACCTTGGTTGAGTTTTGAACCTGTAGAGCACTTTCTTCTTCTTGGAAGTCTGGTTATCAATTGTGATCACAATCTTTCCCGGTTCACCCACCTTAAAAGAATCGGTTATCACCGGTTCATCGGTTGATCCAATCTTCCTGGTTTTAGAGACGATCACAGCATAGCTTCCCTCGGTGGTTGGCTCAAACTGAGCTCCGTAGCTCACGTCAGCACCCAAAACCCTAAGCTCCCATGAAAGCGTGCAAGCCTACCAAAAAATCAACACAATCAACATTAACCTTCTTGATCAACAACATTGTTACAATATGAATTTATTAGTCATCGAGTTTTAAATGCTACCTCAGAAGCAGGCAATTCAATGGTGTAGTTGGCTGCCGGTTTAACGATGGCTTCGGTTATGGTTTCTTGGGTCAAAGGAGTATCTTTGCTAAGTCCACCGTATTTAACCGGGACTTGTTCAGGAGCTATGTATCTGTTTATATAAGCCTTAGTGAGAAACATGCAAAAATATTTGAACTATATATTACGAAATGGTTAAAGTGATTTGATGACTAATTACTTGAAAATAGTATCGGCAGATTTGGATGGACCAGCAAGGACCATCTTGCTCCTAGTCCTTGGCGATGTGATGATAGATCCGAATGTTTTGTAGTAAGGAATGTACCACCATGGGACATTGATGAATAACTGCAAAAAGAAAAAAATAAGATTTATAATTTTTTTTTTAAATGCAATTAAAGAAGAAATCATCTTTTGTGTGCAGCAACTTCTGCGTGACTAATTGTAATTCTAATTACGTTTTAAAGAATAATTGTTCTTGAACGGTTACTAGGCTAGTGGTTTGTGTTAGTATCGTCGTATATAAAATTTTTAGTACCTCTTTTGCGGCGAATTCGGGGTAATTGTCCTCGAATTGTTTAACAGCGCGTCTGATGAATTGCCACAAGGCTCTTTTCCCGAGTCCTGGAGCGTTCCTGAAGTCGCTGACGAATACGAACGAAGATTTAGCTTCGGGGTTGCTGAAATCAATAGCTCTCACACACTTCTCTTGTAGCTGAATCCTCCAGTTGAGGAACTTGTTAAGCTTCTCCTTGTCGGAGAAAAGTTCTTTGTTCTGGAACTCACCGTAGGAGCTGTAGATCACGACGTGTCCTTCCTTGTCAACACCGTGAGCAAACACCATCTTCTCGAACTCGCTCGCTTCTTCTCCGGCAGCTTCGACGAGCTCGTCGATTTTGTTTTCTTTACGCCACTGGACGGTGTTTTTAAGCATCGTTAAAGCTTCTTTGACCTTGAAGTCTCTTGCACGGAGGAATTTCGTGAGGATCACGTCAGATCTCTCGTCTTGGAGTAGTGGAACTCCCCAGATCGAGACTTCTTCCGGCTCAACTGGCTCTGCCTCAGCGACGGCGACAGTCTCTACCACGACTGGTGCTACGGCGGATTCTGGTGGTGAAACAGAGACGATTGATTCTTCTATTGCTTCAACAGTCTTGGTTCCATCTTCCTCAGCAGTAGTAGATGCTTTCTCGGTGGTTACCTCTGCTTTCTCTTCAGGTTTCTCCTCCGATTTGGTCTCAACCGGAGCAGCCTCTGATGATTTCTCCTCCGCCGCTGGAACCGCCGGTTTTTCTTCTTCAACCTTAACCTCAGTCGTTGTCTCTTCTTTCTTTTCCTCTGTTTTCTCTTCCGCTTTAGTTTCCTCCTCCGGTTTCTTCTCCTCTGGTTTCTCTTCCTTCACCGGCGTCACCGGAGCAGTGAATTCACGTTTGTTCAAAGCCTCCCTCACAAGCTCCTTAAACTCCTCAAGTGCTTTCTTCTGAACTTCCTCAGCCGTTAAAACAACTACCTTCTCAGCTACAACAACTGTCTCTTCCTCCTTCACCGGAACAGATTTCTCCGCTTCCGCCGCCGGGGACTCCTTCTCCGGCACCGCCTTCTCATCAGAGACAGGAGCAGCCACTTCCTCTTTCTCAGCCACAGGGGTAGGAACCGTAACCTCCTTATCGGTAATAGGTTTCTCCGTCACCGTAGGAGCAGCGACATCAGCTGATTTCTGTACTTCTTCTTGAGCCATCTTCTTGTCTGATCTTCGAAAATTCAAGAAAAAGAGAGAGAGAGAGAGAATATTGATTTGTGAGGAGAGAGAGAAGAGGAAGAAGAAGAGGTTTTTATAAAAGAAAAAAACAGAGGAATTTTGGAAGAAGGGAACAGACTGGTCGGAGCTGTTTTGACAGCTCATTCGAACACCTCTTTTCTCAGTGGGTCCTCTTTCTTTTCTCCCAACGGCCGTCTTTTTGCTTCCACCAATTTTAAACTTCCTTTTTTAACCATTTTTACCTATTTTACATTATATTAGTTACTATATCTATATATACATTTCCCATAATCGAAACTTTCTTTTGAATATATCATTCGTATATTCGTAAATCTGATGATTTAATATGATTTATAGTATATTTTGATGATCTTCTTGATTTGAATATATTCTTACAGCTTTTTCTTCCCATAGTCGTCAACATTCTTTCGTCTATGTGCCTAATTTCTTAAGTCATTAGTACATAAATATCGAATATTTATTACAATTAAATAGAGAAAAATTTCAAATTTGATTAGAGAAGGCAACAAAAGGTGGAATCATTTGCGAAACGGAAAGAGAAAGCAGTAGCATGCTAGTCATGTTTTTATTAATTTTTATTAACAAAAAAAAAAGTAAAGTGTGTTTTCAAATCATGACACCATGTTATATATCTTCACAATAGTATTTAATATGTAGTAGTGATTTTTTTTTGTTACATCACCATTAAGTACACTTTAGTTTTTTTTTTTGTATTCATATTACAATTGATATACTTTTATTATTCACAAAATAATCTAAATATAGTATTTTTCTGAATCAACTCAAAATTTATTAATTATTTTTTTCTGCAGTAATCACAAAAAAAAAAAACGTTAGAAAAGATGATATTTGTTTTCAATTCTTTTTTTTGGATGACAGTAGTGACTATACCATGAGTTTAGTACACAATCCAATTTGTTTTAAATTATTAATTAATAAAAAAACAATACGAATCTTTTATCGCATGTCACTCTTACCCCCTTTTCAAGTTGTTGAGTTATAAACGTTAGAACTTGTCTTTTACCTCTATTTCAACCAATGACACCTATGTTTTAATTTACCTAAGATTCATTTGCGAAAACGAAAACCTCGGATACTTTTTTATGCTCCGAAAAGAACCATATTTACATATAGTTTTTTTTTGGTGAATTTCTTCTATCTCATAACAACACATGCGAAAATTTATTTGTTTCTTGGTTTTTGAATGTATTGTGGTATCTAGAGGAAAAATATTTAATATGAATAACAATGATAACATATTTACATTTGAAACCTTTAATAATCTAACAACGGAAAAGTTTTGATTTTCGAAAGTCTCTCGGTACTAGTAACCACTTTGCACGTAATGAATCAAATGATTATATTTGTTCATCTATGACTAATTGACTATGAACCGTTGTTTGATGCGTTGTTGTAACCTACAAGTTATGGGTTATTGATTCTAAACTGATTGCGAAATCGGATATTAAGGGAAAAATATCAATAGAGTTAGAGCTGTCAACCCTACGGTGGCATTTAACCAAATAGTCATATAAGACACCACTTAAATTCCATTCACATCATATTGTGTCTATTATCTATTGGTCATCAGACTATTGTTGCCACCTAATATGAATTCAATTTGTCCCGAGAATTGTGAAAACACGTATCAACGTATATTATCTCCCGAAAATTCATCTAAAATTCAATTATGCGAGTTGAGTAGTAAAATTAAATTACAGCAAGAGAGGATTTATAATTATTAAAAAAAAAAAGATTCTGCGGAAATATTATAATTATATTTGGTGGAAAAAATATCGTATGTAAAACTTATTTTTATTTGAAAAAAGTAAAGTTGGTACAATTGCGCGGGACCCAAGAGTGATCCGTTAAAAATCCCTTCATCGGTTGCTTTTGTCAAAAGAAAAAGAAGAAAGCTGTTTTGGTTGGTTTTGTTCATCGCTGGTGCCATCTTATTATTATACATTTTTGCATCGTATTTAGCTGTTTTTCTCCTTTTTTTGCGGTTCGTAAACCCACTTACTTATTTTATATACATTCTTAACAATGATTAGTCGTAGTAAGCAGTATCCTAATTAAGAATTTATTTAGGTGAGGGCTAATAATAAAATTATTTTGACCCCATTAGTTCTTTTTTATAGATGCTAAGATCATCGTATCTAACTTTTCTTATTTTATCTACACATATTGACCTACATTTTCTTTGATTCAAGTTTATCTAGGAAGCAGTATGTTATTGTTTAAGCTTAAAAAATTGGGTTTTAAAGTTAAAAACATGGGGCAAAACCGCAAATAAGCTAAAACCGTAATATTTGTGTTTTTGGGGGAAATGATATCAGACAATTATACTTTAAAGTAAGTAAGTAACTAGCTTTTGTAAAATTTTGGACAAAAATATTACGGAAAGGACGAACACTTATTTGTCTAACGTCTTTGTGAACACTTGCCGTTTTCACATAAAACAAGAAAAAGGAGAAAACAACAATGAACACGAAATAAACGAACACTTGCCGTTTTCACATCATTTTTATAGTTTTTACAGCACATGATGAGACAACTTGCTTGTTTCTCTTCTCAAGAACGACAAAAAAAAAGAAGCTAATTAACATTACCTCCTGAAAAAATATGTAAAATGATTAGTTAGTAGTAATATTCGACTTCACATTAACAAGAGTTATATGCAACTACGACTAATGTTATATTAATTAATTTTAGAGGTTACTTTAAACTATTACAAAAATCTGATATAAAATTTTGTACTCCAAATTCTTTTTTCCATAGTGAACTCGCATCAAGATGACGACAGAACAATCATGAGGTTGTCTTTTTTTTTGTCCACTACCAAACTAGTTGTGTTGCTTATTGTGGGAAAACGATCTATTTCCCCACGAGAAGTATTCACATCACACCAGATCCACACCAATCTATGACCACGTGCTAAATGTCTCCGAAAAAAAACTTTGAAACCTATATCTCCTTGAATTAAAAGTTTCAAATCTAAATCTCCCCGAAACAATATTTCCAAACATATATCCCCATAGACTTCGGTTTTAGCTGGTTTATTGCTTATTAAACAAACCATAACCAACTAGAAAAGACACGAAACCGGAATTAAACCAATTGCAACCCAATTAACCACAAACCCAACCCCAAAAACCCATACGACCCAACTTTTTTCTTCTTCACCTAAATATTTTCTTCTTACGATTCTTTGATTTCGTTTTCTTGTTTTGATTTCTGGGTTTTGGCTCAGATCCGAAAATGGTACTCTTGAGATTTTGATTTGTAACATGTGAGAGATTCTTGATGGGTCTCTGTACTTCGAAACGGAATAATGGTAATGAACAAGCTGCCATGGAGAACAAACTCTTATCCAAGAACAAACCTGAGAATCAGATGAAAATTTCATAGATCTTCGATGAAATAGAGCTTCGTTGATTGTACTGCTTAACAAGGTCAAGCTTTGTCGAATTCGAACAAGATTTGGCTCGGGTCTGATTGATAAGTTTAATACCTTTTTCAAAGGAGTGTTGCACGGTCGGAGAAGAAGGGAGAGGTGAAGAAGAAGAAGAAATGATAGATTTAAAAGTTTTTTTTCGGAGACATTTAGCAGGTGTTCATAGATTGGTGTGGATCTGGTGTGACGTGAATACTTCTCGTGGGGAAATAGATCGTTTTCCCGCTTTTTGTCTAATATGTGTAATTGATTAGTTGGATATTAGGCCCAGTTATATGCCCAAACTCATTATGGAAATAACAATGCCCGAATTCAGCCCAAATGTTAAAGTTAGATAATCTAGGTCAGTACTACGGCAGAGGGATGTGAGATTATGAGATATGTAATAGGCTAGGAATGTATAACAGAGGAATGTATAATTAATATTATATTGTTAAGAACCTTTCTTAAGAGACTCCATGGATGGAGATGCTCTTATCCCAAAAAATGAATTAGAATTCGAATCAAACCCAACATAAAAATAATCAAAACCAGCAGCCCACGCATCTATCTTCCACATAAAAATAATCAAAAACATAACAATGTCATTCACAATCTTCAAATCATTCCTCCTTTGATGATCTTTAAAGACATTGATAGGGAGGTTCGTAACTCATCCACAAGAAGACGAAGACGGCATTTTGGTAACTTAATGTTTCTTTGGATTCATTGATTATAATCTCAAACTTCTTGGTTTAAAATTTGCTACCTTGTTTTTTGTTTTTTTTTTTGCTACGGTACCAATATAAAGGGGAAACTTTTGCATTACCCAACTTTTCATGAATGTGAATATTTACAGTTTACCAAGAAAATAAAAATAATCAAAAATTAACTTTTTGAAAAATCAAAAAGATCAAATTAAATCAGAACCGAATCGAGATCTGGATTAAACATCCAAATTGAACGAAACAAAATTCGAGTCAGTCAAATCCAATTAAAAATGAAATGAGCATGGCATATATTATATTGGTTTGTGCTAGTGTAATACTCGAATTTTCAGACTTGCATATTGAATGTTGTTAACAAAAAATACCTTTAAAAATAGGTATAAGCCCTAACTCATAATAGATACTATGTTTTATTTTTATTTTTCAAATTTAAGGGATATAGGTATATCTACCGTCTATTGTATGGATACAAAGTTTACTGTTAATAAAGCGTTAATCACCAAAGTATTATCCCAAAACGTATAAATAATTATTTTGACATCATATAGAAATACAGTTTTATATTATAATATTGAACGAATTTAATAATTAAGTTATAAATTTGTTAAACTAATACACATGCCTAATGCCTTGGTCGATAAACTAATATACACGCGAGTGTGGTGCATCTGTTCCATTTAAAATTTTCCGAATTTAATAAATGAGTTATAAATTTGTAAGGCATGTAAATAAACTTGGGCCAAGTCATTTCATAATTATTTATCCGCCTCACTATCTCCATGCAACTTATTTTTATTTCTTGTTTATCAAAACAATACTTATTTTTATTTCACTCAACGTATAACATTATTACTCAAGATCGCTAGAGAGTTTACTTTGGGCTGTTGTAGACATAAGACTTGGCGAAATAGACAATAAAAATGAAGGCGAGGGAGCTGAGACAAGCAAGTAGCCAGTAGAAGTAATCAAGATGTGCCTGGTTCAGGTTATTAGAGAACCAGCTCACTTGACCGGACTGGCTTGTGGCTTCCTCGATGACCGATACCATGAAGCTACTCAAGAAGTTTCCTATACCGATTATGCTGAGATATAGAGCCAGTCCCATGCTCCTAAGCTCTGGCGGGACTTGTCCGTAGAAAAACTCTTGCAAACCAACCATAGTGAAAACGTCGGAGACTCCAAAGAGAATGTATTGTGGAATCAGCCAGCAAACGCTCATTGGGACCGTAGCTTTAGGCGAATCAACTAGTCCGTGATCTCGAGCGGTCTTGAGTCTTTTCATCTCGACCAAAGCAGCTATTACCATTGAAATAATTGAGAGGAAAATGCCGGTGGAAATTCTCTGAAGCGTTGTAATTCCTGCTGGTTTACGAGTGATTGATCGTGCGATTGGGACGAATACACGGTCGTAGATTGGGATGAAGACGAGGATTGCTAGGCTTATGAAGCATTGGAGTGTAGCTGCAGGGACTAGGAGTGTTGATGAAATTGATCTATCCATTGTAGATCCTTGCTTTGTGAAGAAAGTAGGGGACTGCGCATACACAATGCCAAACACCAAACTACACAACCAAATTGGAACGAGACTCAACACAGCTTTTGCTTCCTCAACTTCAGATGAATCGCACGAAATCACCGCTCTGTCTAGGAATCTGCCGTTGCCAAAGATTGTATTGTTATAGACTTTTGTAAGATACATAATCTTTTTCTTTTTGTAAAATGTGAATGTAAACGCCAAACGCTAAAAATAATATTTTTGTGTGCATTTGGTTCTGTTTCGAACTATATAGTGAGAACATAATTGAAAAGAGAGAAACTTAAACAAAATTTTATTTTTAAATCTATCTACTAAGAAATTAAGAATTCTAATAAAACAAATGGTATATCAAATAATTTTGAAAATATAATTTTTTATAGTGCATGCATTAATTAAACTATATAACAAATTTAGTTAATATTTATAAGAAATTAAAAGAGATATTTAATTATGATTCACATGATATATTTTGTATGCATATGAAATGGTCGATCTTAACATATTTTATATCAAACAAAAGCATGCATGTAAATTATCAAAGCTAACACATGCTTTAAATTTTATAAATCAGAAGTAGTTCCAACCTTTTCGAGTTAGATAATTTAATTTGTATTTTAATTAATTTGCCCATGAATTTTTCTTATTTCTTAACTATAGAAGAACTATTAAAAAATTAAGTATGTACGTAATTACCTAAGTTCAGATAAGAAACTTGACTAAAAAATGATTTGGTTTGAAACAAAAACACAATGTAAAGACAAAAGAAAACAAAAGACCAAACAAACAAAACATATATCACCTGAATTTCTTGGAACTTTCAGTTGGCATAAGAAGGCAAGTATCATCAGGAGTTTGTCGCCGGTTTCTAGCTGCAGCAAAAAAAACACGGCCAATTCTAACAAAAGGGTTATCATGTTTTTTGCCTTGTCTTCCTTCTCCTCCAGTACTAAAGCGGTACGTTTTGATTCCAAGTAAGAACAAGAACAGAGCAAGCATCATGGAAAGACATGGAATCCCATATCCTAAAGCCCAGCTCAGATTCTCTTGGATATAATTTGTGATCAGCCGAGTGGTCAATATACCGGTTGATATCGCAAAGTACAACCAGTTAAAGTAAGAACTCTTGGCTTTGGACTCTTTAGGGTCTTGTTCATCAAACTGATCTGCTCCAAAAGCTCTAAGACATACCTTAAAGCCTCCTTCTCCCAAAGCAATTAGGTAGAGAGCACAAAAGAAGACAATTACTTTGACTTGAGGAACGCACGACTCATGTGTTTCTTGACCTTTACAAAGAGAAGGAATCGTCGCTGAAAACGTGAGCAGCACAAGTCCCTAGAGTTCAAGATCACACCACATAAAATATATTAAAGGTTTTTCAAAACTATAGCGCGTTTTTAAGGTCAAAGATTTTCAATTCAGATTCACATTTGATTTTTGTAGTATAAACAAAAAGTATCTAAAATAAACCCTAATATAATAATATGAATAGTATGGTATGGTTTCAGTTTCAATTTGGATTTGGGGTTTAGTGAAATATATCATTAGATTTTTAATCGATTTTGTTTTGTTCTTTGATCCAAATTCTTATTTCTAGAGTATAGAAAAAAATGGATGTGTAGCAGAAGATCCAACTCAAAACCAATTAGTAATGATCGCACTAGAGAATCAAGAAGTTAGCGAGGGAACAAAAGAAGAAGCTTTGAGCTTCATTGTTACCATGATATAGAAAGAAGAGGTCAAGAGGATTGTACGAAAACGGCCGAGAAAAGAATCGGCGATAGAACCCCATATCAAAGGCAAAAAAGCTGCCGTTCCGAGCCAGAGGTTGACGTTTGACGCTGCAACCGCCGTCGACTGTCCTAACGCCTCGGTGAAGTAGGTTATCAGATTCGAGGCGATCCCGAAGTAGGCGAATTTCTCCGCAACTTCCGCACCTGCCGGAATATTCTCATTTTTTGAGGATTTAGTGGTAAAATATGAGGAAATGGAAAAAAAGAGAGTCAAGACTTACACATGGTGAAGCCAGAGGATTTCCATGCACCGGAAGATGATCTGATTGATGGCTTGCCTTGAAAATCGACGGAGTATTCGAGAATATCGTTTGAAATAAGAGTTCCAGTCTCATTATCGGCGATGGATGTCGACATTGCCTCTTATGATTTCCTTTCAGAGTTATTGATCTAGAGGTTATATATGTATATTTATATAGTTGGTACATTATGCACATTGACCAAAATCTAATTTAGATTCATATTATAATCTGACAGTATTTAACCACGTGAGTCACGACGAGAAGTGAGAACGATATATATATTGATTGGTCGATTGATAAATGCGACGCGATAATAGTCTTCGGTGTCAGGAATGACACCGTATCTTAGTGGTTGGCAACGAGGAGAAATGGTCACAATTAGGTGGTTATGATATTTAATAAAAATAAATGAAAGATTAGATTTCGATTATGATGATGATACGGCCGATCTCCAATCCATGCATGGCTGGCCTGGTCCAAAGGAGTTATTTGTGGACGTCACATGATTGCTAGAGCTGCCAAATGGTCCGTCCATAGACCATTGGGCGTGTCCGTACGGATAGATTTTTTTATGGGCTAAAGTTGGACGGTGCATAATGGACAATGGTCCAAAAAATGTCCATGACCAATAAAGACCATGTCCATATGGGCAAGCCCATGGTCAGCCCATTTTTATTATTGTTATTATTGATAAATCAAAAATCATGATTTTAGAGGGAAAATTGAGAAATTGCGTTTTCCCGCCAAAACGGTAAAATTGCAAAATTATGTTTTTCTTACCAATACAATAAAATCACGATTTTGGTAGGAAAATTATGGAATTGCTTTTTCCCGCCAAAACGGTAAAATCGTAAAATTATTTTTTTCCACCAATACAATAAAATAACTATTTTAAAGGGAAAATTGCGTTTTCCCGTCAAAACCGTAAAATCGGAGAATTGTGTTTTCCCGCCAAAACTGTAAAATTGTGTTTTTCGCCAATATAATAATATCACGATTTTGGCGGGAAAATTACGTTTTCCCGCCAAAACCGTAAAATCGGAGAATTGCGTTTTCTGTCAAAACCGTAAAATTGTGTTTTTGCCGATACAATAAAATCACAATTTTGGTGGAAAATTTGCGGAATTGCGTTTTTCCATCAAAACCTTTTTGTTTAAGGCATTGTGTACGTATTGAACCTTTTTGTTTGACGAACTATTCCTTGGTAATTCAACCCTTGTTATAAAAAAAACCTTTAGAAAGTCGAAATTTGTCATTTCAAAACTTTTTCATTGTCAATTTGTCATTATATAAAGTAATATAAACTTTCTACCAAGGTTTATATAGGACTTTATATTCTAATAAAGTACCTTTTAAAAATAAAATTTTATCATAAAGTAATGTAAACTTTTTAATAAATTTGACATTGATGTCGGCGGACAACGGTGTGGAAGGTTAGATACCGCTCATCATGCCATGTGTGGTCAATTAATATGCAACCAACTTTGAAGGTTATACAGAGTAAGCTGCAACGCAGTTATTTTCGGGTTCAGGCGAAGAACGTTGCATGGTGTTGTTTTGTGTGAGACAATCAATTTTTGGGCAAAGCTTTAAATACCCGAGAGACATCTCATATCTAAAGTTTATCCTTTAATTACTAAACGTTTATATAAATTTTGTGTTTTCTAGCTAGCTTATGCCATTGTGTATCACATGCTAGCCTGGTTTACCCCAATAGTGGGGTTGTTCTCTCTTCCTTTTTTTTTTTTTTGTCGAAAGTTCTCTCTTCCTTTTACCGCTACTTTTTGTCACGTTATATAGGGCCTCTTCATTTCTTAGTCGCTCAACTAACGACAACGACAAGAAAAATAAAAGGTCCAAATGCTTTCTTACTCCATATATCGTAACAGTCTAGTAAAGCTGTTTTAAAAAATTCTACTTCAAAAATTAAGACGCAGCCACCCAAAACATGAGCTGTAACCATGGGCGGATCCAGAACTTATTTTAGTATGGGGCACAATTTTTTATTTTAATTTTTTTATAAATTTATCTTATATTCTTCTATATTTTGATTTTTTTCACTACTATTCGAGTTGTCATTTTGAATACATATGTTTTAACAAAGTAAACTAAACAATGGTTTAAAATTTGTTTAGCCCGACGATATCTGATATCTCATAAGTCATAACTAACGTTTTCACTAGTTAGCATTTATGTAGACTAAGGAGACATTTGCTTTTTAGTTGGTTAATAAGGCATTTTTAATGTTTTCTTTGTATTTTTTTTGGTAAGTAATGTTTTCTTTGTATAATAACGTGGAGTATTGTAAGGCTTTTGTAATGTTTTATTTATATAATAACGTGGAGTATTGTAGTGTAACAATCAAAATTACTTGAAAAAAAGAGAGTATATGGCACGTGCCCACCTTACTATGCCGTAGATCAAAATTTGCATCACTTGTTAGCATTTATGTAGGCTAAGGAGACATTTGCTTTTTTAGATTTAACTGGCTGTAACAGTCACTGAAAATTTGAGGGTTGAATTTAATCAACAGTGCTTGCTATATGCGTTAGTCTTAGTGTGTCGCTGGAGTTGTTATTTGTCATTATGAAAGTCTATTTTTCCTGGTCGCTGATGTTGGTCTTGCCGCTGTTAATTAAAACTTAAAAGTACAGGCCCATAGTATTAATAATTTCCATTTTAATTTATTTTCTCACGGTAGTTTTTAATCATATATTCTGATTTTTTTTTTTTATAAATGATTCGGTTTTGAAAACATGCAAATGCCGACTTGGCTTGTCATGAGGCCCATATCAGAAATGGAAAAAGCCTAATTCACTTAAGAAGACACAATGTTTTTAGAAGGTGTTTGGTCTATTGTAAACATACGACTTGGCGAACCACCAGTAGGAGGCTAAACCAATGGAGCTGAGGCAAGCGAGTAGCCAGTAGAAATAATCTAGATGAGCTTGGTTTAAGTCATTATCGAACCAGCTCGTTTGACCAGACTGGCTCGTGATTTTATCAATGATTGATATCATGAAGCTGCTTAGAAAGTTTCCGACCCCGTATATGCTTAGATTCAGAGCCATACCAACACTCCTAAGCTCACTAGGGACTTGGTCGTAGAAGAACTCTTGCAAACCCACCATGAACACGTCTGAGACTCCATAAAGAACGTACTGTGGAACCAACCACCACACGCTCATAAGTATTGTGACATCATCATGAGCGGTTTGGAGCCTTTTGTTCTCGACCAAGGCGGCTACTACCATAGCAAGAATGGAGAGAAAAATCCCTATGCCAATCCTTTGTAGCATTGTGATTCCTGAAGGGTTATGAGTGAAAGATCTTGCGACTGGGACGAGGAGACGGTCGTAGATTGGGATGAAAATGACCATTGTAAGGCTTATGAAACATTGGAGTGTAGCCGCAGGGACTAAGAGTCCTGGTGAGATTGACCTGTCCATTTTGTCTCCTTGCTTTGTGAAGAAAGTATGGGATTGTGCACATACAATAGCGTAGACTAAACAAGTCAGCCATATGGGAACAAGCTTAAGCACCGCTTTTGCTTCTTCAATTTCAGCAAAACTACACGAAATCGCTGCCTTGTCTAGGAATCTGCCACAATACATATATACACGAACCAAGATGGTATAAAAACAATTGTTTGTGGCTTCAAAGATTTTAAAGATAAGTAATATACATGTTAATTATGTTACCTGAATTGCTTGGAACTCTGGTCAGCGAGGAGAAGGAGGGCTTCGTTCGGATTATATAATTCTAAATCTTGTTGTCTTCTGTTCTTTACGGCCTCCACGAAAACACGACTGATTCTAGCAAAAGGGTTTTTCTTTCCTCCTCTTGCAGTACTAAAACGGTAAGTCTTAGTGCCAAGAAGGAAGAGAAGCAGAGCAAGTAGCATGGAAACACTTGGAATACCAAATCCTAAGGACCAACTTAGGTATTCTTGAATGTAGCTAGAGACCAATCGAGTGGTCAATATGCTAACACAACTTCCAAACATCAACCAGTTAAAGAAAGAACTCTTGCCTTTTTCCTCTTTTAGATCATTTCCATCGAATTGATCAGCTCCAAATACCTTAATACACGGTTTGTAACCGCCTTGTCCTATTGCTATAAGATACAGAGAGCAGAAGAAGAGAATCACTTGGAGTTGATATGGATCTTTAGAGTTAGAAGGAGCCGTGGCTGAAAAAGACAGCAACCCAAGTCCCTGCTTGTTTCGTCAAATCATTTTAAGAAAAAACACATGACAGGTTTTAGTAGAGATGTTTAAGAGGAGATTGTTATATACCCAAGTCCCTGTTTGTTTTGTTTCATGAAATCATCTAAAATCTTTATCATTAACAAAACTTCGGGTAATAGAAATGTTTTGAGAGGAATATATTATATACCAAGATATAGAGAGAAGACGCGATCACGATTGTACGGAAACGTCCAAGAAACGAGTCAGCGATAAAGCCCCTTAGAAGGGGCAGAAACGAGACCGTTCCAGTCCATGCGTTGACATTAGCCGCAGCTGCAGCTGTTGACTCACCCAATGGTCCGGTCAGATACGTTATCAAGTTCGAGGAAATCCCGTAAAAGGCGAACTGTTCCGCCATTTCGACACCTACAAACAAAGAAAACGAAACAGAATCTCTAAGAGTTTAGTAAAGCTAATTTGGTGAGAGTGATCAAACTTACTAACCAATGATTAGCCTGGCCGATTTCCATCCTCCAGAGGATAATCTGAGGGTTGGCTTGTCCATGGAACTCTCAGTAGTTCTCAGAGGAAGAGTACCTTCTAGCTCATCGCAGGTGATCGCCATTGGCTTTTGTCTTAAAAAGTTTTCAAATGCTTCTTGTCTTTCTTTATGAACAAGAAGATAATAATTGAGTACATATGTGCTTTGTTTTATTGATTTTATATATTAAAAAGTGGCTGGAGCTTGGAGTAGGTGCACTGGTCAATTGGTCATTGTTATTTGATTCCAGTTAAAAGTTCATGTGCACTCGCGTGATTTAGAGATTCTAATTGATATCAATAGATATAAGTATATTATAACTAATTCAAAAATGAGATCAGGTTCAAAATATTTCATGTTAGTGACATTCAACATTGAAAATAAGTAACAAAAGTCATTCAAGCCAAGTCGGCTCCATTTAATGAATTATTATAAGAATTCTTTTCGAGTTTAAAATTTTCCTAACATAAATCTTATCAAAATTATCCTCATCACAAATCATATTTCTCTCTGTTAGTAGTTTTTTTTTTTCGTTTTTGATAATACTTTTATAGAGCAATATCATGTTATAATAATGTTTTACATGATTGATTTCTTAATATTAGTTAAAATTCTTGTAAAAGTAACTCCGAATATTACGTATAGAAGGTTTTAAATTCATAAATGATGGTATTGATATCCTGATTTAGTTGGTTGTGAAATCCATTTCAGAAATGGAAAAAGCCCAATTTAGTTGGCCGAAGAGAGAAGACAATGCTTTAAAAGGTGTTTGGTCTGTTGTAGACATATGACTTGGCGAACCACAAGTAGGAGGCGAAACCAATGAAGCTGAGACAAGCTAGTAGCCAGTAGAAGTAATCTAGATGAGCTTGGTTCAAGTCATTATTGAACCAGCTCGTTTGACCAGACTGGCTTGTGACTTTATCAATGACTGATATCATGAAGCTGCTTAGGAAGTTTCCCGCCCCGTATATGCTTAGGTTCAGAGCCATACCAATGCTCCTAAGCTCACTAGGGACTTGGTCGTAGAAGAACTCTTGTAAACCCACCATTGTGAACACATCTGAGACTCCAAAGATAACATACTGCGGAACCAGCCACCACACGCTCATCGGTATGGTGAGGTCATCCCGAGCGGTTTGGAGCCTTTTGGTCTCGACCAAGGCGGCTACTACCATAGCAAGAATGGAGAGGAAAATTCCTGTACCAATCCTTTGTAGCATTGTGATTCCTGATGGTTTTTGAGTAAAGGATCTTGCAAATGGGACGAGAAAACGGTCGTAGATTGGGATGAAAATGACTATTGAGAGGTTTATGAAACTTTGAAGTGTAGCTGCAGGGACTAAGAGTCCTGGTGAGATTGACCTGTCCATTGTGGCTCCTTGCTTTGTAAAGAAAGTAGGGGCTTGTGCATGTACAATGGTGTATACTACGCAAGTTATCCATATGGGAATAAGCCTAAGAACCGCCTTTGCTTCTTCAATTTCAGCCAATTCACATGAAATCGCTGCCCTGTCTAGGAATCTGCAAAGTATCCAAGAAAACGAAATTCATCTAAAAATCAATTGGTATATATTAATCTAGATGGAATAATATAAATTTCTTCTACAATATGTTAGATCATTATTTTTCTTATATATATCGACGTGGATTTTCTAATAGAAACCATGATGGTATGAAATGATGAACATGAAGACTCTCAAATGAACATCTCTGTTAATTATGTTACCTGAACTGTTTGGAACTCTGGTGAGCCAGGAGAAGGAGAGTCTCGTTCGCGTTAGCTATATCTAAATCGGTTTGTCTTCGGTTCTTAAAAGCCTCCATGAAAACACGACTGATTCTCGCAAAAGGGTTTTTCTTTCCTTCTCTCTCAGTACTAAAACGGTAAGAGTTAGTTCCTAGGAGGAACAGAAACAGAGCAAGCAACATGGAAACACTTGGAATACCAAACCCTAGTGACCAGCTTAGGTTCTCTTGAATGTAGGTAGAGACCAAACGAGTCGTCAAGATGCTAATACAGTTTCCAAACATCAACCAGTTGAAGAAACAACTCTTGTCTTTTCCCTCTTTTAGATCATTTCCATCGAATTGATCGGCTCCAAATACCTTAATACACGGTTTGTAACCGCCTTGTCCTATTGCTACAAGATACAGAGAGCAGAAGAAGAGAGTCACTTGAAGCTGATTCGAATCTTTGCGGTGAGAAGGAATCATGGTTGAAAAGGACAGCAACCCAAGTCCCTGTTTGTTTTGTTTCAATTAATCATCTAAAATCTTTACCATTAATGAAACTTCTGGTAAAAGAAATGTTTGAGAGGGTTATATACCAAGATATAGAGAGAAGATGAGATGACGATAGTATGAAAACGACCGAGAAACGAGTCAGCGACAAAGCCCCCAAGAAGCGGCAGAAACGACACTGTTCCAACCCAAGCATTGACATTCGCTGCCGCGGCAGCTGTTGACTCACCTAATGGTCCCGTCAAGTACATTATTAGGTTTGACGCTATGCCAAAGTAAGCAAATCGCTCCGCCATTTCTACAGCTACAAAATATTAGAAACAAAAAACAAAGAGAAATTAGCAAAATTTGCGGGAGAATTATTTATGAGGTCTATTATAGAGTAAGTAACTCATTCATGCTTACTTACCGATGATGAGCCTCGCGGATTTCCATCCACCGGAAGTATTTTCTCGGATTTCGAGAAAACCCTCAGTGGTATTTCCGAGCTCATTGGCGGAGGAACGGGTGATAGCCATTGTGTATGATGATTGATTGGTTTTGATATTTCAATATACAGACAAGTGCTTATTTTATTGTTTTTATAGTGTATATAGGTAAAGACAAGATTGTATGATGATGGTATTAGGTATGGGACGTAATTGGCTTCGCTGGCAAGTTATATTGATGAACAAGATTACAAGATACCAATTAACTATTCATATGGACTTTGCTTTTTAGCAGAAGTCCCTGAAAGGACCATATATGTTTTGTTTTATTCTTTGTTTATTTCGAAAGCCGTTGGAACATGTTCATTTAGTTAGATTCCTTACCTTCTTGAACTTACATATATGATGAAGATTGTCATTATGGTATATTTTATTAGCCACAATAAACTTTGCTTGATCGAATGATAGTTACATGGAATCACAATTTAATATCAAATTTGCAAACAAGAAACTGAGGTGATAATTACAAATTCCCATAAGAATCATGATTTTCATAAGAATCATAAACCACAAAAAGAAACTCTCCATTGTCTCCATTAGTAAGTACACTCAGTCCACCCGGCGATATATATACGACCTGGAAATGAACAAGAACGTAAAGAACCCAACGGCACTAACAACCGCAACTAACCAATAGAAGTAATCGAGATGGGCTCTGTTCAGATTACTGTTAAACCAGCTATTTCCGGCGTCTCCTCCAGTGGCCAAGTCGATCAGAGAGATGAGTAAGCTGTTAATTAAGCTTCCCACGCCTAACGCACTTAAGTAAAGTGCGAGACCGATGCTTCTCAGCTCAGTGGGGACTTGGCTGTAGAAGAACTCTTGCATTCCTACTAATGTGTGTACATCAGCCAATCCCAGCAATATATACTGAGGGAACAACCACAGTATCGACATTGGAAGAGTTGTTTTCGGTTGGTCTATAAGTCCGTATTCTTTTGCAGTCTCGAGCCGCTTTGACTCAACCAAAGCTGCCACCACCATAGTGAGAGTTGCTAGTACCATTCCGGTTCCAATTCTTTTGAGCGTTGTGATGCCACAAGGATCTTTGGTTACTGACCTTCCGATTGGAACCAAAACACGGTCGTAGATGGGGACAAAGAGAACAATTGTTATGCTGATAAGAGCCTGAAGAGAAGCAGGTGGGATCTCTAAACCTGGAAAAACTGTTCTTTCCATTGTGACACCTTGCTTTGTGAAGAAAGTCATGTACTGCGCGTAGGGTATCGCATAAGCCAAAGTTGTAAGCCATACTGGAATAAGCCTAACAAGAGCTGTAGCATCGTCGACATCTCGAGACTTGCATGCCATTTCTCCTTCAGGAGAATCATTTGGGACAAGCAATGCTTTGTTGAGAAAACTGACACAAGAAAATGGAATCTCATAAACATATATACAACAAGGCTTCGAACCATAACCTATACGCTTGCTATATGCTCAACATACCTCTATGTAAAACATACCTCAGCTCCTCTGGAGATTCTTGAGATGTATTTGCCTCTAGCTCAACTTTGTACAATTCCGAGGAACTCAATCTTTGGTTCTTGAATGCTACAAAAAAGACTCTACCTATCCTCGTAAACGGGTTGATTTCCTCTTCTTGTCTTCTTTTACTGTACCTATAACTCCTTCTCCCTAACATAAAAAGAACAAGAGAGATCACCATGAACACACATGGGATTCCGAACCCGACCGCCCAGCTTACATTTTCCTGGATGTAAACAACCACTAAAATCGCCAGGGCGATTCCTGCACACATACTAAGGTACCACCAGTTGAAGAAGGAGCTTCTGTCACTATTCTCTTGCTGGTTCTTTTCATCAAACTGGTCTGCCCCAAAAGCTTGAACACAAGGCTTGTGGCCACTTTGTCCAATAGCCACCAAATACAGAGAGAAAAAGAAGAGTGCATTGAGAAAAGAAGAAGGTGTAGAGGTCACTTCAGTAGTGTTGGGAATCAGAAACGCAGATAAAGTCAGAAATGCCAGTCCCTGACATCAAAATTCAAATTATGCACAAGTACTCAATTTCTACTTCTTAATATAGTTTAACATTCACTATTTCTATATCCGAGAAACCGAATCCAAACCAAACCGAAAAGCAAAAAAACCGATCTAAAACTGAAGTTTCTTTAGAAAACATCGAATCCGAATCAAAACCGAAACCGTACCAAACCCAAAGTGAAACCCGGAAGCCATAATCTAACTCACATTGCGGTTGAAATGAATCGATTTCTACAATTCCTTCACTTAATTCTAAATTCAGATCGAAAATCGAAAAAGAATGAGACGAACCAGGACGTAGATAAGAGTAGCGATGATAATTGTTCGGTACCGACCAAGAAAAGCGTCGGCGATGAAAGCTCCAAGAACAGGAAGAAGAGTGGCAATTCCCGACCAGGCGTTGACATTAGCGGCGGCTACAGCCGTGGATTGACCAAGTGGTCCAGTCAAATAACTTATTAAGTTTGATCCGATTCCATAGTAAGCGAACCTTTCCGCCACCTCCACACCTGCAAAAATGTCATCAGAAAATCAAAAGAAGAAGAGAAAGTTGTGTAACAGAGCAGCTCGCGATTGGAGTTACCGATTATGAACAAGGCGGCTCTCCATCTACCGGTATTGGATCTTCTGGCGGCAAATCCACGGTGGTCAACGGCGTCCGTGACGTATTCTTCATGAAGAGAAATTTCTGAAGTAGTCGTCATTTTACTCTATCTCTCCAACTAAAGAGACAACAAACGTGAGTTGTTGAAAACGCTGCGTTTCCGCGGTTGTCGAAAAAACTTTTATCCAGGGGAAATGGACATTGTGTTTGATCGGTTTTAATTTATTTAAGAATTTTAAATACAGAAAAATGATTCTTGTATTGTTTAATGTTTATGTAGAATTTGTTGGCAAGATTGGATGATTGAGGTGTGAGACGTTTATATGACGGAAATGATTAGAGCCGACCCTGATAAAATAAAGGTCACAACTCACAAGCCCAAAAGAATATAGGATGTTAATAATAATAAAAATGTTAGAGAAGAAACTTCCCTTTCCCTCATCTCCCCCATCTTCAAGCCAGAACCGTTACGACCGAAAAATAGATAATATTTACGAAAGCCGTAACCCTGTATATGTCTGGCTCGCTTGACTCATGGCCGGCTCTAAACATGATAACAATTGAAGTAGTAAACTCTTGTAGCATATGTGCTTTGTTTTTTGATTCATGGCCCGCTTGACTCATGGCCGGCTCTAAACTCGGACATTTTTCGTCAATTTAGATTGTATGATATATCAAACATTTTGAACGTTTAAACGTAAGTGTTTGATGAAGAGACCGAATAGAACCTACTCACGCAAAAATCTTATCGGCTATTCCATTTCCTATGATCTTTGTGTTATCTATGCAACTTTTTTCATTTCACTTCTTTCCCAACGTAGTTATCATATTTTGTGTGTATGAGTGGATTAGTTTCACTAATATTAATCAGTATCAGCTATCTTTGTTTATGTTGTCACATTTTTTTTCTTAACCATATATCAGTTAGTATCATTTGATCCAACAAAGATTAGTCGCATGTAAATATGTTTTGGTACTCATAGTATTTTTCTTGTTAATCTTAGTTTAACTGTTCTTACATGTTCAAATTTTTTACAACACAATAAGTGTTTTGTGTATATACCTATTTTTAAAAATGCATATTTTCTATAACATCTTTGGATAGTCCGGACTGCACAACCATTATGGAGTCGTTAAAGAAGCATTTAGAAACTATACTCCGTCCACCTGACGATAGATATACGACTTGGAAATGAACAAGAACGTCAAGAACCCAACGGCGCTAACAACCGCTAGTAACCAATAGAAGTAATCAAGATGGGCTCTGTTTAGATTACTGTTAAACCAGCTGTTTCCGGCTTCTCCTCCAGTGACCAAGTCGATCAGAGAGATGAGTAAGCTGCTCAATAAGCTTCCAACACCCATCGCGCTCAAGTAAAGCGCGATACCGATGCTTCTCAGCTCAGTGGGAACTTGGCTATAGAAGAACTCTTGCATTCCTACTAAAGTGTGTACATCGGCCAATCCCAGCAACAAATACTGTGGGAATAACCACCATATCGACATTGGAACAATTGTTTCCGGTTGGTCTATAAGTCCGTATTCTTTTGCAGTATCGAGCCGCTTTGACTCAACCAAAGCTGCCACCATCATAGTGAGAGTTGCTACTACCATTCCGGTACCAATTCTTTTGAGCGTTGTGATACCACAAGGATCTTTGGTTATTGACCTTTCGAGTGGGACCAAAACACGGTCGTAGATGGGGACAAAGAGCATAATAGATATGCTGATAAGAACCTGAAGAGAAGCAGGTGGGATCTCTAAACCTGGAAAAATGGTTCTTTCCATTGTGACACCTTGCTTTGTGAAGAAAGTAATGTACTGCGCGTAGGGTATCGCGTAAGCCAAAGTTGTAAGCCATACTGGAATAAGCCTAACAAGAGCTGTAGCATCGTCGACATCTCTAGACTTGCATGCCATTTCTCCTTCAGGGGAATCATTGGGGACAACCAATGCTTTGTTGAGAAAACTGTCATAAGAAAGTGGAATCTCATAATCATAAAATAAGACTTCGAACCATTACCTATATATTAAACATACCTCAGCTGCTCCGGTGATTCTTGAGATGGATTTGCCTCTTGCTCAACTTTGCACAAGTCTGATGAATTCAGTCTTTGGTTCTTGAATGCTACAAAGAAGACTCTACCTATCCTCGTAAACGGTTGGATTTCCTCTTCCTGTCTTCTTTTACTGTACCTATAACTCCTTCTCCCTAACACGAAAAGAACAAGAGAGATCACCATGAACACACATGGGATCCCGAACCCGACTGCCCAGCTAACGTATTCCTGGACGTACACAACCCCTACCGTCAGGCTAATTCCTGCACACATACTAAATAACCACCAGTTGAAGAAAGAGCCTCTGTCACTATTCTCTTGCGGGTTCTTCTCATCAAACTGATCTGCACCAAAAGCTTGAACACAAGGCTTGTGGCCACTTTCTCCAATAGCCACCAAATACAGAGAGAAGAAAAAAAGTGCATTGAGAAAAGAAGAAGGTAAAGAGGTCACTCCAGTAGTGTTGGGAATCAGAAACGCAGATAAAGTCAGAAACGCCAGTCCCTGACATCAAATTCAAATTTCTACTTCTTAATATGGTTTAACATTCACTTTTTCTGTATCCGAGAAACGATCTAAAACCGAAGTTTCTTTGAAAACTAAAAATTTATTTGTCGAAGAAGAGAAAGAAGGAGACGAACCAGTACGTAGATAAGAGAAGAGATGATAATAGTTCGGTACCGGCCAAGAAAAGCGTCGGCGACGAAAGCTCCAAGAAGAGGAAGAATAGTGGAAATTCCCAACCAAACGTTGACATTAGCGGCTGCGACCGCAGTGGATTGACCAAGTGGTCCAGTCAAGTAGCTTATCAAGTTTGATCCGATCCCGTAATGCGCGAACCTCTCCGCCACCTCCACACCTGCAAAAAATGTAAGAAAATCAAAAAAGGAGGAAATTGAGAAACAGAGCAGCTAGTGATTGGAGCTTACCGATTATGAAACATGCAGCTTTCCATCTACCGGTATTGGATCTTCTTGCGGCAAATCCATGGTGGTCAACGGCGTCGGTGACGTATTCTTCTTGAAGAGAAATTTCTGAAGTCATATTTCCTCTGTCTCTAACGAAAGAGACAACAAACAAGAAATAGAAACTGGTTTGAGTTGTTGACCTTAAAAATGCTATTTCTTTTGTCTTTTTGATGATTACAAAACTAATTTTGTGGAAAATAAAAAGTATGTAAATATGTTTTGGTAGTCAATAGTATTTTTCTTCTTAATCTTAGTTAACGGTTCTTACATTTTCAAATTATGTTACATCCCCATAACTGTTTTCTGTGTATATATATTTTTTACAAAAAGCATATTTTCTATAACATCTTTGGATTGTCCGGACTGCACAACCATTATGGAGTCGTTAAAGAAGCATTTTTTCATTTAGAAACTACACTCTGTCCACACGACGATAGATATACGACTTGGAAATGAACAAGAACGTCAAGAACCCAACGGCGCTAACAACCGCAAGTAACCAATAGAAGTAATCAAGATGGGCTCTGTTCAGATTACTGTTAAACCAGCTGTTTCCGCCTTTCCGGCGTCTCCTCCAGTGGCCAAGTCGATCAGAGAGATGAGTAAGCTGCTCAATAAGCTTCCCACGCCCAACGCACTTAAGTAAAGCGCGAGACCGATGCTTCTCAGCTCAGTAGGGACTTGGCTGTAGAAGAACTCTTGCATTCCCACTAAAGTGTATACGTCAGCCAATCCCAGCAACAAATACTGAGGGAGTAACCACCATATCGACATTGGAACAGTTGCTTCCGGTTGGTCTATAAGCCCGTGTTCTTTTGCAGTCTCCAGCCGCTTTGACTCAACCAGAGCTGCAATTACCATAGTGATAGTCGACAGTACAACTCCTGTTCCAATTCTTTTGAGCGTTGTGATGCCACAAGGATCTTTGGTTATTGACCTGGCGATTGGGACGAAAACACGGTCGTAGATGGGGACAAAGAGGACAATTGATATGCCGATAAAGACCTGAAGAGAAGCGGGTGGGATCTTAACACCAGGAAGAATTGTTCTATCCATTGTGACGCCTTGCTTAGTGAAAAATGTCATGTACTGCGCGTAGGGTATCGCGTAAGCCAAAGTCGTAAGCCATACTGGAATTAGCCTGATAAGAGCTGTGGCATCTTCGACATCACTAGACTTGCATGCGTTTTCTCCTTGAGAAGAATCATTGGGTACAAGCAATTCTTTGTTGAGAAACCTGTCACATGATAATGTATAACCTCATAAAAACATACAACAAGACTTGGAACCATAACCTATATATGTTAAACATACCTCTGTTTCTCTTGAGATGTATTTGCCTCTAGCTCAACTTTGCACAATTCTGATGAACTCATCAATCTTTGGTTCTTGAATGCTACAAAGAAGACTCTACCTATCCTCGTAAACGGGTTTATTTCCTCTTCCTGTCTTCTTTTACTATACCTATAACTCCTTCTCCCTAACACGAAAAGAACAAGAGAGATCACCATGAACATACATGGGATTCCAAACCCAAATGCCCAGCTGAACTCTTCCTGGATGTACACAACCACTAAAATCGCCAGGCAGATTCCTGCAGACAAACTAAGGTACCACCAGTTGAAGAAGGAGCTTCTGTCAGATATCTCTTGAGAGTCTTTTTCATCAAACTGGTCAGCACCAAAAGCTTGAACACAAGGCTTGTGGCCACTTTGTCCAATAGCCACCAAATACAGAGAAAAGAAGAAGAGTGCGTTGAGAAAAGAAGAAGGTGTAGAGATCACTTCCGTACTATTCTCTCTTGTACTAATAGGAATCAGAAACGCAGATAAAGTCAGAAATGCCAATCCCTGAAACATCAAATTCAAATTTAATTTTCTACATCTGAATCATGAAGAACAAGTAAGGCCAAAAATAAAAAAAACTAAAGAGAAGAGACTAACCAGGACGTAGATAAGAGAAGCGATGATAATTGTTTGGTACCGACCAAGAAAAGCGTCGGCGACAAAAGCTCCAAGAACTGGAAGAAGAGTGGCAACTCCCGACCACGCGTTGACATTAGCGGCGGCTACCGCCGTGGATTGACCAAGTGGTCCAGTCAAATAACTTATTAAGTTTGATCCGATTCCATAGTAAGCGAACCTCTCCGCAACCTCCACACCTGCAAAAATGTCCTCAAGAGATTCAAGAAGGAGGAAATTGGGAAATAGAGAAGCTCGAGATTAGAGTTTTACCGATTATGAAGAAGGCGGCTCTCCATCTACCGGTATTGGATCTTCTGGCGGCGAATCCACGGTGGTCAACGGCGTCGGTGACGTATTCTTCTTGAAAAGAAATTTCTGAAGTAGTCGTCATTTTCCTCTGTTTCTCTCCAACGAAAGAGACAACAAACGTGAAACTCGTTTTGACTTGTTTACCTTAAAAAGGTATTTCTTTTGTCTTTTTGATGATTAAAAAATCTAATTTTGTGTAAAGTAAAAAAGGTTTTATAGAGCCCAGTAGCTATACAGAGCCCAGTAGCCTAGACAACAGAATACAAAGCCTATCAAGAAGTAACCCAATGTTGGAATTTGACCGAGACATTGAGGGGGAATCCAGAATCTTGAAGTCGAAACGTTTTTACTAGGTCTAGGTGAATATAAAAGCCTTGGCGTCACAAAAAATTAACAGTTAGTGTGTGGTCAAAATGGATGTCACTATTTAACAATGAGAATTAATAACTTAGTACCGTTTAGCTTTGTTTGCAATTGCAATGAGAATTAATTAATAACTTATGAGAATTATGAGATTTGTCTGTAGCCCAAAAGCCCATTTGGGTTGAAAAAAAAAAAAAAAAAAAAAAAAAAAAAAAAACTTATGAGAATTAATAAACTTAGTATCATTCACCTACCGGCACTGACGTATACACAAGAGTTATTATGCTTTTTCTTTTTTTGAAGAGTTATGCTATTTCTTGCCACAGAAATAGTAATGTTACGTCAATTTCGAAATACGTGGATAGTTTTTCAACACATACTAACACACCTTTTAATCGTGTCTTACTCTTTCACGAGGAGTATTAACTTCTCTCTTCAAATTTTGGTGGAATCAAAATATCTCATGTATACCGACAACTACAAGGGATAGAGAATGCATAAAACTCCTATGAATCTTGTAAATATTTCCAGATCAATTATAATTTCACGTTTTACCATATTCATATAGAGAACGAAAATATATGTAGTTTTGGAGTTTTGATTTTGAAATTAAGTGACAAAAATTAGGCATGTTATTTGTAACAATTTTTTTGTTTTGTCAACTTTACTACACTTCTTCTAACCAACACTTCAAAACAGATTTTTTTTGTTTTTTTTTAATATGTTTATCTAAGGAACTATCAAAGACTATAATTGAGTAATTAAGTACTTGCTCTCGACAATTGCCACCATCTCTTGGACCCATCATACATATACAGTATAGTGTGGTAAAGAAGCATTAGTTAGCTTCTCAACAACCTCATTTAAGTACAACAATACATATAAATAGCTATGTCCTATGTGTATCATAAATAAACCATTTGCATATATATAGTTTATACTTTGTAGAATAATATACCATATAACCTGAAGATAGAAAGAGAGATATGGCAATAGAAAGGCAAGTGTTGTTGGAAGGAGAGGAGCCAGTAAGTCCATTTGCACGGTTGTTTAGCTTGCCGGGTCTCGATGTCTTCAACATTGTAACCATTGGATGCAAAACCGAAGGCAATGCATCAACCATCATTGAAGGCATAAAGAACACATTGATCAACCATCCACGCTTCTCTAGCATACTGGTAGGCAATCAACGTGCACATACATAGACTCGTATGCACATGTACACACATTTTTATTGTTTATATGTTAAGTTTCATGATTTCAAACTCAAAATCAATATCAAATGAGTGTATTAGTCCATATCCACAATACATTACCTTAGGGTTCCTCTCATTCAGATGTAAGATTCCTAACATCACATAATACATGTAGGTGACTGGTCATGGTGAGCACAAAGGAAAAGCTACATGGATTCCAACGGAAGTAAAAGTAGAAGAACATGTAATTGTTCCGGATATAGATCCCAGCATTGAGAATCCTGATGAATTTCTTGAGGATTATACATCAAACATGGCCCTTTCTCCAATGGATATGTCCAAACCTTTATGGGAGTGTTGTGGTGTTAATTCTGATTCAACTTTTGGTGGTTGGTTTAATCACTTGGTTTAGCAGAATTGATAGCCGGTATTGGTGGAGTTAATTGAACCGGGATTGAAGGAGTCAAAGGAAACCTTCTTGTCGCGAGAGAGGGTTTGCTGTTTCTAATTGGGTTTTGGTATAAATACCCTTTGTATCTCTCCTTCTTCGTTATCCGTTCATATTGTTGTAAACAGAGAAAAGCTTGAGACTCCATTGTTGTAGAGCTCTTGCTTGGTTGTATTCTCATTCTTGATATAGTGGATTGCCGAACTGATTCGGCCCCAGACGTAGACTTGATCACATCGATCTTGTTGAACTGGGTTAACAAACGCTTCTTGTGTTCGTCACTTTCTTTCTGCTTTCGATTTCATTCTTGAGCTGGTTTCAGTTCTTAAACACAATCGATTGAGCGTGAGAGAGGTTCGTGTTGTTGAGATTCAAAGACTAAACGTAACAGATTGGTATCAGAGCCCAGGCTATGGGTTATATCGTATCGGATCGATCGATGGCGACAACAACGAGAGTAGAGATTAAAGCGTTTGACGGCGATAACGATTTCTCGTTATGGAAGATAAGAATCATGGCACAGCTTGGCGTTCTTGGACTTAAAGACGCACTCACCAATTTCACACTGACCAAGACGGTACCGTTAACGAAGAGCGAAGAGAAACAAGCAGCTTCTGGAGATGAATCTGTCGAATCAAGCAAATCGCTAACTAAGGAAGTTCCAGATCCGATCAAGATTGAACAATCTGATCAAGCGAAGAACATTATCATCAACCACATAAGCGACACAGTCTTGAGGAAGGTAAACCACTGTGAGACTGCTGCTGATCTGTGGGCTTTGTTGAATCAATTGTACATGGAAACATCGTTACCAAATCGGATCTATGTTCAATTGAAATTTTACTCGTTCAAGATGATGGATTCGAAGACTATTGATCAAAACGTTGACGATTTCTTAAAGATAGTTGCTGAGCTGGGTAGTCTTGAGATAAAGGTAACTGAAGAAGTTCAGGCAATCCTAATATTGAACTCTCTTCCTCTTACGTATGATCAGCTTAAACATACTCTGAAGTATGGAAATAAAACTCTATCTGTGCAAGATGTGGTTTCCTCAGCTAAATCACTTGAAAGAGAGATGGCTGAGCTAAAAGAAAGCACCAGAGTTGCTACTGCAGCGCTTTACACTAATGAGCGAGGTAGACCTCAAACCCGAAACTCTCAGAAAGGAGGCCAAGGTAATAACAATAATAATCAAGGGAATGGTCAAGGAAGAGGGAGGAGTAGGTCAAACTCAAAGACTCGTGTAACTTGCTGGTTCTGCAAGAAAGAGGGACATGTCAAGAAAGACTGTTATGCGAGAAAAAGGAAGCTTGAAAGTGAAGGACAGGGTGAGGCTGGAGTAATCACTGAGAAGTTGGTATACTCAGAAGCTCTCAGTGTGTATGATCAGGAAGCAAAGGACAAATGGGTTATTGACTCGGGTTGTACCTATCACATGACATCAAGGATGGATTGGTTCTCTGAGTTCAATGAAAAAGAATCAACAATGATCTTGCTTGGTGATGATCACACGGTTGAATCAAGAGGCAGTGGCACTGTGAAAGTAAATACTCATGGGGGATCAGTCAGGATGTTGAAGAATGTCAGATTTGTGCCAAACCTGCGAAGGAATTTGATCTCTACAGGTACTTTGGATCAGCTTGGGTATAAGCATGAAGGTGGAGACGGCAAGATCCGGTTCTACAAGGATAGTAAGACAGCACTGCGTGGAAACCTGGTTAATGGTCTATACATTTTAGATGGACATACAGTCCGAAATGAGAACTGCAATGTTGAAGGATCTAAAGATAAGACAGGACTATGGCACTGTAGGCTCGGTCATATGAGCATCAACAATATGAAGATTCTGACAGGTAAAGGATTGATTGAAAAGAAAGACATTAAGGAGCTTGAGTTCTGTGAGCATTGTATCATGGGGAAATCTAAGAAGCTGAGTTTTAATGTGGGAAAACACAATACTGAGGAAATCTTGGGATATCTGCATGCTGACTTGTGGGGGTCTCCTAATGTCACTCCCTCACTCTCAGGTAAGCAATACTTTCTGTCAATTATAGATGACAAAACTAGGAAAGTCTGGCTAATGTTCCTTAAGACTAAGGATGAAACATTTGACAAGTTTTGTGAATGGAAAGAGCTTGTTGAAAATCAAGTAAATAAGAAGGTCAAGATCTTGAGGACTGACAATGGCTTGGAGTTCTGTAATCAGAAGTTTGAGGATTATTGTAAGAAGAATGGTATAGAAAGACACCGTACCTGCACCTATACACCGCAACAGAATGGTGTAGCAGAGAGAATGAACCGCACCATAATGGAAAAGGTCAGATGTCTTCTAAATGAGTCAGGACTTGATGAAAGATTTTGGGCCGAGGCAGCCTCTACTGCAGCTTACTTGGTGAACCGATCTCCTGCATCCGCAGTAGATCACAATGTACCTGAGGAGTTGTGGCTAAATAAGAAACCAGGATACAAACATCTAAGAAGGTTCGGGTCTATAGCCTATGTTCACCAAGACCAAGGGAAGTTAAAGCCAAGAGCTTTAAAAGGTGTGTTTCTGGGATATCCACAGGGCACCAAAGGTTATAAGGTGTGGCTATTAGATGAAGAAAAATGCGTGATCAGTCGTAATGTGGTCTTTAATGAAGAAGAGGTTTACAGAAACCTGAAGTCAGATGATGAGAAGCCTCAGAGTGAAGAGAAACTTGAAGGAAAGGTTATTGCAGAATTAAGTCCAGGCATTCAAGAAACTGGTGAGAGTTCTAATGTAGGTGGAGCTATTGTGGAAGTAATAAATGATTCTGAGTCAGAACAGGATGAAGTAACAGAGCCAACAACAGCTGCTATTGATCTGGAAAATTACAAGTTGGCCAGAGATAGAGTCAGGAGAGTTCCCAGACCTCCAGAGAAACTATCAGACTATACACAATTTGCATATGCATTAGTTGCTGCTGAAGAAGTCAGCTTAGAGGAGCCGCAGTGTTATCATGATGCTCTTGATGATAAAGATTGGGAAAGATGGAATGCAGGTATGTCTGAGGAAATGGATTCACTATTGAAAAATGAGACATGGGACATCGTTGACAGACCTAAGGATCAACAAGTGATCAGTTGTCGATGGTTGTACAAGGTAAAGCCAGGCATTCCGGGTGTAGAATCAAAAAGATACAAGGCCAGGTTGGTTGCTAGAGGTTTTACACAAAAGAAAGGAATTGATTATGATGAAATCTTTGCTCCAGTGGTTAAACACGTTTCTATTAGAATCCTCATGTCTTTGGTAGTTGAAGAGGATATGGAACTGGAGCAAATGGACGTTAAAACTGCATTCCTACACGGAGAATTGGATCAAGTTCTGTATATGGAGCAACCAGAAGGTTTTGAAGTGGATTCAGGAAAAGATAAGGTGTGCTTATTGAAGAAGTCTCTATATGGCTTGAAACAAGCACCTCGCCAGTGGAACAGGAAATTCAATGCATTCATGTTGGATCAGAATTTTGTTAGAAGTGAGCATGACTCCTGTGTGTATGTTAAAGAGGTGAATCAGGATGAGTTTGTTTACTTGCTGCTTTATGTTGACGACATGTTAATAGCAGCCAAAAGTATGACAGAAATCAACAAGGTCAAGGAGATTCTGAGCTCAACGTTTGAAATGAAAGACATGGGTGCTGCAAGTCGTATACTTGGTATTGACATTGAAAGGAACAGAGAGGAAGGTACGTTGTGCTTATCTCAGTCAAATTATTTGGAGAAAGTCATTCAGCGGTTTAAGATGTCTGATGCTAAGGCTGTTAGTACTCCAATTAGTGGTCACTTCAAGTTGTCATCAGTAAAGAATAATGAAGAGAGTGTTGACACAGAATTAGTTCCCTACTCCAGTGCAGTAGGAAGTGTCATGTACGCTATGATTGGAACTAGGCCAGATGTTGCCTATGGTATTGGATTGGTGAGTAGATTCATGAGTAACCCAGGGCAAATTCATTGGAAGGCTGTTAAGTGGCTGTTAAGGTACCTAAAAGGGTCTATGGATTTGAAGTTGGTGTATACTAAAGGAAAAGATCTCAAGGTTCATGGGTTCTGCGATTCTGATTATGCAGCAGACCTTGATAGAAGGAGGTCGATAAGTGGATATGTTTTCACAGTCGGCGGTAATACTGTGAGTTGGAAGTCAAGTTTGCAGCGGGTTGTGGCGTTATCTACTACAGAGGCTGAGTTCATTGCTCTTACTGAAGCAGTTAAGGAGGCAATGTGGATAAGAGGTCTCTTGGAAGACATGGGAATAAAGCCAGAGGCAGCTTCTGTGTGGTGTGACTCTCAGTCAGCTATTTGTCTGTCTAAGAATAATGCTTTCCATGAAAGGACAAAGCATGTAGCAGTCAAGTACTATTTCATAAGAGATATCATTGAAGCTGGTGAAGTTGAAGTTCAGAAGATTCACACTTCCAGAAATCCTGCGGATATGCTTACAAAATGCATACCAGTTCACAAGTTTGAAGCAGCTTTGGATCATCTAAAGCTACTCAGGTAAGTCTTCAAAGACTATCAGCTGAAGGTTAAGTTCAAGAAGTGCAGTTCACTAGAGAATGATGAAAGTTGAATCAAGGTGGAGTGTTGTGGTGTTAATTCTGATTCAACTTTTGGTGGTTGGTTTAATCACTTGGTTTAGCAGAATTGATAGCCGGTATTGGTGGAGTTAATTGAACCGGGATTGAAGGAGTCAAAGGAAACCTTCTTGTCGCGAGAGAGGGTTTGCTGTTTCTAATTGGGTTTTGGTATAAATACCCTTTGTATCTCTCCTTCTTCGTTATCCGTTCATATTGTTGTAAACAGAGAAAAGCTTGAGACTCCATTGTTGTAGAGCTCTTGCTTGGTTGTATTCTCATTCTTGATATAGTGGATTGCCGAACTGATTCGGCCCCAGACGTAGACTTGATCACATCGATCTTGTTGAACTGGGTTAACAAACGCTTCTTGTGTTCGTCACTTTCTTTCTGCTTTCGATTTCATTCTTGAGCTGGTTTCAGTTCTTAAACACAATCGATTGAGCGTGAGAGAGGTTCGTGTTGTTGAGATTCAAAGACTAAACGTAACAGGGAGTTTCATTTATTGAAACTTAAAACATCACATGCCGAAGCTGTGACCGTGGCTAGGTTCCATCATTCTTTGGGCGATGGGATGTCTCTTATGTCTCTTTTACTCGCTTGTACTCGGAAAACATGTGATCCCGAGGCATTGCCTACTTTTGTGGCTCCGAAGAAAAGCAAAGCGAAGAACGTTTGCTTTTCTTTGGTTGCTTGGTTATGGTTCGTAGTAAGACTTATGTTCCACACTTGTGTTGAAGTTTTCAAGTCTATGGTTTTTGTATGTCGTGCGAGGGACACCTCAGCTCATATAATGGGTAAACCAGGAGCTACACTTAACACTAATAAATTTATTCATCAAATCATTAGTTTGGATGATGTCAAAATGGTGAAGAACGCCATGAATATGGTACGTTTGCTTAATTAGTTTCCTTTTTTTTTCTTCTATCGAAAGATGATTTTTATGTTTTTTTCTCTCTTTTCTATCAGACTGTAAATGATGTTCTTTTTGGGATGGTACAAGCTGGTCTTTCTCGATATTTGAACCAAAGATTTGGTAAATCATTTAATCTTGTTTAATATCATAAATAATATTTGTAACATAATCTTACATTTTTTTCTCCAATTTGTGAACAGATCTTGAAACATCTTCAAAGTCAAGAAAAAATCTTCATGGTGTTGTTTTTTTTAATCTAAGGCCAAATAGAAATATTGAGGTGCTGAATAACATACCCCAAACGATCTTTGCTTTTTTTCTTGTCTTGTTTAAAATAGTAAGAATCTAACACAAGTCTATATGCAGGATTTGGCAAATATGATGGCAAAAGGTTCAAAGTGTAGATGGGGAAACTCAATAGGTTATGTTCTGATTCCCCTGGAGATGAAGTCAAACGATGATGTATTTGAATATGTTCGACAATCCAAAACTATTATGGATCGTAAAAAACATTCCCTCGAACCTCTATTTTCCTATAGTTTGCTCAAATTAACAATGGAGGTTTTTGGATTAACGGTAAGATATTAAATCAAACATTATCTTAATTTAATATACAGTTCCAAATATAATAAATGTATTTTGTGAATCTGATCGACATATATGGGTGTGTGGGGGTGGAAAACAGGCACTCAAGACTCTTGTAAACAGAATTTTTGGTAGCACAATAATGATATTCTCAAACGTGGTTGGTCCAGCCGAAGAAATTAGCTTTTTTGGCCATCAAATATCTTACATTGCTGCAAGTACCTTTGGTATCCCACAGGTACTCTCTTACACACAAACTCATTCTTGAAACCATTATACTAAAAATTATATTCTTAATTTCTTGTGCATCAATTAGGCTACTATGTTAACCTCTATGTTAGAATATCCCACATTATAAATGGAGCTGATTTAACACTAAGATATCATAACCCAATAGGCCCAAGCGGGTATAACAATGTGGAATTCGGTTCGAGATGATAGAGCCAAAACATTCAATAACCTGGAGGGACGTGTTATAATATCTCACATTGTAGATGAAGATGATTCAACACTAGTATATGAATGATACGAGTTTCTCCATTCTATTCAACACTAATTTCGATGGTGTATTCTTCTTTAAAAAAGGCACTCATTATCGGTATTCAAAGCTATGTGGACAAACTTATAATCAACATTGGAGTTGATGTAGACGTGATTCCAGACCCTCATCACCTTTGTGATCTCATCATCGAAGCTCTCCACATGATGAATTCTGCTGCTCCAAAAAAGATTTTTCATGCGTCAAAAGGTTTAAACGAAATGTTTGGCGTGGAAAAATGAAGAATGGAGCATATATTTTCAATACTTTGTCTACACTACCATCTCTTTCTTTTTTTGTTGGGTCTGCAACCATCTCATTATGAGTTTATCATCTTTATATGTACTATACTGTTTTTGTGTGTGATAATGAGTTACGGTTCAATAATTTTTTTTTTTTTTTTTTTTTTGATAAAAAACGGTTCAATAATTTCACTTTTCTTGTACTATGGTCTCTCGTTTATTTCTATTTGCAGTCCTGTCCTTATATGAAACTTTATATATATAAATAGGCAAAAAAAAAAAAAAAAACACAAAACTCAAACCCAAAGGCCAAAGGTGAAGGCATGACCTAATTACAAGATATGTCTACATTACTACATATCATTCGGAAATAGAAGAACCCTGATACCGTGACTAGTAAGTCAGTAAACAGCAACAACAACAACAACAACAACAACAACAACAACAAAAAAGCTAAGTTAGGGTTCGGGACCAAAAGAGATACTAATAAACAAAGACATGCCTCAACAAGCGGTGCCGAGTCTCTGGCCAACATAAACAAAGTGCCAGGTGAGAGACATAAGCGTCAATATATTCAACCAAGAAGAGTACGTGTTGAGCTTGCTCAGCCTCTCGCTCAGCTGCTCCAATTTCCGCCTTAGCTCTTGCTCACTCGTCCTCTCTCCTCTTCCTTCTTCTTTTTCTGCCTTCATTCGCTCAAACATCGCCTGGCCACAACAATATAACCCAACCAACATATTGTTTTCACTAGATGATCCCAGACCAACTTAAATATGTCGTAGAAATTAGAATGACCAAAACGAAAGTTCATGAACCAAAACAGTATAATAATGAGCAATAGAACTACGCATATATAAGATTCAGATCCTCTCCTTCACATTACGATCCTTAAATTCCCTAACCGAAATCAGTCCTTTTCGTGTAATGGCATGTCCAACAGAAAACAACCTTAATTTAAACTAACCTTGGTGGCACGTGGCTCAACAAATGACTTATTAGCCTCGATCATAAAGAAAGCTGACAAGAGGTTAACCCCTTGCCACATCTCCGACGCGTCGGTGAGTAGTTTCCTCCTCCGGCTAAGCACGTGACCAAACAAACCCACAAGGATTCCCACAGAGGTCGCCTTGAAGTAAACAGGATACAGCTTACTCTGCACAACACCAAACTGTTGTCTCCCCAACACAGAGGCTAAAACGTAGCTTGACACAAACGTCACCCACACGCAAGACCCAAATGCCGCCGCTATCGCCGTCAAACCCACAATGCTCGCTACTTTCGTCGGACTCAACGTCGCAGCCGTCGCTGACCCGAAATCACGCGCCGCATTCTTAACTCTCTCCCACACGTTCTTAGACTTATGAGCAGCCGTTTCCTTCAATTCTTGTGCCTTCTCCCTCACTCTATCTTTTGCCCTCTCTTTCGATTCGTGGGCTTTTTGGACTACCGTCTCCTTCACGTCATGAGCTTTCTCTATTACCTTCTCTTTAGCATCATGGGCTTTATGAGCCACACTCTCTTTCGCATCACGGGCTTTATGAGCCACACTCTCTTTCGCATCATGGGCTTTATGGGCTACACTCTCTTTCACATCATGGGCTTTATGGGCTACACTCTCTTTCACATCATGGGCCTTCTCTGTTACCTTACCCTTAGCATACTGGGCTTGATCAGCCACCGTGTCTTCCACGTCACGTGCCGCATGTGTAACCGTCTCCTTCACATCGTGAGCCTTCTGAGCAGCGGCTTCTCCGACATCAGAAGCAGTCTCGCCAACGGAATCTGCGGTGCGGTCTTTAGCCCGACCGACTACACTTGCAATCTTCTGTCTGCACTTACCGAACGCGTCGCATATAACTTCCCCAGCCGTCGCGTGGTGATCACGCGCCTCCTCTGTCATCACCGGCTGCGAGATTCCTTGGCCGACATGTGGAAGATACGACGCCGTTTCTTTCGCTTTCTCTTTAACATTTTTAAACAAAGAAGTTCCCTTGTCTTCTTCATTCTCTTTTTCTTCTCCTTGATCTGCCGAGGGTGGCGAGATCGAGACTCTAGTATTGGTTTTCCCGTCGCGATCGTACTCAACCACCACTACACGGTGGCCATCTTTGACGATGACGTCTCCCTCCGACGCCGCCGTTCTGTGGGTGTTCGTGGCTGGGCTGGGAGACCATACCTCCGCCGCTAGTAAAGTGGTCAAGAAAAGACACAAGGCCAAAAGATTCGTCATTTCTTACTTATCGGTGTTGTTTACTCCTCTCTTCATATGTCATCAAATCTTAACTACCTATACTAAGCATAATAAACACTTTACGAGGGATGTGGAACCGTACCACAGATTTTTCTTTTTCCTTTTAGCTTCTAAATGACACGTATCTCCACGTATTAGCACGTGTCGCCTGTACAAGAAAAGTAACTTCTCGAATGCTCGACGATATTTGTTGCACAACAACCGAAACGGTCGTACATGAGTTTAGAAGAAACCGCATAATGGGCCTGGTTCTGGTACATTTAGGCCCACTATATAATCTCTAGTAGTGGAAGAAACGAATCAAGCACTGTTGAGCAATACATTCTACATGGTTTCCATCAAGAAGGTTTGATTTAGTGAGTACATCACGGAATATTTCTTAGACAAGTAACAGCCAAAAAATATTTTAGAAAGACTACTAATCTGACACACAGATTCATTACCGCAGCAAAACTCTACATGCAATGCTAATCACCAAAACAAGAATGGTGAGAGAGCTTACGAACACTCCACACACAAGTGCCTTATCAATGAAGCCCCAATTTGCTACGCTGCTTCTCGGTACGACGACCTCTTGTTGTATCTCCTCTTCTTTCTTTGACGTTCCCTTGTGATCATCTTGTCTTGAGATATTTCCAGAAATGTTACACGCCTCTCCTGATCTCTCTTCTCCACAGCTCTCAGCAGAGCAAGTGCAAGTCTCACAAGTACTAGCATTCGACGAACAAGGCGGCTTTGTTTCCTCTCGGGATTTTGTTTCTCTATTTGCAGAGCTAAATGTCTCAATCACTTCCCCAAACACTGACCATCTCCCCACAGATGTTATCCTCGCCATAGCTGAAGTCCCAAGCATACTTTCTGGTCCAGTAACTAAGACCTGTACATATCCCTTCGTATGTCCAACCTACAAATTCAAGTAAGAATTTGTAAATGTAACAGTGTTGGCAATCAAACATATAAACAATTATAGTTGCTTTCAGTTTTATTTGATATGAAGTTTGAGGCGAAACGTAAGAATGTATGTGGGTCAGGATGGGCTTACCATATGAATTCCATCAGTCGCTACTTCGGTTATCCATATCCTCTCTTCTCTGCCCTCCATTCCAGTGTAAGGTGCAAAAGCCTCAAAGACAGAAGTCAATTCACGGCTTCGTTGCTTCACTATTTTACTTTGTACCTTCTTCATCTTTGCTGCTGGGGTCCCTATATCATAAATGGCACATCCAAAAAATAATGCTTAGACCTATGAAACACTCCAACATTCCAGATTACATACATAGCCAAATCCATGAGCTTACCTGGTCTGGGGTAAAACTGAGAAATATGAACTTGAGGAAACTTGTAATCCTTGATAAGTTCAACTGTTTGAGAAAAATCTTCATCGGTTTCACCTGACATTGGGAAAAGTGACAAACATATCTTCAACACACCCCAATTATATGAACAATCAATGTGCTCAAGTCATTGACCATGTAACTATCCACATCCAACTAATGCATGCGACTAATGTGATTTTCCAGGGCGGTGTGATGTTTTTATGTCTCAACACTTAAATGAAGAGGAATATGTTATTCGAAAAAATAAAATACTTCCATGTTTATCCAGCACTAACCAGGAAAACCGCATATTATATCAGTAGCAATTTGCATTCCTGGCACAAGCTCTGTTAAGGTGTCTACCACAGTCCTGAACTCACTTGCTGTATATTCCCTGTTCATGGCCTGAAACAAATATTCAGGTAAGACTAGAACAAGAATTTGGCAGTCCTAAACAACTCTGGACTCACCGTCAACACAGAATCACTGCCAGATTGCACAGGGACATGAAGAAACGTGTAGACACATGGGTGACGTAACACTGCTGCTATTTCTTTTAGGTGCTCTAGAATAAAGGGAGGATTAGTCATTCCAATCCTTAGCATTGTGCTTTGATCAGAAGGAAGCTCCTTAACGATAGCATTAAGCAGTATTGGAAGATTAACTCCTATGTCACGACCTGCAACATTTTGAGGATATTAGTTACCAACAAAAAGGAAATACAAAATTATGTCTTAACTACTAAAAATAAGTTAGAAAATAAAGGTTTGAAAAGCAACCATATGCTCCAGTGTCCTCACTGCTCAACCAAATCTCCTTGACTCCTTCAGATATTACAGTTCTCACCCGCTCCACCTGCAATTTAAAAATCTCAATTGGCAAAAAAACAGAAGAAGGGGAAAAGGCTGGATACAAACCATTACTCTACAAGCTGAATCAGCTTACAAGACTATCGACTGTGTAGCTTCCTAAGTGACCACGGGCGTGCTTAGTCTTGCAGTAAGTACAGGCACCCAAACAGCCAACATTAATGGGGAGAATTTCGATAAAATTGTTCCTCCGCACCTGCAGTGGAAAATAACTTATTAATCCCCACTGCTAGAACCCAAATGAAGTCGAACAAGAAATTGGGTAATGAAAGACCAAGCAAAATCTATAGGACCAAAGAACTGCACTGAATTCAGGTTTTTGGCTTCTACTGATTCAGTGCCAGGAATAGCCATACTCAGCATTAAAGTCGAAAACAATCAAGTGTTAAAACTTTCCCACCTTTGGAAGATCAAGCGCAGGTAAAGTTTTCCTAGTCAGCAGCCGCACTTCATGACCCTTAAGAGTTTCTTCAACAATCTCAACAACACGATCAATCTGTTGAACTCCAACAACACTAACGCCTTCTAGTTCTTTAAGATCACGACTGCCCTGAGGAACACATCCCGCAATCACAAGAGGCTTTTTCCCACTTCTACCCCTCGTTATCAAAGTAGACATTGCAGACTGACTAGGGGATTTCACAGTACAGCTGCATCAACCACACTTATGAGATACATTGTAAACACAAAGTAAATCTATATTAGCAAAATGCTGCGTCATAAACTAAAAAGTTACAATACTAGACCGTAACCAACTGAACTATATTAGCTAACATTTCACACTACTCATGAATATCTCAACAGCACAAAAACGTAGTCATTGCATTGGGTAAAAAGAACCCCGAGGCGAAAGCTTACGTGTTAATGAGCCATAAATCAGCATCCTCCGGGACTTCTGTCAAAGCATAGCCGAATGCAGTAAGCTGACCAGCCATATACTCACTATCACTCTGAAACAATAACCGAAACACGAGACAAGACCAGATACGATTAGCTTAACGTACTCTAGCTAAAATATTTTCACCTCAAATTCTCAATCACAAGAATAACAAACATGAGAAGTGTATTCTGATAAAGCAATCAGAAATCTATCAACACAAAAACACTAAGAACTCCAAAATCAGAATCAAACGCTAAAGATTCATAAAATGACTCGCCTGATTATGAGAACATCCAAAAGTCTTGATGTATATCGTCTGCGAAAATCATCGAGACGAAATGTAAGTGCACGCAAAAACATTGATAGATATAGAAACCGAAGCAATGAGAAAATGAAATCTAGAGAATGAGAGTGTATGAGAATGACCTGAGTTCCTGGAATCTTCAACGATGGTGGAGCAAGCGAGTCACGATTCGAAGCAGTAATTTGATCCTGTTTCGAGCTAATACGTTTGCTCTTATTCGTCTTCGGATTTATCCCGACAGCATTTAACGGTAATCGGAATCCCGGTGGTGCACCACCGACTCCTCCGGCCAACAAATCCTCGATATCCTCCATTCTCTCTTCTCTCTCCACGGCGGCGCGTTAACGAGTGACAATGGAGTGTGTGGGGGGTTTTCGCAGCGAAGCAGGAGAGGCATAGTGAGACTTAATGGGCCTGGGTCGGGTTGTATTCATGTTTAACTAAAGCCCAATTATTACTCATAAGTAAATTATGATAAGATCGAGTAAAGCAAATAAATGTAAAACAAATTATGTGAATTTTAAGTTATTCAACGAAAAGTATTCATAGCTTTAGTAAAGTAATTTATGATGTATACAGATAAAATATTTAAAATTTTCTTATAGTAAATTTTCAATTGGTCAACACTACTTGTAAACAAATTTTGGAAATAAATTGATTTCACCAATTTGGCATAACAAATCTAATGATGATTGAGATTTTTTTGGTTACTACAAAATCTATTTGGATATTTTCTATTTGCTACCAAACATATTTTACAATTATTACCGACTTTTTTCTTTACAATTATCACTTATAAAATCTCTAAAGCTTATTACGAGTTTACTTCAATTGGATATTTTCCTTCTTTCTTTTTCAATTTTAAAATATATTACCAAAAGGAGGTGAGGGAAACTTCCAAAATGTGTATTTTGACATTTAATTTTCTTCATTATTAGTTTTCAAATTTAAGAAAAAAATCCAAAGTCGGAATAGGAATATGTTCGAAATATAATATTTCAAAGTTCTCTTTTATTTTTATTTTCACTGATATAATTTTAGTTTTTTACAGGAAAAAATACAAAAAGATATATCATGTCTCTATATGTACCTTTCATTTCACAAACCTAAGATTGAATCTCAGACCACACTGAAGAAAAAAAATTGTGATATGTCTAATCCCTCAATCCATTCTTCCCAGGAAGAAGCACGACGATGTGTGGTAAGTCCTAATTTTCATTACAAACCATAGAAAACGTTATGTTGATTTTTTAATTTTTATAAATATCATTTGTGTTGATTGATGGAAAGACTGATGTTGTTTTCTATGGGAATATCCAATTTTTTGACCGTTGTTTTTATTTGTATGATCATTTATAGATGTATCATTGTATATGATGATATATCTTAAGATCTTATCTGATTTTTAACTCAATATGTAAACATATATAAAACATTGTTTACCCGCGAAATTTTGAATAAGATATATGTTTCATTGTTTGCGAGCACAAACAATCTAATCTATCATATAAGATATAACCAAAGCTTTTCTTATATTGTGTCTTTGTTTATTGTTAAATGTATATTTTTGTTTATTTTAAAATAGTTAATAGTGTGATTACTAAACTATTTTAATGATTAAATGAAGAAAATATATAGATTTTATTTCAAATTTTCGAGGGAAAATTTGAATGAGATGTTTACATTGTTTTGTATAAGAAGGATCTAATTCAATGAGATTTAAAAAGAAAAAAGTTAATAAGATTTACAATCTAATGTATCATTTAGTAAAATATTTGACTTTGTTATGATGAGTTGGTTTTATTGTTAAATGTATCTCTTATGTTTTGTATCTTTCAAAGATAATGTAATATATCCAAGATTTCGTGATTGAATGAAACTAACTCATAATTAAGTTTCATATTAAATTATCCCTCGAAAATTCAATTGAAATATCTTAATTTTTTCGCTCGAAACAAAACATCGATAGTGATTTACCTATCACAATCCAAATGATTGTTTAATTTCTCATAATCGTACAAGATATTGGAAATTGGGTGAAACAAAAAACTTTAAAGATACTTGATTCCTGCTAATAATTCTGTGTTAAAAAATAAATAGGTTCTTGCACTTCCCGCAGTCTCAAACACTTCGGTGCCACAACATGGATATGGTTCGGTAAGTATTTAAGTACTGCATTTTTCATTTTCATTTATTGATTACGGTTTATATATTTGTTTAATCTCTTAAACCTTTGAAAACGTTTCAGAAGAAATATATATATATATGTATATATATATATATATATGTCGTAAATAAGATATTGACTAATAAGTGCTACTGAAACGTTTTCTATATATATATATATCCAAAAAAATTGATCCACTGTATTTTTTTCTCAAAATTTAGTTATTTCTGTATATAATTTGAAATTATAGAATTTCAATATAATGAAGTTACGAGTTCAAAAGAAAAAAATCATTAGTGCAACACTATACTTTCATATGTATATATAGTTATATACACATAATAGTTATGTTACTGCATCAAATATATTGGGAGTCACATATCTATATTAAATATGAGTTAAAAATGTAAGTTATATACTGAAGGTTTTGTTTGTATTCACTAATAGATGACATGAACATATTTATCGTATTCCATACGTTTGGGGATTTACAGTGAGTTATCAAAAAAAGAAAAATGTATAGTTGCAGTGTTTCATTAATATAGTACTTAGAAAAATTTAAATCCTAAATTATGTATACTATCGATATCCTAAAAACTCATGCTTATGTGTGCAGGGAAAGTCTCGTAGACGTGGTGGTGAAGATCGTACTCGTGGTCGTGATCGTGATGGTAACCATAGCCCTAGTCGTAGCGGCAGCCGTAGCAATGGTGGACGTGGACGTGGACGTGGACGCGGACGCGGACGTGGACGTGGACGAAGACGAAGCCGTAGTCGTAGTCGTAGTCCCAGCCAGAGCAATGGTGGTCGTGGCCACGGTGCTAGAGAAGATAGAGATTGTGGTGGTCTAACTACATCTAAAGAAGAAGTCTTTTCTAGTTCGGGAGATCAGGTGTGTCACTATGAAACTCAAAATTTATATATATACTAATGCATTAAACATTTCCAATACATATATAGTGGAACATTAGAACATTTGACCATGCTGATTCAACCGCCCTCTACCACAGTTAACAGAGAGGTGCTTTCACATATTTATCCATCTATTCTATGTATATATATTATGATAAATACTAATTTATGTATTGTAAAATGTAAATATGCATAAAATGTATAACAGTACCGATAAAACTTAAGTCTTTTGACTTTTACAGAATGATAATGATGCCAACGACAAATTAATATATATGTATACTATCGATATCCTAAAAACCCATGCTTATGTGTGCAGGGAAAGTCTCGTAGACGTGGTGGTGAAGATAGTAGTCGTGGTCGTGCTCGTGATCGTGATGGTAACCATAGCCCTAGTCGTAGCAGCAGCAGCGGTAGGAACGGTGGACGTGGACGCGGACGTGGACGTGGACGTGGAAGTGGACGTGGACGTGGACGTGGACGTGGACGCGGTTGTAGTCCAAGACGTAGCCGTAGCCGTAGTCGTAGTCCTAGCCAGAGCAATGGTGGTCGTGGCCACGGTGCTAGAGGAGATAGAGATTGTGGTGGTCTAACTACATCTAAAGAAGAAGTCTTTTCTAGTTCGGGAGATCAGGTGTGTCACTATGAAACTCAAAATTTATATACTAATGCATTAAACATTTCTCCAATACATATATAGTGGAACATTTGACCATGCTAATATAACCGCCCTCTACCATCGTTAACAGCGAGGTGCTTTACAAACTCAAATACCTATTTTATATATATTTTTGATAAATACTAATTTGTGTAATGTAAATATGCATAAAAATGTATAATGGTACCGATAAAACTTATAGTCTTTTCACTTTTACAGAATGATAATGATGCCAACGACAACGTTGTGGAAGTTATTAATAGAGAGAATGAGTGTAAGATTGATGAAACAGGTGAGTATACTATTTTTGTTACAAGTACTTGACAAAATATGTTATTGTTTGATTCTTAATTGGCAAAATTTCAGTTCCTCCTAAAACTGACGAAGAGATCTTAGAGAATATAGACGAAGATCTCCTCAGTTTAATGCATGAAATTCCATCTCCAACGATGTCTGATATCGGTTAGTATAAATTTTACACTAACTTTTATATTCCAATTATCAATTTATCATTATATTAACAATTACTATTAGTTTTGTGATCGTGAGCTATATTTTTATCTTTCAGATTTCATAAATGAGTGGAGCGTCGACGGTGATTTCAATAAGTCTTTAGACAAAAAAGAGTAACAATGTTTTGTTTTGTTTTCTGGGATAAAATTTGGAACAATGTTGGATTATGCTTTTTCTTTTTTCTTTTTATTAAAGAACAATGTTGGATTATTTTGTGAAATTAACTTCTATCTGTGAAATTTCATAAAATCATTTATTTTGGAAATTATATGTTTGGAGAAAAATATCTTGGCGAATATATAGGCGAATTTATTGTGAGAAAGACGAGAAAATCAAAAGAGTGGTGGTCTAGTGATATTACCCGTCGTCCTTGTCTGCACTGGTCCCACAACTTCCGACGATGTCTCTTTCAACTCTGATCATCTGCTCGCCGCCAGACACAAAGCCTCATCGACCAGGGGAACTAGGGATTTTGTTTTTTGGGCTTATCCCATTTCGGCCAATTATGTTCTCCTTTTCGGCCTATTCAGGTGTGTGGCCCAATAAAGTGTTTGAAGACCAACTACAAAAGATGTGACCTAAATCAATTTATGCAAAAGCCCAAGTCTGGTCCAAACTCCTCTTTGTCCATTATTAGCCAACTTTGGTGTCGATTCATGGAACCAGTTGATCGAGGACTACAATCGGAATATAATCCACCATTGTTGCTTTGTCGATACAATTATTACTTGAAAACCTTATCTTTAGAGTCATCTAGAGAGATTATTCATGAAACCAAAAGAGTGAAGAAGAACGGCATTATGATCTTGTCTCCACGGAAAGGTGGTTAGCAAAGCTTCTTCAACTCTTTGTCCCACGCTTTAAAGCGAATCTCAACCGAATATAGAACCGTAGTCATCATTCTCGTTGCCGATGAACAAATCCATCTAGCTCTTTTCGTACCGTCAAAAGTCTCGGCCATGGAATTCCTTTCAACGTCATACAGTCTACTGATTATGACTATTATATCGTCCAATGTTTCGTCCGTGGATGTTGTTTCGATAAACCATGTTATCATTTGCGCTAAATTACTATCTAGCTTTTGTCTTTAAAATCTCACGGATCCTTCGTCAAACTTTTTTAGTTATCTGTGTAGCATTTGCACTTCCCTTATTATATTGTTTATGCTTTGTCTTAAACTTTCTTACCTTTGTAATTTTAGCTAGTGTAAACCTTGCTTTGAAGTTTGAACTGATGAATGAATACAAGTCTTCGATAATAAAAACAATTCCGCGGAGAAATAAAATGAAAGACTGGAAATACGAAAAATCATTTGTTTGTCACTTTTTACACTGTTGTTTTTTAAATACATTTACATATCGTTTTAGGACCAAACCGAGAACAAAAGAACACATAAATATTTACATAAATAAGCACCGACATGACATCGGAATGTGAACCGGATAATCGGATATCCAATTGACCATACCGTCGGGTACAAGATAAAAGGTCCATCACCAAGTCCCAAAAAAGGGAAAGAAAAAAAAAAGATTTGTAGTAAACACCTAAAATGTTTGGTTGGTGAAGAAGAACGATGCTACGAAATTTCCTGTTCAGAGCTCCGACGAATCGCCCTGGTTCCACCATCCAAACCGATAGCCGCCGGTTAATCCGGTTTCAGACAAGATGTTGTTCTTCACCAGATCTTAGCCATTACACGATTCTTGGCTTGACCCCTCTCGCTTCCCAAACCGAAGTCAAACGTGCCTTCAGACGTCTCGCTCTTAAGGTTAATAATTCTTGTTTGTCCCTTTTTGTGTCTTATTTTCGCTTTTTTTTTTTAAAGAAAGTTCAAAAACTTTATGATATTTGACGAATCAAATCAAGAAAACAAAAAGAAGGATTATAATCTAAATAAGACAAAATGAGTTATTGCAGTATCATCCAGATGTGCACAAGGGACAGGATAAAGATTTCAAGGAGATCAAATCCGCTTACGAGGTTTTTTCTTTTTTTCTTCTTTCTGGTTTCTTGATTTTTCGGATATTTAATTTTTCTTCAATTAGGATTTTAAAAAAATCCGTATTATTATTTGTTTACTTCTTGATTACAGTAAAACCTCTATAAATTAATAATGTTGGGACCATGAAATTTTATTAATTTAGAGAGGTATTAATTTATCGATAAATTAATAATTATTAATTTATAGAGAGATTTTACTAATTTTATAATTTTTAAAAAACTTTCTATCTAAAAATAAAATTTTTCTTTATAATTAAGAAATAGCTTTTTAAAATCAATTGCAAGTAGAGAAGCAATTATTAAGTTTAAAAAACAACACAAACTTTTTTCGAATAATAGAGTCAATTTCATTAAAAAATTTACATATAATATTTTAAATATATATCATAGTAATTCATATATGACATATATAAATTTATATCATATATATATATTAAGTTAAATATACATATATATATATATATATTGATAAGTTTATACAATTATTAATTTATAATATAGATGAGACCATATATTTACAAGGGAATTTCAAAAAAATTATTATCTTATTAATTTATCGATTTATATCATATTTTACACTGGTCCCAACTCGGGACCGGAAGAATTTATTAATTTAGAGAGGTTATTAATTTATAGAGTATTAATTTATAGAGGTTTTACTGTATGTGATGTTTAACTAGCCATGGTATAACGTAATTGAACCCTTATAATGTTTTTCAACATATTTGAATAAAACATTGAAAACTTTCTCTAATATTCATTAAATTTCAGTGTTTGATGCAAAAGTTTGAGAAAGAAGAAGAAGAAATGGAGATTACAGAAATGGGTGAAATCGATGAATGGGAGGAATGGATGGGATTCGAAGGAGGGATACCATCAGGTATTTCTTACTAGATATAATCATTTGTTACAATGGATAGAAGTAGAATCAGAGAGATGGAGAGTACAATTTTTGGGAGCAAGACAACAATTACATCTTGGAGGAAGCTTGTCATCGCCGGAGGAAGGACATGTCATGTACTCTACTTGTAAGCAATAGAGAGGACAAGCGATCGCTGTTTTTGTTGTAGTAACTCCAGGGATTACTCCTCCTAGAATAGCTCCTAATGGATTTTTCAAAACAATGAAACAATAAATATGATCAACTTTGATTGTGTAATTGCTAACCATATTTCAGATAGAAATTCGTATGTTTCTTTTGAAAGAGACAAACCTGCTATGATGAGAGACATCACCCAAATCTTGTATATAGAAGCCATACTTTCTTGGAGGATTTCTACTTCTCCTGGCTTTTATATAGAAGCCACACTAGTGTTGACACTTGACATGTTGGTTTTTATGCAAAACATGAATTATTAACTCCTACCGTTGACTTTTGAATAGCTTGAACAGTCAATGTCTAGTTTACTTTGACCAAACCACTAAAGGTTTCATTACAATTTGAAAATGAGACGAAAAAAGAGACTTGAAGATTGGACTTTATCTCATCGCAAAGCTTATCTTCAAATGTTGGGTTCAAATACATTAAAGCCGTGATAGGAATAAAGGTTGAAATAAACTTAGAATCTAAGACATTACTAAATTAAAATTACTACTTACTACTGCCGTTCTATATTTCTTTCTAACACACAAACAAAAAGAACTTTACACAAAACACCAGAGACTAATACTACTACTCTTATCGTCTGCAGTTTCTGGATCTTCTTTGTACATACTACTAGCAAGTCTCGTGTTCTTCTGAATCAAACCGGGGAGGCATGACCCTCTTTCGTACCAGCATTTCCGCTGTGACTTGCTTCCTCTTTAGTCCACCTCTCGGTCTTGAGGTGAAGATTTCATCAGTTTCGACAAAATCACCCTGAAACCACATTCAGTTTTATGTGAGATTGTACTCTTCTGAGCTTGTAACAAAAATCAGTATGAAGGTTGGGGATGAACTTACGCAGGTATAAACGTGACATCCAGAATTCTCGTGGTTGTTTCTGACATGTTTGTAAGCAAATCTCATGCCACAACCTGGAAAACCGCAGACAAAGGGACGTAAATCCTCATGCACTGCTTTCACGTGTTTCTGAAGATTAGAAGCCTGAAAAATCATGGTAATGTAAATTAGAGATTATGAATAATCTGAAAAGCAATACTTAGTTTAAGTAGCTCAGGATGTTTCTTTACCTTTGAGAAAGTTGAAGAGCAACCCTCAACTTCACACTTGAATTCTCCTGTTGAGGAATCTTCATCATGGGTCCGTAGATGTCTCTTGATGTTCTTTTTCAAATGCTTAGAGCCACATATGTCACAGTTGATGTGCTGATGGCAGGACCTTATGTGTGCCTTGAGGCATTCTTCGTTTGTAAAGTACTTCATACACCCAGGCTCGGAACAAAAAGCCTCCACAGAGTCCAATTTCACTGCATATGTAAATCCAAAACTTTAAGAGATTGGAAATCTAAAAAGCTTTAAGAAACAGCTGTCTTTATTTTTCAACAAAACATATAGAAAGCAAACGTGGAAATCTTCATATGCCCACGATACTAAACTAGAGGGAAAACAGAAGTATGAAGGTGGAATTACCATGAGAATCCTGATGCTTTTGCAGCTGTGAAGGATACTTAAAGGCTTTCCCACAACCAATTTCTTTGCAGACAAGCTTCTTCTGACCAGTTGAACATTCAGAGGGTTGAGAATCGCCATTACCAGTGTTGTCTTTACCACTATCACCATTACCAGCATTTTCCTTATCACAACCGGCACTACCAGATTTTTCCTTATCACTATCGCCCTTACCAGTAGTGTCCTTATCACTGTCGTCATTACTATGACATTTCTTCACATGCCTACTAACGTTGCCCTGTACTGAGAATTCACTCTTGCAATTCTCCTTCGGACACTTAAAGAGCTTCCCTTTATGTGTAAGAAGATGCCTATTGAGATGATCCTTTCTCCTATAGCTAGTAGCACAATCATCCACATAGCAAGCAAAAGGTCTCTGCACACCATAAACGTGAACTATCAGAAACATAGCTCACTAGTGAAACAAAATCCAAAGCAATATAGAACAAAACAAGCTAAAGAACATCAGACCTCAAACTTTTTGCGTGATCGAGGCTTACTTGCTGGAGCTTCTCAGGAGGTCTCCCAACCTGATACTAGTCCATAACATGTAGCCTCGCATTTTGGAGTTCTCTCTTTGGGATCCAATGCCTCACGCAATAATATAAGTCAGACCTTTTGAATTAAACAAAAGGCCATTTATTTCCTGCAAAGGCATGAACTTTTAGCTCACAATAAGAACAAAACTCAAAACTAAGCAAAAACCACGAGTATCTCTATGTATCTCCATCTGTAGCTGCAACACACAGAACGAGAACAAATCGAGTTCTCATGACAGAAATTGAAAAGGACGCATAAATCTACCTCGAGAGAGTGGCTCTGCATATGCTGCTTCAAGTGAGCAGGTTTCTTAAACTCAGCACCACATTCATGACAAGTATGTTTACTTGAAGACTCTTCTTCAACCTCACAAGCTTCATCATCTTTTTCCTCTTCAAGTTCCATCTGAACAAACGAATCAGACAAACTCTCAATTCAACAAACCATTACCAATTCATCACGATGCAACAGATGAGATATTTGAATCGAAAGATCTCAAACCTGATGATGAGATTGGATGTGTGAAGTGATGAGATACTTTTTCGATCGGCTGATTCCGCAATACTGGCAGAGATAGTTTCGTATGTCCTTCTTCTTCGCCGACGTCTTCACATCAAGTTTAGCTTCCTCAGCCATGTCTCTCTGATTGTCAACACAAGAACTAGGGTTTATCTCCTCCATCAGACGCCGCACTAAAGAAGATGAAGTAACAAGATCTAGAAGCAGCAACGGCCATTTATATATTAGCTTCTTTTTCCCGGAATGAGAGAAATCTAACCTAGAATTCTTGGGCTTTTGATTATATAGTGGGCCTTTTAAGCCCATCAAACTTTTTAAATTAGTTACTTTATAATGGGCCTTTCAAGATCTGTTGAACTGCACACAACTAAACGAGACGATGGTCTCGTTAGCAACGAGATGATCTGACTCTGTTTTTGTTATGTTTTAATTTTAAGCTCTTATTTCTATTAAAACATCAAAGAATGCATTACATGTAAAAAATGTTTTTTGGTTGAAAATAATTTTACAATCATTTAAAAGAAAAAAATTATCTAACCGCTTTGTTATCGGTTTCAGCGTAAAATCGACAAGATCAGGGAGAGAAACAACATATGATGTATAAGTGTTTTCGTTTTTTTCTATATCTCTTTTCTCTTCCAAATCTCATCGATTTTTTCTACGAATTTAATAAAAGCTGTAAGACAATTGGAGTGGGTTAAAAAGTATATATAAATTATCAATTTCGGAACATGAAATCTGAAAATTACCAGAAGAATACTTACCTGATTTACAAACTGATTATACTGTCGTTCACTAAAAAAGTTGTGTAGTACATAGTTATGCTTAAGGATCAAGCGGATTTCAAAAAGTCATGAAAGAAGCTATTTGCTTATAGAGGAAATCAGAATTCCACTCTTCCATGAGATTGAAAGCATACTTTTCTAATGATGTAAATCAATTACTATTTGAAGTCGTCTTGTTAATTGTTGTAAACCTCACTATAAAAATAAAATCTCAATTGTCATAAATTAAGAACAAATTGTTGCCAGGAAAAAAATAGGAACAAAATTGAAACGTCACAATCGGTCCATTTAATGAAATGGGCCTACACGTAACATGTTAGAAAAAAAATTACAGTCTATTAGCTCAATCAGGTCATCGTTTTAACAAAGGCTAGGCCCAAATAAAAGACGAACCAGTCCAATTCAAAAACAAGCGATGTTTTTTTAAAAAATGATTATTTACTTATTTGTTATCGGCACGTGTCATGTGTGCTACACAACTTCGTAAAGATGACAAATAACACCTCACGGACACATCACCATTTTTTAACGTATTTCCCCATAACGATTATTAAAAAACGTATTAATCCCATAATCATATCTTCTAATTAAATAATTAACCACACCACAAAATTGAAATTAATGATTTTAATCAATAAAATTAAAAACCCTAAAACGCAACTTTCTCTCTTCTTCTTCCTCTGTCTTTGCGCCCAAACCAAAACCCACACAAAAGCCCTCTTTGTTATCTTCTCTCTGAAACTAGGGTTTCTATTTTCTCTGAGTGATGTGAAATGCTCGTGTAACGGAAACGATGCAGAAGATTCTGTGCAAAAGTACCACTTCTTCAACCCCTGTTCTCTCTACTCCGGTGAACTCTTTCGCCGCCGGTTTCATCTCTCTAGGGTTTAAGACCCCCGTCAAAAAACTCACTCCTTGTTCCATTCCCAAACCTCTCTCCACTTGTTTCTTCTCTACTTCAGCTATGCCGACGAGAACGGCTTCTGTTTCTTCAGGCGGTGTTGGTTTCTCTGCTTATCTACAGAGGAGTGTCCATAAACCGGCGCCGGCGTCGGTACGGTTCTCAACAGCTGCTTACCGGACTTTCCGGTGTTCAATCGACGGTACGAACCGGGCTTGGGTTGGTCGAACCGGGACTTGGCGTGCGTTGTTTTGCTCAGACTCTACTGGTGGCTTAACCCCGGTTAATGCTACTGCTGGAGCTGTGGTTGAGAGTGAGGGAGAGTCTGACGGAGAAGATGAAGAGGAGAAAGATAATGATTCGACGGATAAGGTTGAGAAGCCAGTGAGGATGAGCCGTAGAAATCGGAGCTCTAATGGAAGTGGTGAATTTGTTGGTAATCCAGATTTGCTTAAGATTCCTGGAGTTGGTTTAAGGAATCAGAGAAAGCTTGTTGATAATGGCATTGGAGATGTTGCAGAGCTCAAGAAGCTCTATAAAGATAAGGTAATGTTTGAATCTTCGAATTTAGCTTGTGGGTTTTGAGATAATGGTTGAAAGTTTCAAACTTTTTTTTTGGTTGATTGATTTGTTATCTCAGTTTTGGAAAGCAAGTCAGAAGATGGTTGATTATCTTAGGAGCTCTGTTGGGATTATACATAGGAACCATGCGGAGAGTATAACAACGTTTATTAAAGAGAGTGTGGATGATGAGTTAAAGGATTCTGGCCCTGAACCTAATGTAAATGTGAAGAAACGTTTGACGTTTTGTGTTGAAGGGAACATTAGTGTTGGTAAATCAACTTTTCTTCAGAGGATAGCGAATGAGACGGTTGAGTTACAAGACCTTGTTGAGATTGTTCCTGAGCCTGTTGATAAGTGGCAAGATGTTGGGCCTGACCATTTCAATATATTGGATGCTTTCTACTCTGAGCCTCAGAGGTATGCTTATACTTTCCAGAACTATGTGTTTGTCACTCGGCTGATGCAGGAGAAAGAGTCTGCTTCTGGGGTTAAACCTCTCAGGTTGATGGAAAGGAGTGTCTTCAGTGACAGAATGGTAAATTTAAAGCAAATGTTATTAAAATTGATAGTTTGCAATGTGTGATTGCAAACTTAATATGTTGTGGAACTTGGTGTTTAGGTGTTTGTGCGTGCGGTTCATGAAGCGAAATGGATGAATGAGATGGAGATCAGCATCTACGACTCTTGGTTTGATCCGGTTGTCTCTTCTTTACCTGGACTTGTTCCTGATGGGTTTATATACCTAAGGGCAAGTCCTGACACTTGCCACAAGCGGATGATGCTCAGGAAACGAGCAGAAGAAGGTGGAGTCTCGCTGAAATACCTCCAAGATTTGCACGAGAAGCACGAGAGCTGGCTGCTCCCGTTTGAGAGTGGAAACCATGGTGTATTGTCTGTTAGTAGGCCATCTTTACACATGGACAACTCTCTGCATCCTGATATAAAAGACCGTGTCTTTTACTTGGAAGGAAATCATATGCATTCTAGTATCCAGAAGGTAAGCTTATCTCGTTTTTTCCTTTCTTTGTACTAAAAAGTCTTAAGATAGATTTTGCTTAGACTGGTTCATTGGTTTTAACAGGTCCCTGCTCTGGTTTTGGACTGTGAACCTAATATCGACTTCAGCAAGGATACTGAAGCAAAGAAACAGTAAGTTCTCACACTAGTGTAATGTCACCATAACTTATTTGAAATCCTAAATCTTACAGATATTTTCTTGATTGATAGGTATGCACGCCAAGTTGCTGAGTTCTTTGAATTTGTGAAGAAGAAGCAAGAAACATCTACAGAAAAGAGCAACAGTCAGTCACCGGTACTGCTACCGCATCAGAATGGCGGTCTCTGGATGGGACCAGCAGGCAATCATGTCCCGGGATTAGAACTCCCGCCTCTAGATCTCAAGTCCCTCCTCACCAGACCGTCTGCGTGACTGTCCATTCTCTGACTCTGTTTTTGTTCGCTCCTAGGGAGCGTGTCAGGTTGTCGAATGTCAATAGTTTCGATCGGCTTTTATATCGTTTGTTTAGGAAAAAACGTTATCTGCCGCTTTTGTTCATCTTAGATGTAGAAACGAAACATGTTCGTACCGTTTAGTTTAACCCTTTTGTATAAAAGTTTGATCTCTGGATAATTTGTTTCTTGAAATCTTGTTGGTCGTCTGAAAATTCAGTTTTCAGTTTTTGTCTCTGATATGGTTGCACATTTACTCTGTATCCAAATTAGATGGTAGTGTGTTTATTGTTTTAACCAAAATTTACAAGAAAAAAACGCCTACGAAAAGCGTTTAGTCATAAGAACGCGGCGCTTTCTGCCTATCCAAGTAGAGGTCCACAACGGGTCAGTCTCGACCACGCTGTAACCTGCATTAGAGTAAAGATTTCTAGCTGCTGCATCGTCTTCATAAGCTCTTAGAGCAAGAAGCTTGAAACCCCACAAGTAACACAAAACATCACATGCCTTTAACAATGTACTTGCCATCTTCTTTCTCCTTTGAGCTTTTGAGACGGCTAAACCCGAGACGTAAAGATATTCTTCGACGCCGGGAAAATGGCGAAGTACTGAACTTTCCGTTTGAGCTGTGACATCAACTACTCCGACGACACTTGAACTCGACGAAGTTTCGGGTTGGCTCGCTTGCTCCGCCACGAGACATGCATATCTGCCACATTATTTTAACTATTCTAATTAAATTACATTTTAAAACTACAATGTTTTTGTTATTTGTGTTTACCTGTCTGGTGGTGAATTCTTTAGTTTGTAAAGAAGTGCTGAGAGAACCTCTGCCTGCAATATAAATTAGCAAAAAATCTTCATATAATGAAAATCGATCATATTGAAGTATTTTTACAGATTTGAAAATTTTGCTATGAAAGTAAACAAACCTGAAAAAACATAAAGAAAAAATCATTAAAAAGAGCGAGAGGGATGTGGAAAGCTTCGGCTTGAACCAGAGACACTCTCCTGATCTCATCCTCGTCGTCTCTATTCAATCTCCTCACGTCCCACCCGTGTTGACTCACTAGATGCTTCAACTCTATCTCCGCCGCATTATTCTGAGTCAAACTCGTTAACGAGTCCGTCGATGCGCACTCTACGATCACCGGAAAGCGGCTCCACGTCAGTTTCTGTCGATATATTCCTTGGCCGCAGCTTCCAGGATATGGAAACTTTGGCCTAGCGGCGGAGTAGAGGCTCTGTGACAAGTGAGCCATGTTTATTTTTGTAGCATTTTTCAAAAAAGAATCTTTAGTGTTTTCATTTTCGTGCGTTTTAACTTGAAATGTTGAGATAAGATACGCTTCTTGGTTCCATCGTATGTTTTTTTGTGGTCAAGAAGAAGAGGACCATCAAGGACTTGGAAAAAGATAAAATAATTCAGCTACGTGGACAAATGGAGACCCTACACGTGGCGATTTGAAGCATAATTTCAAACAAAAATTAGTTGATAATAATAATTTTCATGTTCATCATAGAAAATGACATGAATTTTTATTCTGACTTGTTATGATTCCTTAAAAGGCCTTGTGTGAGAGTAAATGGGCCGGGCCCAAAATAAAATGTCGCTTGCACTTGTGTGATATGATCCCATTTCTCAGTCTTCCCCTCCAAACAAATTCGCCGTAAAAATTCTTCATCATTTGCAATTTCTCGATTAGTTCTGAATCATGGCGTTGAGCACCAGCATCAGATCTGTCTCTAAGATCATTGCTTCATCTGAAGCATCAGTCTCCAGATCTGGTCAGTACCAACAAAAACATCTGATTAATTGGTTTTGTTTTTCCCCTTTCTGTAGTCTAGGGTTTCATTTGATTGCTCAGAAATCGATTAGTCTAGGGTTTTGTTTGATTGCCTAGATATCGATGTTTCTGATTAGCCGCGGAGTGATTCCGATGCGATTCTTCGTTGATTGCTCCATGTTTGTCTTATCAAAGTGTTTGAATTTTGGGATTCGAATTTTGTTTGTCATAGAACATAATCTCTTTCATTGTTTCATGGAACCTATCAAAGTACACATTTTGCTTATGAAACTGTATCAGATATGGAAATTTCCATGTTCATGCTTTGATAGTTTTGGTTGATCGGTAAAAGACTCCATTTTTTCACCATTCATTTACGTAGAAGTGTGTACTAGGATCAGCTTGTTTTGATGTATTTCTTGAAGCTGAATAAGCTATAAGATGATTTATGAGTGCTTGATTGGTACATTTCAAAACTTGCTGAAGATTTCTTTCTTTGTTATCATCATCAACAGTGAGTAGAAGCTTCCACTCGACTGGAGTTAAGAAGATGAGCGGAGGAGGACATGGTGGTTACGATGAATACTACCTCCACGCAAAACACATGTACAATTTGGACCGCATGAAGTACCAAGCTCTCAAGATGTCTCTCGGTGTCTTCACCGCTTTCAGCATCGGTGTTGGGGTTCCTATCTTCGCAGTCGTTTTCCAGCAGAGGAAGACCGCTTCTGGTTGAGTCCCTAAGGGCATGCTCTTGTTCCCTGTTTGAAATAATTTGTATGAATTCTCAAACTCTGCTTTTGCAAGAGAGTTTCTTTCTCCCTTTGGTTCTTAGCCACAAGTCTTATCCTTATGGTAAAGTGTTCTGTTTCTTCCTCTTTTGCTGGCTGTTTGATGCTGCAATAATGATAATCTGACAGATATATTTTTTATTACTTTGATTGGAAGTGAAAGTTTTGTTTGAGAATTCGTAGAACCCAAAAGCTGAGAAAGATCAACATATTCACATATCTATTAATCAAAAGCACAATCAAAAGGAAAGATGAAATCGAGAAAACACACTGACACACAAAAACCCACAAATGATGTGACAAATCTGTTCAAAAGCTTAAAACCATATCTGTTTCACCATATTTTGTCATTCAGGCATGGCAGCATTCAACAGCCAAAACATATGTTTCACAATTGGAGTTGCTAATCGCCAAACCGCAGATCGAGAGTGTGGTCATTACAATGTCATGAGGTGGAATGAGAAGACGATTGGTCACTTTTTGTCATCACCACCGTTTTCACTAGCTTGAGTCTGGTTTGGCTCTTGATGTTGGAGCTGATGCTGATGTTGATCCAGAGTCATGGCCAAACCATCGCCTCTACTGCCACGCATTGCAGCCGCCATATTGTTCTCTGCCACTCCTAATCCTAGCTGTTGACCTCCCAACATCATTGACCCCATTGGTGCAGTTACTACTCGTCCTGTCCCAACCGGATAATTCCCTGGATTAAACGCCCACATTTGGTGACCCGGCTGCTGCTGCATCTGCTCCCGCCCACCCGAACCGCTCATCGGAAGCATCCAGAACGCACTTCCTCCATTTGTAGTCCCCGGCGCAACAGCCCACATAGGTTGAGGCACCACATTAGCCGTCCCACGACCCGGACCTAACTCTTGATCCTGAAACTGACCCGCTTTCTGAGAACTCTCGCTTGGTTCCGCTGCAGAGCTAGGCTCCTTGAAGTAATCTTCTCTATAAGGTTTCACTAAAGTGTTCGGATTTCTCTCCGTCGACATTATTGGCGGATACATCTGATGATGAAAACCGAAAACAGCCGCGTTTGCGGCTGAATTCAGTAACTTCCTAGAGGGATCTACCGATGATCCGTTAGTCCCGTTATTATCTTCATAAAGAGACATTCCAGTGCTATGAAACGAGAGCGGCGAAGAAGAAGACTTCGACGACTGAGAAAATAAGGTGGAGCCGCCACCACTGCGTAAAGAAGCGTTTAACGTTGAGAAATTCGCCGGAATCGTACCGGTACCTGTAGAAGCGATAATAGCTGGCTCAGCTTGTTGGAGAAGCCACTCGATGGTTTCTCCATCGGATTTATGACCTAACTCCCTAGTAAGCTGAAAAACTCTAGCGGCGCACATCGCCGGCATACGAATTCGCCGTCCACGGCCATCGACTTTAGTGTGCCGATCTTTAGTTGGCTTTTTCACGGCGGATTTAACTACGGCAAGAGCACTACCTGAACTAGTGCTAGTAGAACTCGTCGCTGAAGTGCTTATGTTTCCGTGTTGACCGGAGATAAAAGGAATTGAACCCGGCGACGGTTTATCACCGGAATTAAGCTGAAGCGTCGCCTCCGCAACAGAGGAATTCTGATTGGTGCGAATTTCCATCTTCAAATCCGTAAAAAAAAGAAGTGATTTTTAAGATTTTGAAACAAAACCCATGTGAATTCCGAGTCTTGACATGGAATTCTCTAAAATCTGGGGAAATCTGAAGCAAATCGATTGAAGAAAGAAAAGAAGAGCAGTGACTGTGGAAGGAGATCTAAAGCTACTATAATGGAGTTTGTGAACAGAGAGGGAGAGAGAGAGAGAGAATGATTGAGAGGGATAAAAACAAGTGGATATGAATGGTGTGATTGCAGGAAGAAACTATCCATCTAAATTCTATTCTATTCAACCTTTATTGACTTATTTGTTTCTTACACTGTTCTTCTTTCTTGTCCAAAACCCTTCATTTTTGATTTCCCATGGTTAACTTTGGGTAATGACACTCAGAAAAAAAAACATCATCGTTAACTTTGGCTAATTTATGCAAAACAACTAGAATTTAACCGCGGGGCTATATTTTTTAAAAAAATGTAATCTTATTTTTTAAAAGATTAACTGAAGATATATCATATTAATTTGTATTTTTAAATGTAGATATCTATCTATCAATTTTTGAAGTATAGATACGAAAACATACATTTTTTTTAAGTAACGATGTATGGTGGATTTTAAAATTTTGAATATTATACTCTGCAGTATACCGTGGGTCGGTTTTTTTATAACTAAAAATTTTAAATTTAAGTTGGATTTGTTTTGTTAATATTGTTTCTTTTGTTTTGTGTTTAAGATTGTATAATGAGATTGTATAATTGTATTTTGATTGTTAATTTTAGGATTTCATCCGTGATATACCGTTATTTATTAATATCGACCCAAACCCGTCATTCCATATAAACCCGTCTATATTATCTCGTTAGCTAAATTATTAGTATTATAAAATCCAAGAAAATAAATTATTATTGTTATAAAATCTAATAATTTTAGGATCTCACCCGTAGTATACCGTTCTTTGAACGATTTTAAATTTATACTACTAATATATATTTTAAATTTATCATATAAAGTATATGATTTCAAGTTTTTGTGTTTTTTTTTTTAATTTAAATAAAGCAACGGCTTAAATGATGATAAATATAGTTCTTTTTCTTGTATGTGTATTTGATTTTTCTATGTGAATATTTTGATTATTATAAATTAGTGTTTTTATTGCTATGCAAAATGTTAATATAAATATTTGCTATAAATTTTTTTGAAGATATATGGAAAGATTGGGTAGAGATTTTTAGAAACAAATTAGGCAAGATATTGTTTGGTTAATATCTTTTATTTAAATTTTGTAAAAGTAATAATAAATGTCAATGGCATTCTTTGTAAATACTGCCCAACCCCATGATTTATTTGCTAAAAGTGTTCCAAAATGTATATATAGATTCTTCATATTTTAGTTCATTTAAATAAATCATTAAATAGAATGGAACATTCTTATAGTATTGAATCCTATAAGATCAATGATGTAATTAAGAACCTAGGTAAAGGGTTTTATAAACAAAAAATTAAATTAAACCGCGGGAGTCATCGTTAACGTTTTTTTTTTCATTTAACCGCAAGAATTATATATTTTTGACCCATAATCTCATTCGGTTTTCGGATTCAACCTTTTAGTCTATTTCGATTAAAGGAGAATTGAATCCGAAGCACAAAGGAACCAACTTGTTTATACAATTGAATTGAAATTTTATAGTAGATGTTTGATGAATAAGTGTGTTGTTGAAATATGGTGAATGTGTGTGTTTCGTTGTGTTTTTTTCATATAGTTTTTATAAATCCATTTGTAATCAATACAATAAAAACACTAGGTTTCTCTCCTGATCTGACACCTCAGCTTTTTCAGCATTCCTGGGTGCGACACATCATTAAAATCAAACTCCAATCAAAACATTTTAAATAATACAACTCATCTTTGTTTTTAACTCAACTTCCACGTCACTCTTCCTCCCACCTTTTTTTATCGTCTCATATTATTAAAATAAAACAAAAAAGTAACAAAAGTAAACAAACAAGTGCCAAGGCCCAAAGATAGAAGCCCACTCACAAGATAAAACAATGTTGAAACACGTGGAAAGACGAAGATTATGTCGTCGCCGGTCACCGCCAACTCCGTCGACTCGATTTGCCATTGGAAGGAGCTCCATAAACCACCGGAAAACCACTGACTCTTCAAGCTTCAAGGAACCCCTCTCCAACAAGTTCCATCAATCATCGTTTTCAAACAAAAGGTGGATTTTCCTTCTTTTTCTTCTTCGTTTTCCTCTTTCAAATCCAAAATCTAATTCTTCCGTCGCGAATCACCGGCTGTTTCTCTCGTCGTTGATTAAATCTGCGTTCCTCTCCTCTCTTTATCCAAGGTTAGCCGTCTTTTGACGAAATTAATTTTTATGTATCACCTCAGAAGCAAGATTTTGATTTTTTTCCTAATTTACGATTTTGTTTCTACTTATTGTTGTTGCTCAGAAGATAGACGACCCCAACTCAAGAACACCATCTCTTCCACAACAATTGAAGCAGACCCAGAAACAATCACCTGAAGTGAGTCAGTTGTTATGAAGATAAATTAAAAAAAAATTGAAACTTTGAGCTATTGTAAATCCGAATTTGGAGATTATCAGATGGGTAGAGAGAGAAGAACCTGAAATCTTCACAAATCAAAGGCGTTTAATCCCATTTCATTCGGTTAGTGGAGGTCCATAGATTTACATCCTAATCATGATGCGTTCCGGGTTCGTATGATGTCATTTATTTGCAAAGCTAACACGGTGTTCGTTAGTAAATGTCTAAAACGATGCAACAACCCAAGTGTTTTGGGAGTCAAACTCTTATAATTAGACAAGTATTGATTGTATTAAACCATGTTTCAAAGGTTGTATTAATTTGGTTTTGATTTTTTAGGTTGAGTATATCATAAAATTGAAGCTGGTTGAGTAATTTCTTGATATTGAAGCTCAGCAAAATTGAGTATCACATATTCAGATTGCTAGGCTTAGTGAATTTGTTGCACACCATGTGTTCGATGATTTGCGCATGTGAAGATGTTTGTTTGCTTTGCTTTCTTAAGTGAATCCGTTTTCGTTGAAATATTGAAACTTGGGTGATAAAATAGCATTTGGGTGAAGAAATTGTTGAATTTAAATGTTGCATGCTCAAATGAAGTGCTCGGGTGAAGTCGTTTTGGCTCTTTAGTTTCTTAAGTGAATTCATTGTCGTTGAAATTTAGGGATTTGAGATGTCACTAAAGTGTAGTATGTTGTACGGCTTACAAGTCATAAATGAGCTATGAGAAGTTTGAAAATGAGCTCTCACATGTGTCAAGAATAAATTTAGAGTCTCTCGTAATCCGATACGCTCTCCAAACCAGAGGGCTTGGGACTCATATCGTTACCTATTGAGAAACTTGAAAGCTTGGTGTCTTCTCCACAGCAGAGAAGTTTGGCTTTTTAGTGTCCTAGCGTAGGCTGCATTCTTGTCTCTAATGGTTTTAGTTGTAGTAATGGTATTCTGATGACTTAGCTATTCTGATATTTCATGCACTTTTAATGTTTATTTTAGGTAGTTACAGTATGTTACGTTAATGTTGAAATGGTTGCAATTTTTGTTCTGCTCATATATCTTTTATATATTTATCCATGATACATAATGGGTTAAAACGCTTTATATAGAATATAGTTTTGATCAAATACACTATGACAACATGGGAAGCCTCTTTATTTAAACTTTAAAGGCAAGTATAAATTTCTTTGTCTACCTATTACTTTGTTTGCAAAAACACCCAATCATCATGTTATGCCGTATTTGATAAAGATTTGGTGCTTATTTATAGATAAGTGTAACCCACTGACATGAAAATGTTTTATGGACAAAATGTTTCATATATGTTGCAAAAGAAGGTTAAAATGAAAAAAACAGTAAAAATTTATTTTGAATCATGTTTTTTCCTTAAATACACTAAAAAGAGTTAATAACAAATGTTGTGATTTATAGCTTTATTTAAAAAAAAGAAAAGGAAGAAAATATTGTGATTTTTTACATTTGCAAATGATGTTTAATAAAATATACTTAACTAATTATATTTTCGACTTATTTTCAATTTCATATTTGTTTATTGTTTAAATTCAAGTTTGGATCTCTTTTGTTTGTGTTACAAAAGAACCAAGATAACTTTCATTGTGTAAACTAAAAATATATAAATTTCATGTGGATCTGGTACCGTATAATCTTAATTCAAGCAAAAGTTATTACTAACAAAAACAATTTATAAAAAGCATCCCGCGGCAGAGCGCGGGTTTTTACCCTAGTTTTCTTAACACCATCCCTATGTGTTTTGTCTTCTCACCTAATCAGCTTTAATTATGTATGATTATTGAGACAGTTATTTTCCCAGCTAAGTTTTTCAGTATGTGAATCATTCACCTAATTAATTCTTTAATTTAGGTGAATTATATAACCTTTAGAGTGTTTTGATAAAGACTACGTGATGTGTACTGTTTAGCTCTTGTTGTGTAAACGCGAAGGAGAGATCCAGTGTGAAATTTGTTGGTTTTCATATTTGAAAAGACTAAAATCTTAGTAGAGATTAATTAATGTATAGTTAAGAAATTATATACACCTAATTAGGTTAATTATCTTATTATAGTTAATTGTATTTAGTGGTTGCTAATACTAATCCACTCACCATTTTTAAATTGTTTTTTGTTTTTTGTCGATAAAGACGTTACTGGTGAGCGGTGATTCATGTTAATCACTCTCCTCAACAACCCGTTTTGCCTCCTTTGTAATATTCTTATTCCCACATGAAAAAAGCTAGATCTTGATTATTATTTAATTTTGGTCTCAATACAGATCATTATAGTTTAATGCTAAATTTTTGTCCAAAGTTTATTATTAATTTTTGGATTTCAACTATTAAGTCCATGATAATTCACTAATTGTATATGACGATAGTGTAGACAAAACAGATCTTACCGTCTTACCAGTAAAAGAAAAAAGTTTTTTCCCACCAAAAGAATTTAAATAAAAAAGATAATGGCTAAAAATCTGGAATAAAACAAGGACATAAAAGCAACTCGTTGACCCTGTCAAGCCTAAAGTAAACAAAGTGCGATCCAATACTTTTTTTTAGAACTATGATGTTGGATCATGAATTTGAGAGATAAATATGATTGTTTAGGATTCTTTTTCCCGGGTTTTTTTTTTATGAACTTGGCCGAAATTTTACGATGAGAAACCTTAAACCAATAGGATTTAGGATATATTAGGGCTTGCTCATTTTGTATCTAGCTACGCTCTCTAAGAGCATGATTATTGGTAGTATCTTAAAAATAACTCTTAGCAATATCTAAGTAATATTTTTGTAAAAGTGATTGTTAAGAGATAGTATTTTTGAGTTAAGATTTTTGTGTGATTAATGGTAGGCTCTTAACATGTGGTTCTTAGAAAAAAAATATTAATATAAAAATAAAATTGATAATTATAGAAAATTTAATAATTGTTGCAAATTAAAAAAATTAAAACATACATGAGATACAATTTATAACATAAAGCACAAATGTTTTAAACTTAATTTCTGGAATATTTTGTCCATATATACTCGACCAAATCATTCTTCAATTGTTGATTTGTCAGAGGTAAAAACAGAGCCGATTTCTCCGATTTTGGGTCGATTTAACGGAATCTCCTTCGGTTTCGATTTTCTCGTTGAAACCGCGAGAGAGAGACGGCGAAAAAGAAAAAACACGGTTTCGTTTTTTTTTTGTTTATATATTTAATGCATCGATCCCTGAAACGCTGACACGTGTCCACCTCTTAAGTGGGTTTTTGTTCCTTAGCTAAGGAACGTTTCTTAAGGTTAAAGCATATTTTAGATTAAATTATATTGAATATAAATGTTAACAAAAGCCTATGATTTCTCTAAGAGTCTCCCTTTAATCATGCTCTAAACCTATGGATTTAATACATTGTGGATAAAGAATCACAAAGTTTATGTATTATAGGTTCATAGAGTTTCGCCTGCTTTTCTATTAGTCTACCTATATGCACTTAAAATGCTATATGAAAACTTATATTTTGAGATCTTCAATTTGCTTATAAAAGTAACTGATTTTTGTATCATCTTATTATAGTAGTATAGCACAGAATTTCAACATTATGTCTTTTTACATGACATGTGACGTAGGTTGTAGCTTTATTTTAAATTCACATAGAGATATTCGAAAATATCCATAACCTCAAGTATCATAAATTAGTTACATAAGATTTTATTGCGTTTGACTTAGTAAAGTTACCAAAAATTACTGCAAGTGGGGCTGCATAAGTACATGATATTAATCGAACGGTCGTACTCTGTTGTCTTTTTCTTCTTTTTTCTAATTTGTTTCTGTCGGATTGTGTCTTGCAAGACTTTTGATTGGTCAAAGGTCAATAGTCAATGGCTCCTTCTAAACGGACGAAACCCATTGCCAAACCCATTTACCTGGTGGTCCGTAGTAGACTATGGTACCACATTGATCACAAGACAACCATTCTTGATTATTCCACATATATAATTAAAGTTTGGGAGTTATGAATATTTTTGTTTTTGTTAATGGTTAAAAAGCGATACAATACCAAAAAAAAAAGCACAAAAAGGAAATCATATAATTTAAGTCCAAGAAGAAGATCTCCTAAGAGGAGGTTTCATATGTTTCTCTTCCTCCATTGAGATCATTCCCACATGCGTTGGATCATCCATCATCATCTTGGCCACCAAATAACCAGCGATTGACCATGTCTGAAATTTTCTGGCCTGTTTTCCAATGAACCTTCCAGACTTCCCGTCGTAGTACTCCGGCCATCCATCTTTCAATAGTCGTGCCTCTGCCAACTCTATTGCCCGTCGTGCTATTTGTGGTCGTCCGGTCTTTATGCTTGCCGCCGTTAGCAACCATAGAAGCACTACGTTTTGCATCAGCCACATAAGTCAACAATATTAATTGAATGATTATCCAATCAAAAAACAAAATTAATCAAAGGTGGCGTTAGAAATATAAAATAGGGTTGAAATGAAAGTCTTTACGTGGATCTTGTTTTGGTTTTATTTTTTCACAATAAACATTCTGAAAACAAAGTCTACTTATTTTTTGGACAAAAGAAAGATTAAACAGATTTAAGCTAGAGTTAAATATTATTTGGCCATTATAGACGGCAAAAAAATCCAAGAATTAATGTCGGTTTCGGCATCGGATTCCCTAAATACATAAAAAGAAACATATCCTATTCTACTGTACTCATGTGTAGCATCTATTATTTATTTTCATTCGTTTATTTTTCTCATGTTTACGCTATCTAAGGTATTTAAAAATTGATTTTTGACAACTTAATGTCCATTAGATCCCATCAAGGCACAACTATATATCATTGACTTGTAAAAGAAGGTAACTCACCTGGCCAAGAGCCTCCGTTGTGGTAGCTCCACCTTGTGTTCTTAGGGTCACAGCCAGTGACGATCCGCCACTCGTGACTCTCCATCGCCGGATAACATATCTTCAACGGCATCTCTCCAACAAGTTCCTCCCACCGGGCCTCAATCAGGTCCATGATCGCCATGGACTGCTCTGGCGTGGCCAATGAGGAAAGAATTGCGATACAATTTCCCAACGCAAACCACCTGAAGTCCATGCGGGCGGGACTGACGTTTCCAATGAAGTAGCCACCTCGGAGAGGCATGAAGTCGAAGATCCAATCCGGGATGGAGTCAGGGATGACGTTGAACTTGTTTACCGCGGTGTGTGAGTATTCCTCCGTCTTGTAACGGTAAATGTCATTAAGCTGCTGGAAATCGAGCCAAAAGTAGCTTCTGATGTGGAAGCTCAGCGCGTGAAGCCGCTTCACTATCTTTTCCATGAACTCTTTACCCTCCGAATCATGTTTCAGCATTGAGAGTGCGGATCGAAGAGCCATGAAAAAGAGGGCTTGGATCTCGATCGGGTAGCCGTAAATGCCCTGCACAATACATTTCAAAATGAGAACGTTCATTAAGAGGTTCAAGAGGTTCATTTTCTTTGAGACGGTCATATTAAAAAGTCAGAAGTATTGGTTTCTTGGATTTATGGGATTATATAGGCAAGAGGAGGAAAGCTCTTACCATTCTACGATCGACCATGGAGCAACCGTCTGCGCAGAGCAAAGTCGGAAAAGTATCAAAACCCTCAGAGAGACATAAAGAGAGAATGAGCCTCATTCCCTTTTGGCACTCAGGTCTCTCAGCAAGAGAATGGTCTCCTGTAGACTTCGTGTAAGCTCGGAGGAGAATGATCCACCAAAACCCCGAGTCGACAGGAGCCACCCTTCCGATAGCGCTCTCTCCAAAGTCAGCGATGATCGTATCCGTCTTCTTGATAGGGTTATGGAGAACCTTGAAGCTCGCTGGCATTGCGCCGTCACCAAGCTTGAACTTGTCGATCATTTTGTCTTGTCCCTGAATATGAAGTGTCTTTAGGAGAAAGTTCTTCACAATGTCAGGATCTCCTTTCATCAGAAATGCTAGAGCGCTCGGTACAAAATCACGTACGAATACCTTACAATATATAGACAAGAGGTATTGTAATGAGGCAGAGCATTTATAAATCATAGTTTGTAAATTTTTAAATTGTTCTAATTGACTTGCGATTCACTCCAATTTTGTTCTTCTCTTTTATGTCTTAAGAGTTCATAAAATTCACCAAAACCAAAACAACAAAATATAAAGTAGAAAGAAACAAAACACAAAATCATACCTGATCATAGTTCAAGACCTCCTCGGAAGCATGGTCATAGGCGGCGATGGTTCCTACCGGTTTTCCCCGGAAGTAGACCTGAGACCGGCAGAGAGCCTCCCAAGCTTCTGTGACCATCGGGTTAAGGTCAGATGAGTATTTCATGGAGAAAACCGGAGTATCCCAACCAGACCTACCGTCTAGTGAGTGTGCACTGTCGTAGAGGCTTAAAGACATTTCCTCGTACGACTTTTTCCGCTCAAGTTTAAGTCTTGGCCGGTCAAGCAGCCGAGACAGTAGGTCTTCATCCGTCAGTTCAGATATCGAGCACACCGAGTTCACTGCTCGAATTCCTTCCTTTTTTTCGCCATTCTGGCATAGGGAGCTCATCGAATTCACCGCTCGTAGTACGTCCCGTTTCTTTGGTCGGTCCATGGAGATAGCTAACTTTTTCAACAAAACTCTTTTATTGCTTCACGAAAATAGCAAACACCTAAAAATTTTAAGAACACTTGAGAGAAGAAAAAATGACGTTCAGAGAAGGAACCCATATATAGAGAGAGCTAAGCTAGGAAGCTGTCAAAACATGTTGATTGGAGCGTGGGCTTCTTGCGGATAGAAATAATATTTTCAAGATATATATCTCACCAATCATCATATCTGATTTTTTTGCATTTCTATTTTATTTCTTTCTTTTTATGTACTTCTTGTGCAATTTGTTATATATAGAAAATTTAGCTTAATTAGCTTAAATATCTTATATTTTATTTTTTTTCTTAAAGCTGTTAAGAGATAATACTAGAAGACACATGTATGTAATGTGAATTATGTGATGTACAAATGATTTTATGATCTACACGTTTGTGTATGTCATTTTATTTTTTCCATTTGTTAAATTACAAATTTACAATAAGAAACTTATTTTTCGTAAGAGAAGTACTATATATATTTTACTAACATTAAATTTTACTCTTTTTTTTTCTAAGATTTACGGTGATAAGTTTTGATAAGTTCTGAAGTCATAATCCATTTTGATTAAGAAAAACAGTATAAATCTTAGACATGTCTATTTTGAGGGCAAAAAATTCAGACTACTCGACAACATGTGATGATTCTGTTTATGTCCATTGAAGAATGATTTATTAAATTTACTATATGATGTGAGATTATATAGGAAAAAGAAGTTGTTATATAATAGAAATAGGTCATGAGATAACATTTACACCCAGATTCCAGGTAACCACTCTAAATGTTTCAATCCCGGACCTCTAAAACCACCGTTGCTCGTCAAACTCCGGCGTTCTTGCCGCCTCTTCTGCTAATCTCTTCGCACAACCGACACGGCAATGTATCTAGACTCACTGCGCGGGTTTTCCCGTAGTTCCCCATCAGTCCACACCGCCTCCAAGCGTGGTACTCTGAGTAAGCCACGGGATCATCACCGAGCCGCTTCACGTACGCCGCCAATTCCTGCATCGAGCCGAATTTGCTACTGTCAATCACGGAATGCGGAGGGACAAAGTCTTGAACGTTAGAGGCTCCGAAGTAGATCGGAACAGAACCCGAGTCGAGCGCATAGAAAAGCTTCTCGGTCACGTATGACTCAACAGCTGTGTTTTCAATTGCAAGGACGAATTTGTAGTGTGACATAGCGCAGTGAAGATGGCCGTACCATTTTGGCTCAGCGTTGGAGTCGGCGACACACTCTGGATACATAGAGAGAGCTGCGTCCAAGCCACCGACATTGTTAAGACACTTACCAAAGGAGTGGTAAGGAATCAGATCGAGTAGGCTCTTTGCGAGACGGTCTCTGTGTGGGAGGCATCTTGAAGAAGACCAATACACCAGAACATCCTGTCCAATGTTTAACAATCGAATTAAAAAACAATGAAATGAAAGAAAAACGTATGGAATTGGAGTTTAACAGGTTTACTTACATTGTTTTTATGTGGAGAGATGTGATAGTTTCTGTTATTATGAAAGAGTGAACCCGCATAAGTTGTTTGGACATCGTCTTTGGCATGGTAGCTGATGAATATATCTTCACGGCCTGAGCGTTTTCTTCCAGCCTCTAGCTCCATGTACACACGGAGCGGATCTCCAACACGTCTCTAAGGAAAACATCAAGAAAATCAGCATCAATTGGATTTGAAATACAACTATAGTGAAGCAGGCATTGAAGGATCACACATTAAATTTAAGTAACAATAAGAACATATAAATTTACCCTGATCATCCAAATCTATGTCCTACTTTCCCAAATGAATTGACCAATAACAATAATAGCATAACACAAAGTTTCTTCTGGTTACAATAAGCTCGCGTAGACAATGAAACTCTTGAGATTTTCCATTTTACAAACCAAAATTCTTGAACCATATAGACAGCAATGAAAAACCGGATTAAAGCAAGAAATTTTTGCACACACTATGTATCTTCGATGGTGAACCAGACCATATTCCTCAAACACTTGAATCTAAGACATGAGACCATAATCAGATCCATTGAAAATGCAGCCCTTGAGACTAATCCACAGCTATTACAAGAATTGCTAACCTAAACACACCACTTAAAAGCTACAGTGAAGCAGACATCACAAGATCTAATCTGTCCCAATCATCCAAATCTATAACTACTTTCCAAAACACATATTTTAACAAACTTAGCATCAAAAAATTTTATTACCTGTAGCGGAGGAGTTGTTGTCTCAAACAACAAAGCATCAGGTGAATCAGCCAAAACCGATGATTTAGTCCACAAACAAGTCATCCCACAACGACAAGAATACAAATTTTCCAAATTATCCGGAATCCAAGTCCACCCTTTAACCAAAACCTTGACATGATCCATCTTAAGCTTACCACAACCAAATTCTTGTAAAGAACCCGAACTAACATTGCCCCAAATCGAATCTTTATGATTCTCCTTAAACCGAGCACAACCCACTTCAAAGTCCCATTTTTTATAAGCTACGAGGACATCACTGAATGGATCCGATGTTGGATCAGACAATTTCGGTTCCGGGTCTATTGAATGCTCCATCGAAGTTGAAGCAGATGGGAATTCTAAAATGCCTGTGAAAGAGAGGATCAAGAGAGTAAAGAACATCATTAGTAAAGTGGCCATAGCGTTGAGGTGTCTCATTGGCATGGTGAGATTGATTCCTTAAACCACCGGAGATCCTCGACGACGCCGGAGGAGTAAAGTCCGGCCAACGGTGAGATGGAGTTTTCTTCATTCACTTTTAGCGTAGTCAGTTTCTCTACCACTGGTCCCAGTTACCAAATTACAAATTCCCAAAACGCTGTCGTTTAAGAAGTTTATGTTAATTGGGCTAGTTATTAGAAGAAACTGGAGCTTTATTGGGCCTATTTAATACTATTTACATGAAACCCACCCAATTGGTGCTAATCCGACAGCGGGAAAACGGTTTTTTCATACCCTCGCAATTGAACTATACCATTGTTAGACCGGACGGACCGGACGGTTCGGGTCGGGCGTGAAAACACTGGCTAGAACATACTTCGAGTAATCAGAAATTTGAATTTCATACCCGAAATGCACACGCCTACAATTACAACACAGTAACAAGGAAAGAGACGTGTATATACATAACATAAGCTCATATTTCTACAAAGGAACCGAGTTTGTGTAATTGTGGAAGTATTAAAATCTCTAACCTAAACCCGAATGATGTTTCATCTCAACCAAAAGACTATAAAAAGCAACGTTACACACACACACACAAACGCCACACGTACGTTTCGTAGTAAAACTCAAATGCAAAAGAAAATAAATTTTGTATGACCCGAGCCAGACCAGGTTGGTTCCATGGACTTTTTAACAGTCTGGGAGCGAGTTTGCAGAGGCGTATGGAGAGAAAGTTCCGGCTGATTCACTGTAACGCAGTGGATTGAACGGATAATTTGATGATCCGGCCATTGCAGGTGATGCATTGCTCGGGCTAGGCCTATACGGTGACATGTACCTCGTGTTGAAAGGGGAGATAGTCGGGTAACCCAGTGACTGTGGAGAAGCCATATGGGAAATGTATGATCTCTGTGATGGTGATGGAGAAGCTGCTTGTTGCCTTAGATCCACAGAGCTACGACTTACGCTTATTGGAGGAGATCGACGGTTCGAGGAAGATTGGAACGATTGTCTGATATAGGATGAGCTTGCATATGCGGGAGAGAAAGAGACTGAAGACGGTAATGAGCCCATGGAAGGACCAATCAATAGTGCGGATGATCTGACGGAAGAGTGCAGAGAGGAAGAGGTGAAAGACGATGCAGCGGATGAGAGCAATGGCGTGCTCTCTGAAGCCGGAGGCTCACCCGTGCTCGTTCTTGCATCTCTTTTGCACACCGGACAGAAAGTTCTCCAAGAGGTTAACCATGAGTCAACACACGTAGCATGAAACTCTGAAAACAACCACAAAGACGGAACCACAGAATTGTTAGTTTGTTCTAAGTTCTAACAAATGTGCCCTGAGTTACGGAATTTTGTATATATATATATACTCACTGTGACAGCAAGGTAAGAGCCTGAGCTTGTCTCCAACAATGTAGTCTTCGAGGCAAATAGCGCAAGTAAATGCAGTAGTGTTGTCTTCGTGAAACGAAGAGAATATAAGACTCGGCATTGCTTTCACCAAGCGGCGGCTCATACCATGGAACTCACGGACACGAGAGGACCGAGATGTCCGCCTTCTTATCCGATGCCTACGCACAAAGAAACAAGTAGCGAGAACAGCCGACATCGCAAGCAGCGAAATGAATGAAACCGCCATAATCGACCACGCCGAGTTCTCAAAACTTGGAATCAACCAAACTTTCGTATCGGGAAAACCCGCATAATCCTTCAACACTTCTCCCGTTTCTTTCGTAACGAAAACCGCATGAATCTTTATACCTCCCGAGTTACCTGCCACTGCAAATATCGAAACTATCAAGACCAGCAGACATTAGAATCATAGGATCAAGACATAAACTAAGAAGAATAGTTCATACTTGCAATCAATGTTCCACGGTCTTCATTGTCAAAGATTATAGCAGCTTTAAAACCAGCTCTCTGAGCTTTTCTCACTTTCTCTTCAAAACTACAGCCTCCTCTAACGATCAACACAAAAGGGGAAGTTTCATTGGAGCTCTGGTCTGGTTTATTCATAAGATTTTGACAAGCGTCAAGAGGCTCTGCCACATAAACTACTCCAATTTCACCTGTACCCTTCACTGACGGAGCTGCAAATTATGCAAGTAACAGATTAAAAATCTCATCTTTTCTCTGCGTTGACCCAATTACAGATTCAAAAAACTTCTAAAATTCATCCAAAATCTGAATAGATTGCTTATGAAAACAGAGTGATAATGAAGAAACTCACCGAAATTAGCTTCGATGTCATCAAAAGAGAGAGTGATGTTGTTCCTCATCAAAATAACTTTGCTTGAAGCTAAACAAGAAACAGTAAAAACATATAAAAGTAGGACCAAAGCACGATTCATCGTCCCTTTCGTGCTTCTTCAACAAAATCGAAAAAAGTTTCAATTTTTTTTGGTTTCTGGAAAATTTCGCGATAAGGGTTTTTTTCAGAAAATTGACACGTCAGCTTCCATTTAGATCACAAATTCTAAACCATATCAGGAAACAAATTAAACCCGAGAGAGACTCTGATCGTTGAAATACGAAAATGGGAAGTTGAAATTTGGGATCTTTTCTGGAGATTTTTAGGGTTCTTGAAGAGAAGAAAGAGAGAGAGAGAGAGAAAATAAAGAGATGAGATTTGAAAGCTAATTACTAAAATTGTCTTGTCTGGATTTCTCTGATTCGAGTTTTGTTAGGTTACTTTGTCAGCATTTTACATTATTATTCGCATATATATCGAATGATCGGATAAATGATGAAACTTTGAAATATATTTTTGTAAAAAGACAGATACACGTAGTAAGTGAGTCATGATGAGATTGAGAGCTCATGGTTTTGTTTTGTTTGTGGATCCATTGGTTCATTTTGTTGGTTTAACAATACAGTATATGTTTATCTCTTAATTCTAAAGATTCATTTGCCAAACTAAGCAATTTTTTTACAATTATAAGGTTTGATCATTATCATATATATGAGTCATTTACAGCAATAAAATCTCCACACCCACAAGTTAATGGTTACACTACACGGATTACAAAAATTTGGTGTTATTAATTTATACCTAATGGGTTTTAGGTGTTATCTTTGTTTTTAATAAAAGGTGTTGTTATCTTTGTTTCTTTCTTCTCGAATAAACAGTCAACAAAAGATGTGGAAAGTTGTATTAAAATATATTTTATAATTTGGAACTAATTCTCTAGATAACTTGTATCTGTTCGTAAACTCTTGGAGACAACGGAACATGAAGGTCCCTTCCATTCTATCAAAACATAATTTATTGATTTTAATATAATTGCTATCCAAAACCATAATACACACCTAATCAGTTGCTACTCCTGGTTTTGATAGTATTAATTCACTTTTTGTTTCTTAAACCTTCTAAGATTCGTTATACTTATCGGTTTGTACCTTATATTAAGATGGAAAAAAAAAAGGAAGGGAAAGAAAAAACATTGCAAAATTAGCCGTTAGTGTTGATTTTAGTATAATGGGCCTCTTTGTTTTTTAGTTTCAGTCTATTCCTAGCGTCAGCCTTTAAGCCCATTGACTACGTGAATGCATATGTCATATAAAGCTAATAAGCATATTACAACCCCATGGCCCAATTAAAAACAAACAAAACAATCACAGTTTTCCTGAATGACCCTTTAATTCGAGTTTTCAAATTAATTGGAAATTGCGAAACCAAAGCTCAATTATCAACAGGGAGGTTGAGTAAACCGTGCAGACGCTGGGCTGGCGTGTATCCTATTTGTCGAAAATCGAAATCAACGAGAAGCGGTTTTCTAGAACTTCTTGTGTGACCTGATCGGTAAAAATCTCTTACATTATGGCTTTTGGTTCGACACACTTGGAGGTGGGGTTATACACTCTAAACACAAATGTTTGTATATCTTTGACATGTGTTATTACTTGTTAGCTTAACTTGGGGTTTGATCACATTCACATGGTTCACGCTCGATCTTTTATATCATTATGGTATTGAATCTTGATGTTTACGTTTGTGACACTTAAAAGAAGAAAGAAAAGACAATGCATTAAATATATCCACTTATCTTGCATCTCAATATTATACTCTTTCTGTGTTAAAGTTTTATTACTGTATTATTTACATGGATTCAAACTATGTGTTGGTAAATTTTAGTAATTTGATGAAATGAACCTGACCTAGCTTCTTTATGATTACTATCCACTATGCAGACAACCCTTCGTAAATGTATCCCATTCAAGATTACTAACATATATTATTAAATAACCACCGGCTTAGGTTATGTTGTAGAAAGTACTCTAAGTGAAGGAATAATATCAGCTTGTTTGTCGCTCAAGAAACTTGATTTAATTTTTCAGATTTGATGCTTTCACATATAAATGGAGTCTGATTCGTATGTTTGATCCATATATATAGTACAATTTCTATAGTATATAGTTTTACATGTGCTAAAGAGAGGACATGATGGTGGATGATGATAATGGTGTCTTTAGTCTCAAGCTACACATCTCAATCACACTTAGAGCGGTCCATCTTGTCTCATCCAATTTTCATTTATTATGTATAAAATATGCACATGCCCACACACATATGCGAATGCGAGTGCTGAATATTTACATCTATAAGTTATATTCTTTCCCCATAAAAATAGTCACTACTTATTTGAACACTTCAAAATCTCATAGGATAGAAATAAACCGAGATAGTTATCACTTTTGTGGTGCTTTTCCATCAGTTTTATGGATACCAAATGTGCTCATGATACATTTAGGGGTCTATCGTTCAAACTATATGGCGTTATAATATTCAGACATAAGTCAATAATGTAAAAGCAAACACGCGAATACATGTAGCAGACAAATGACAATGATGAAAGTAATGTTCATATTAAATTATATCTAAAATGTTAATTAGAGAATTGGTCATCATTAATATCCCACGTTTTTTAGGTTATTTGGTTCCCACTAATTCCTCTAAGTGCTTTAACTCCAAACTTACTTAGATCCAACGAAAACAGGAACCTGATATCAAAAAAATCTTACTAAATTTCACATATTTTTTAATTTATTTTGGTTTTAAATTTCACATTTTTTGTAGCACCACAGATTGTGTTAGTGCCCGATTTATCGTAGGTATTGTTTTTTTATTAAAAAACAAAACATAAATGTTTCCATTGCAAAAATACGCAAATGTTTTTTGCAATTTGACATTTATTAGCGTAAAAAATAATCTATAGTTGGCAATAGTAAGGTGGGGGTGTTTGCGAGTTGACTACGGACCTTACATTATGAGCAATATGATTGTTACAAATACGGATTAAAATACAAAGAGGAGATAAAATGGAACAATCTTGTGGCAATTATTATATTATTTACCAATACATTGCAAACTGGTTTCACAAATCCTAAGTAAACCAAGACAGCAACAGGTACATACAAACCTCGTGGAATAAGTTCCCAGCCTGAAGTTTTGACATATATTTGCATTGCGTGACACATTTGTCTATATATTTAAACCAAAACATTAAATTATATTATTAATTCGTACGCTAAACCAAACAACTGATTAAAAAATTTCATAATCTATATCTTAAGCATGATCAAGACATGTTAACTACAGCTTGGGACATAAATGTGAACAATCTAAAAAAAAAAAAAAAAAAAAAAAAAAAAATGTGAACAATCTATTCAAATATTACATCATGTGAGTTGCGTAACATTCGGATGTAGAAACAGTATTTGAGTACGCAATTATGAATTGTCATTGATATTTGACTTTTGACTTCAATTTTTCACTGCATAGTGCAGATAGTAATATGTTGCATATGTGTACTACATACTATTTATTTCTACAGGGTCCCTGAAATTTAATCACATAACCTTATGACCACAAAAAATAAAATTAACAGCAGAAACCCAATTCACACATGTGTAAAAAAGAAACCTTTAATAGTTCGATTTTAAATATGCCACCAGGACATGTGAAGAACCGGATACTTTTGTCATTACATCGTTTAAATTTTCATCTTGTAATTTATTCATCTAATATGTATGTTTTTATTTTACAATTTATCAATATTTTGTAATACTGTTGTATTTGACTAAAATTTTTTGAATATTTGATCCACTTTTAAAAAATAATGAAAATTAAAATCAAATAATTGATTGGTAGTTTGGTGGTACGAATGTGATATTGTTTTTCCATGGAAGTCATTTTGATATCACAAATATGGGAAAGTGGGGTCCATTTTACCCCTAAACAAGACGAGACAGTGTCTTTATTAACAATAAATAAAGACAGAAACTCCATCTAATTACTAAGATTTTTTTTGTTTATATTTAATTTGATACGTATAAAATACATGGTGCAAAAACATGCATGGTGGCTCAACAACTTTGTTATTTTTTATTGCCTTATGGCTTATGCTAACAACAATAATGAAAGATCCATTTCTTTAGAGACTTCCAAAACTCTATCAAAATGCTAAAATACAGCTCAAGTCCCTAGGCATGCTAAAATAACATCATTTTCTAGGCATGCCAAAATAACATCACTTTCTAAATGGTAAAAAATACAAAATCAGATGTCAGTACAAACTCATGTCCTTGTTTAAAATTCTGTGACAAGTTAATCAATGTTATTTTGTATTTATTTGCACATATATATAGCTTATCTTGCTCTCACATGGAATGGAATTGGAAACTAGCTAGAGATCACAGAATGACAGAATCTTCACACTTGGTTCCACCAAAATTTAAATAATTGAACACGAATATAATATAAATTATTTAAGTATAAAAAATTATCACACACAATATGTAAGTGAATATGCCAATATGGATTTATGGTTACAACTTATAAGTAAATAAAATCTCTGAACTATATTACATTCGTGTTACGATCTAAAGACGAAAAAATAAACACAAACTCATAAACCCATGATATGTCACATTCAGAGAAAATTATACAGAATTTAACAACAACAAAAAAAAGACAAAAATATATAGTAAATCACCAAATACGAACAAATCAACGGCGACGACGTGGAAGAAGAAGATTATCGTACGAAGCAGCTTTTCTTGATCTTGGAAGATAAACAATGGACTCTGAAACTGCACAAGTTCTCCGACAAGAACCGTAGAGATTCACTAACCCAAACCTATCTCCGATGCTGTTCTTTGACAACACCTTGCTCGGACCACCGGAATTTCCTCGAAACCTCCGATCTCCGTCTTCACCACCGTCAACGTCATCGTCGTCGTCACTGTTTGTTCCTTCGTCTTTGGAACATTCCAACAACGCAGCCGCGAATGGATCTCTTACGGTAACGGGGAAGTTGTTCTTCTTACTGGAATTGTTAGGTTTAGGTTTTTTTCCGGTGGCCGGAAAGGAAAGATTCCGGTGAGGAGGAAGGGGTAATATAATTGAAGATTCATTGTTTAGACGGTTGTTGAGTCTATGAGAGTAGTCTTTAGGTTTTCCGGGAAGTTGTTCCCAAGAGAAAGGGACGCCAAGGAGACGGAGAGGAGTCGCCGGAGAATTTAGAGGAGAGTCGCCTGGAAACACTAGGGAGCTAGAGGAGCATGAGGAGAAAGATGAGAAGGAAGAAGAAGAAGATAAAGATCTCCGTGATGAAATGGATGACTTCGCCGGAAAGTGTACCGGATCGGATCGTTTGGATACATTTCGGGTTCTTGAAGAATCCATGAGGAAGAAGAAGAAGAAAAAGAAAGAGATGATGTGATCCAGAGAGAAACTCTGTTTTTTGGCCTTTATTGGTTTGTTCTCCTCTGAGACTTCTTTTTAAACTGTGGAAAATTATAAAGGACATTATTGTCCCATTAATTTTTGTTTATTCAACTAATTGTAATTACTATAGTGACAAAAAAGGCTAAACATAATTATCACATCTAAGTATTATTATTTTGTTTCTAGTCAATCTATAAGTATTTTGTAACGTTATTTATACGCTTGCAATCTAAAGTTTTTATATGAATGTGGTGGATTAAGAACTTTTAGGTAGGTGAAAATAATACGCATGGAAACTTAAACAGAAGATTAGATTTTGGTAGATGTGGTTGTATTAGTGGACTAAGAGAAACGTCTCGTTTTATTTGTTGAAAAATCTGAAAATGCAAGTAAAGATGAATTTAAGAGTGAGAATGGCGACCCCATGGGATTGATGGGCTTAGACGTTAGAGATGAAAACGACATAGACATTGTGTGAAGCCACTAGACGGACATGAACTTTTAAGTTCATAAATAGAATACTATTAGTTTTTGAAAATTATGCGTCAATAGAAAAACAAAAACAAGAATTGTTATAGATTGATATGACAAACCTTACATGTGAGTAATTTACCACGTAGAACAAGGTTATAAGACAGTAGAATTACACAATAGTTAGTTACAAACTTGTGTTAATGTCTTAATTAATGATATGACTTGTTGAAGATGGATTGTGATTCTTGTGCTTTTATCGCATTTTTAATATCAGTAAACATGTTATCTAAGCTTCACTGCCTATACTTCGCTAGGCTAGTTTAGTTGTTGAGTAGTCCTCATGGTTAAGCTTCGGTGTAGAACCCATGAAAACAATCTATACGAGTTCTTTTGGTCTTTTTAGCACTTCCTAGTCTTTACAATTTTGTTTTGTTATTGACCAATCTTCAAGCTTTTTGTCATTTGATTAAACTTTTCACAACTATCAATTCAAAATGATTTAAACTAAGTAACTTTATAATCGAAGGCCATACAAATGCACCAATTACATGTGAAAGCAAATCATTGCACACTTGTCAAATTAAAACAGGTTTTAAATAACGCAGGTTGTGTGTCATCAAATATTTTTAAAGTACCACAACAGAAACAAATTAACAAACCTTACCCATTTTTGGTCGCACCTTACCTATCTTTAAAATCTAAATTTTGTGAAGAATATTTACAGACAAATATGATATATATTTTACAATTATAAATAACACCCATAATATTCTTGAGCCGCCTCTGACTAGATAGATACTACAACATCTTTTAAAATTAATAATATGACTTTGCCCATTCGTATGGAGCGTTAGGTCGCTGGTCTGGTCACATTCAAAAAAGAAGAAAACAAAGAGATTTCTTTGCCAATGGCACATGACATATTGTCATTTCATGGGCCCTAGGGCCCCTAACTACTAAAGCTCGTGATATTTGGATCGTTAAAATATGGTCTCCATGAGCTATTTGTTTTGTTTAGTTTTATGCCCTTCAAGTTTGTAACTTTTGTCCGTTCCGTTCTATGTTTTGAGGAAACAAAGTTTGTTTTATTGAAGCATTTATATGTACAATACCATACACAAAGAAATTAACAGCAAAGTTTCTCAAAGATGTAGAATGAACAATAGATGTGATGTATAAGGTTAAGACTTGGAATCATATTGAGATTTATGTTTTTGGTCGTAACATTTTGGGCTCAATGGGTCTATTAAAAATTACAAGTAGGCTCAAATCGAGCTAAAATTATTGGCTCAATTACCCAACTATCTTCATAGCCCATTATCTCTCTAAACTGTCTTTTCTCTAGTGAGTAACGATACTATATTTTTTGGTCGAGATTCACTGTACATTTTAATCTACTTTTTGCTTGTGGATGTCAATTTTTAATTATAGTCCAACAAAATTTTAAGAAGACTAATTACCGGACTTGAACAAAATCAAATTGACAACTACTTAAAATTTCAAAAACTTAATTGCTATTAATTCTAGCGTCTTAACTTTTTCTCTATAAATTGAAAAAAATTCATTGTAGTTAAGAGAAAATGTGTAATCGTAGACGGTAGACCGTAGGCGAGGCTATTCTTTGACCAACAAATACTTAATTCAGTATATATAGAGACCTATATTCAGGGAAAAAACTAAAACAGACTAACAAAGAAACCGTATGAAAGAAAAAAGAATCCAAAACTAATTTATATTGCCGTGACGTAATTGTCATACTCATATAATAAAGTGTACTCAAAAAGAAAATGGACGAGGGGGATGCTCACTTCGTTCGTCATGGCCATAAGTGGATCATGTGGTCCAAATTCTCTGTACATATTTCTCTCACACCTTTTTATAATAACAACAGGGCGTCACAAACACGCGCCGTCGTCTAATGTGGTCTGAACTAAACCCATGTTCGAAGAAAGGAAAATGTAAGCATCACAGTCACACACACAAGTGATGAATCATGAATGACCTAAAATTGGATCTGAGTTTAGAAAATAAAGGACAGTGTTGAGTGGATCATCACGTGCGTGTGACACGCGTCGCCGTCATCAGTTTTGGAGTGGGACACCATCGTTGAAACTAAACTGATCTAAGCCATTCATTGTCTGTGTCTCTCTGACGAAAGGACTAAATTATATGTTCCCGAGAAATCCGTTACGTATTTTTCTTCACTTTGACTTTCGAGAGAGTTTGAGTTATGGTTATTTGTACAATTACAGTCACGTCATGGTCAACGCTTACACTCAACGATATTTCCGTAGCACAGAATATGAGAACGGTCTTTAAAACAATGTCGTGACGGCTCTAAAACGCACCACCGTAACATCCTTGTAAAAGCACGCCTTCTTGATCACTAGATACAATGTTTACACAATATACATTTTGTTACGTGGTGAAAAAAAAAATGTAATCGATTAGTATGACCATGCACATGATTAACAAAACAAAGAAGGCTGGTTATAAGACAGCTACTACACATGCTTTGTCATATTGAGCCACGCAGAATTTGATGAATACAGCAATATTTTTTTTTGTGTGTGCATATCTTTATCCCGATCGCCTTATATCTTCGTACGCATACCGTATTTGAATTGATCCACAGGTGACCGGTCTAAGGAACAATCGGCTCTAAGTAGTCGATAAGTTTCTTTCATTTGTCTGAGTCACGACTTGTAATTTCGAGTTAAGTCTGACGTGTAAATTTGTGGTTGTCATATTCGAAAATTTAATTTCATTGTAGCACGTTTTATAAAGTTTTTTTTTTTTCCCTCATTTTTTTTTTTCTCATTTTAGATTTAACCAACTGTGTCTGTAAAATAAAAGGTTAAATGTAGGCAGCCTCGTATAAATCAATGCGGCAAAATTCTGTTTTCAAGACATGCAAAAATTGTTAAAGTAATTTTGAATTTTCTCATTTTTGTTCTTTCCAACTTAATGGAATAGCAAAAAAAAAAAAAAAAAAAAAACTTATGCAGCTTTGAACGGTTTAGAATTTATATAAAAAAATACATGGTATCAATGTATCCATATATAGCCCAATAAATCCAAATAGAAATCGACTGTGCCAGAAAAAGTGGATGTCGATTCGAAATTCTAACAGACAGACATTATGTGTGAAAATTGCCTAAAAAAAAAGAAACCAGCACAATGTATATGTTTTAATATGTATCTAATTTAATTAAAAGAGAAATGACGCAAAAAGAGAAAGTTGAAAAACACATTTCCTCCAAAACATTTTCAGTGAAATATATATGTATGTATGTATACCAATCTAAATTGTTTTAATATATTTTATTTAAATATAAAATCAGTTAATGTAAATTAAATTAATAATTAAGAAATAAATTTCTATATTTTTATAAACCTAAAGTTTCCTCCAAAATATTTAACCAATAATATTAACTAAAAAAGGGATTTATATTAAAATAAATAATATAATTTCAAATATTTATTTAAATTAAATTAAATAGATAGTAAGACCAATTAATTTAACCAATTAATTAAAATAAATGTAGTTTAAAACCTATATGATAAAAGAAATCAATTGCTTTGATAATTAAAATTTAAATTAATTTTAACAGCTTTAAGGAAAAAAAAATTATAATTAAAAATTGTAACACATACATAGGCAATTAGTATAAATCAAATAATAAAATATAATATATGATGCACACCATTTATTTTTATATAATTGAGATTTTATATACTTAAGTATAGAGTTATATTGTATAATTGAGATTTTATATGGTAAAGTATAGAGTTTTTACAAAAGAGACATCTGTAGGGTTACACAAATAATTAATGGTTTAACAATTTTGCATTTTATTATTATTAGAAAATGATATATTTAGAGTTTTTAAATTATAAATGATGCACATAATTAATATAAATATATAAGTGACATTTTATATACTAAGAAGAGTATATATATTTGGTTGACTTAAACTAATAATTAATGGTTTTGGCAGTTTTGGATTTTATAATTATTAAAATCATATATTTATATATGTTAAATTATGTATAATATAAAATTATATTAAATATTTCAAAATTAATCTTGTGCCACACATTATGTGGGTAATTACTAATTACAAAGTTAACTAAAAAAAGATAAAGGAAATAAACACATACTAACACATTATAAAGTATTTGCACAATAGTCTTCCAAATATATCTTTCCTTTTTTCCAAAAAAAATAAAGATCAGGTGGATTCTAAATTTGACAATTAGAGTGGAAAACACTAATTAAAATTTCTGTAAAGAGCAATAAAGTATATTCGACAAAAAAAGAAAACAATAACAATGATCAGAAATAAAAAAAAAGGCTGGCAGAAAATTGAAACATGAAAAAGAAAGGCTGGAAAAAAATTGAAGAAATTTAAAGTGGCTAATTACACAACAAAGCAGAAAAAAGGAAAAAAACTAAAAACACTTTTTATTAATTCCTTTCAGCAGTCGCCAGCTGGCATTATGCGTTTTGCCACGTGTTATTTTCTCAATGACCATTAGTTTGCTGACGTGTCACCCACTTGCTTTGCGTTCAACTTCTTCTCCTTAAATACAGCTCTCACCATCTCTTCTTCAGCTTTCTTCATTTTCACATCTCTCTCTCTCTGTTAACTCCGTTTAAATTTTCCGTCTGAATTTTACAAAGGAAGACTAATGTCAGGTTTTGACGGCGTTGAAAATCAAATGGACGGTCCAGATTCATCTCCTCGTCTCTCTCAAGATCCTCGTGAGACTCGCTCATTATCATCTTCTTGTTTCCCAATCACCCTCAAGGTTTACATAACAAAACTCAGATTATCAATTTTTAATTCGTATTTTTTTAGATTTAAAACACACTAATTCATTGTTGACTAGTTTTGACTCTGTTTTTTTTTGGTTTCTTGAATTATTAGTTCGTCGATGTGTGTTACCGAGTCAAGATCCATGGCATGAGTAGCGATTCTTGTAATTTCAAGAAATTGTTAGGACTAAAACACCAACCGTCCGATGAGACAAGATCAACGGAGGAGAGGACGATACTAAGCGGTGTCACCGGAATGATATCTCCCGGCGAGTTTATGGCCGTTCTTGGACCATCTGGAAGTGGTAAATCAACGCTACTTAACGCAGTCGCAGGGAGACTCCATGGATCAAACCTCACCGGAAAAATACTCATAAACGATGGTAAAATAACGAAACAAACATTAAAACGCACCGGATTTGTAGCACAAGACGATCTTCTTTACCCTCACTTAACCGTACGTGAAACCTTAGTTTTCGTCGCCTTGCTTCGTCTTCCTCAAAGCCTAAACAGAGACGAGAAAATCAGAGCCGCTGAATCGGTTATATCGGAGCTTGGTTTAACGAAATGTGAGAACACAGTCGTTGGAAACACTTTCATTAGAGGGATCTCTGGTGGTGAGAGGAAACGAGTGAGTATTGCTCATGAATTGCTTATAAACCCGAGTCTTTTGGTTCTTGATGAGCCTACTTCGGGTCTTGATGCTACGGCGGCGCTCCGGTTGGTTCAGACTCTTGCCGGATTGGCTCATGGGAAAGGAAAGACGGTGGTTACGTCGATTCATCAACCATCGAGTCGTGTGTTTCAGATGTTTGATACTGTGCTTCTTTTGAGTGAAGGAAAGTGTTTGTTCGTCGGGAAAGGAAGAGACGCCATGGCTTACTTTGAATCCGTCGGATTCTCGCCGGCGTTTCCTATGAATCCGGCTGATTTTCTTCTTGATCTTGCTAACGGTACGTTCTCTTTTAAATGATTTATTTTATTTTATTTCATGAAACTTTCATATATATAGTGTGTACTAACACGATTATTAACTTAATCATTATCTTATTGAAATAACCGAATATTTTACTACATGATTAGAGCTATGATTCCCGTTTTATATTTAATTTGCGTGAAAGTATTCTTACACGAATTGACTGATGATAGGATAAAAAAAACTTTTTAAAAAAGAAATCATATTTATACGTGTATATGTATACGTATAATATGGATCTTTAATACCGAAACCATGCATAATACGATCATGTGGGGAGGGTAGATATCTGTGTAGAAAAATACTAGTATGAAAATAACAGCTCGACCCCAAAAAAAGAGAGTAATAAATGCATATTTATGATCGTTATCGCCGACGTACGATGAGAGCTATACAAGTCCAAGTTTTGATGTGTCCCTCGTTGACGCTGGTCGTCGTGGTGGCTACAAATTTAATTACTTGATTATCGCTTTGTCTTTGGACTTAAACTAGCGCTAATCTATAGCTATTACATTAGTACGGTTCTAGCATTAGATTTATACTAATAAAACATACATATATAAAAATGGTAAAGGGACTTATATAGCATCCTTTTTTCTCATCGTTTTTTCAATATTTGTTTATTTTAAAGTTTACAATTTTTTAAAAAGAAAGTTGATAATTGAGGGTGGCTTTTTATGATGTTAACAATTATGGGCAATTGGGGATACGTGTTATGTTTTTTTTTTCTATTTTTTAGAGTATGATTTTTGTATGCCGCAGATTTTTGGGGTCTAAAATTTTGGCATATTATATATCATCTGAATAAATGTTATTCCCTGCTTTTATATAAAAAACCTTATCGCATTACACATTTACACACTAGTAAACCATGCTTTTTATTTATTTTTCCACGGATAATAAAAACAGAAGAAAATGATCTTTATTTTGTTTTCTAAAAACGGGTTTATAGAAAAATACCACGTGTCTAACTAGTTACAAGATGACGTATGGTTTTAGCTATGGGCATTGTGTTTTCTGTTTCCTCTTTATCCAACTTTTTCAAAAAAATTAGTTCTTCTTTTTTTTCGCACTATACAATCTTTTTCGTTTTATCTCTTATCTTTTTATGTTTTCCCAATAATTCTTATTCTCTTTTTCTTCGGCCAACTTTAAAAAAACACATCCTTTTTGGCTTTTACATTCTTTTGATCAAAGTAGTCTTCTCACACTCTTTCTCTCTACTTTTTTTTTTAATCTATTTTTGTGTGGCGTTTGAGCCCACGCGTCGATTCAGGCTCGTGGTTTTTATTGTCTGCACTTACGTATTTCCATAAATCTTTGATATGGGAAACTTTTACTTTACTGGGTAACCGCCTAAGAGAACCTCATCGAAGTAATAAACAATGAATGAGCTTTGGGAATTGGAATATTCAGTGTACTCTGAACTCAGTTTCAGTGTTTTTTGTGTCTTATTGTGATTGATTACAAGTAAACCTTCATGGGTATTTTGCATTCTTTCATAGTCAACTATTTTTCTTGAAAACAAACAATATTTTCACTTAGGAAATAGAAAAGGACTTCTTGGAAATTAACGATCTTAAAATCTAAAGAGACATATACTTGAGGTCACGTTAATTTATTCCCAATCGTCCTTGCTTATCTCAAACAAGGCAGTAAGTACCAAATAATGGTACGAATGTTTTGACGTTTTAGGCATATAAATGATTTAAAAATGTGGACCAAACTTATGTTCGTTTGGTCATTCAGTGTACTAATGATAAATATTCACTCATTCATTCATGGTCCATATATATATAGGTAACTAGGGACATGCATCATTCACATACATACCCATGATTTAATGTTTTTTTTTGGGGATTGCTAATAGAGGTAATGACTAATTATGTTACCCAAGACAAAACAAATCACATGTCTTCGTCGTTGACTTTTCATTTTTAGTAGGTGTCTACTAATTTGGGAAAATCTTCACAAAATGTATGCACATGGTATGTATATTTTGGTGACGCCATAGGCAGAGTAAGAAGGCATATAATAAGATGGGGGAATAAAATTGGCACATATAAATAGTTTGTTGCGCACGATGGCATATATACAGTAGTATTAGATTTAATTTAATAGTTTGGTGGGTATTAAGTTCTTTGTCTCCACGAACCATATGCTTCACATTCAATCTTTCTTTGTATTATTTTCACTAAGAAAAAAGCTCATTTTATTGAACCAACCATACACATGACCATTCGATTTATTTCATGAGTATATATAAACTATATAATATATACTTGTGCATGTATGTGATGTTCCATGGGTGGAAAAGTTGATAATCACATTCACATGCATGATCTACTAAGCAAGAATCTTCTTTGTCTAATTATTTTGTTATTAGAAAGATCAATTTTTTTTTGCTATTTTTCATGAGGAGCTGTTAGGATATTGCTTTCAACGTCAAATTACAACAGTAAACTCCACTTGCTCTAACTTATTATAATCAAATTGAAAGAAAAGAACAACAGAATTAAATTTTCTATTCCAAAATTATTGCTTTTCCAAAAGCTGGCTTATGACATTTCATGATTACACTTGTCGAGTATTTGACTATGCATTGTTCATTTATTTATTGACTTTCTCAAACTTTTGTTCCACCAAAATTTCAATTTTAATCTTGCTGATAATCCTCGTAAGAAAAAAGCTTAACACGTGTTAGGAAATACTAAATATTCACCTTATTTTGCATAAACTTATCTTAGGGAACGTTAAACTGAATAGATTATTTATTTGATGCCCAAACTTTTCCATTTTTAAAATTTTTGGAATCGATGAAGAAGCTAAAATTAAGAACCATAGTGGCGACCTTATGCTTTCTTGGGTGGACTCTCTCGTCTCTCCACCTTGATTGGTCAGCTTTACTTGCAAATCAGATCTCCATTACTTATTAACCAGTTAATTTATTAATTTAAAGATGTTTACTTTTGTTTGATTAATAAAATAATGGGTCCAACATATAGTGTCAAAAACCTGTTTAAGTATAATTGTTTGGTCGGTCCAAAGAACACGATTGGCTGATTCGGTAACGCCTCTGTTCGGTTCAATGCCACTTTGAATTGTCTTTTTCTTTTTATAATTAGGTTAATTAAATTATTATCTATACTGGCCAATTAAGTTTCGTCTATTTGGATGATACCTTGAGTGTTTCTAATTCTGATTGGTAGATTTATTAATTAACCGCTAGGATATTTTGTCATTAATTTATTATATCTGAGTGGTGTGTCATCGTAAATGCTAATGTCACAAGTGGTTAGCAAAACATAAAATTTTTTGAAATAAATTTAACTCTAAGCTGATTGATTTTTTTTAATAATGCAGGAGTTTGTCAGACCGACGGTGTAACCGAACGCGAAAAGCCAAACGTGAGACAAACGCTGGTCACGGCTTATGATATATTGCTAGCCCCACAAGTGAGAACTTGTATCGAAGCGTCACATTTTCCTCAAGAAAACGCGCGTTTTGTGAAAACGCGAGTAAACGGCGGTGGAATAACAACATGTATTACAACATGGTTTAGCCAACTCTGCATTCTCCTCCACAGACTTTTAAAAGAACGACGTCACGAATCCTTTGACGCACTTCGCGTTTTCCAAGTCGTTGCGGCTTCGGTTCTTTGTGGTCTCATGTGGTGGCACTCTGATTATCGAGACGTACATGTAAGTATCAAACCATATTATTAAAACAAAACATTTTATTGGTTTAGTTTGGTGTTTTTGCTAATAACAATGTTGTTACAGGACCGACTAGGCCTACTCTTCTTCATATCAATCTTCTGGGGAGTACTTCCATCATTTAACGCGGTCTTCACGTTTCCGCAAGAACGTGCAATTTTCACTCGAGAGCGTGCGTCCGGTATGTACACACTCTCTTCTTACTTCATGGCCCATGTGCTCGGATCCCTCTCCATGGAGCTCGTTCTTCCGGCAGCATTCTTGACGTTAACTTATTGGATGGTCGATCTACGCCCCGGGCTAGTCCCATTCCTCCTTACCCTCTCCGTGCTCTTACTATATGTTTTAGCGTCACAAGGACTTGGACTTGCCCTTGGTGCAGCGATCATGGACGCTAAAAAGGCGTCTACAATCGTAACCGTGACAATGCTAGCGTTTGTCTTAACCGGTGGTTACTATGTCAACAAAGTGCCATCCGGAATGGTGTGGTTGAAATACGTTTCCACAACGTTTTATTGTTACCGTCTTTTAGTGGCGGTCCAATATGGGAGTGGGGAAGAGATATTGCGAATGCTTGGATGTGATTCGAAGGGTAAGCAAGGAGCGGGTACGGCGGCATCGGCTGGATGCCGGTTTGTGGAAGAGGAAGTGATCGGAGATATTGGTCTATGGACGAGCGTTGGTGTTTTGTTTTTGATGTTTGTTGGGTATAGAGTATTGGCATATCTAGCTTTGAGGCGTATTAAACATTAAATAAAATGAGAGAGGGGAGGAAATCAAATAAATAATGAGTGGGTAAAATTTAATTGTTAGGGCTTTAATTCGGAATATTAAGACGTCGCTAATTGTAATTTTGCGGTTTAGCGACGGGTTTAGGTGTTGTATGGTTCAGTTTTAACATGTGAAAATGAAAATGACAAGTATTTTTAGTTGAATTATAATAAAATGTAGATTCCGCATAGAATATGCTTTTTCAATTAGTAAAGACTAAAGACAGACCCATATGAATCGGCCAATTTAGTCATGTGTATGGCCCATGGGCTTGTTAAAGGCTTAATGTTTTCGATTTTTATTTATATATGATATGTTATTTTACCAACTACAAAAATAATTGAGATACATTCACAACTTTGTTTCAATAAAAGTTCTCTCCTAAAGAAATTTTCAGAGAACAATAAATAATAGAAGTAGAAAATGACCACTTAATCTAGTTATATTTTATATGTTTTAACTGAAATTTTTTAATCTAAACAGGTGAAATTGAATACTTATAGATAAAAATATAAAATTCTTAACTGGAAAAATCTGTTTGACTTCTAACATTTTGTAGAAAGAAATCTAATTGAATATACCAATTAAAAATTCAATAAATACCTTAAAATAAAATCTTGAAATACCATAAACATAAATTTATAAAATAAAATTTTCTATAAAATAAAAGCTCAAAAAATTGCTAGAAATTCATATTTGGGATAATCTAAGCTAAATAGCTAATCAATAATAAAATAAAATAAAAATCAGATATAATTGACTGATTCATTATTTTTAAAACAAGCTAAAATGCCACTTGGCAAACAAGATAATTTTACAAAAATCTATGGAATTATAGAATTATCTACATGCCGACATAATTCAACCGTCAGATTATAGATTAATCATTTGAGACCGTCCGTTTTTGAGTCGGTTTAAATTGTGACATAAATGGAAAATGTCACCTCTCACGCGTTATTTCACATTTGATTGAAAAAATTCCCAGATTCTATAAAAAGAGAAATGCAAACATTTGCTCGTGGAACAAGAGTCTACCTGAACCACCACATCATCATCATCGTCGTCTCCTTCTTCTTATTCTCATCGATCGTCATGGCTGAATCTACCGGAGAAGCAACTGTATCGTCTGAAGCAAAGGTTCACATCATCTACACCGAGAAACCCACCGATGAAGAACCTAAAACCTATCATCTCCGTACTCTTTCCTCTGCTCTCGGCAGGTTTGTTTTCTCAATTTCCGCCGGAAATTAGATGAATTTTGTTTTCGATGAGATGATTTTTGGGTTTGATCGCTTTTGATTTTAGGGTTTTTTTTTTTTGTTTTCTGAAATGGGTATGATTATGATTGTTTCTCTATGTTTATTGTTTTGATTGCTTGAAGATTGATTCTATGTGATTCTAAGAGATGGTGATGGATTTTTGTGTTTGTTCTTATGTTTGATGATTATACAGTGAGGAAGCTGCAAAAGATGCTTTGATTTACAGTTACAAGGAAGCTGCTTCTGGTTTTTCAGCTAAGCTCACACCTGAACAAGTCGCTGAGATATCAAGTACGTTTTTTTCATTAGATTTCTCGTTTGGTTCTTCTGCATTTACTTGTAACTTAGGGAGCATTTGAACACGATGAATGCAGAGGAATCTAGTAACCTTGTTTGTTTGATTTGAAGTGTGACAATAAGATGTTAGTTGGTTTAAGTGCTTATCTGGTTATGAACTTGTGATCATCGACTAAAACCAATTGTGACCCGATGAAAGATCCAATTGTGACCAAGGTTGATGTAAAATTTCTTTTTAGTCCAAGTTCACGAAATGTTCCATGATTAGTGATGTTTCAATGTTTCTGCAAGCTAAGATAAAGTTCTCAAACCTGTAGAAATAAAATCATAGAGTCACGAATGCACGATTTCGAGTATGTAGGCATAGGAAAACCAGGATAAAGTTCTCAACTTGATCAATGCTTTTTGTCTTGTTCTGTTTTTCTTATATGCTTTTTTGGGGATTTGGATGTTGCAGAACAACCAGGTGTGATTCAAGTTGTGCCAAGCCAGACTTATCAGCTGCACAAACCTGGTGGTGGTGGTGGCTTTAAGTTGACCTAATTTGACTTTGTGTATTCTCAACTTCTGAACTAAAACCTGTTGTTTTACAGAAACTAGTCTGTTGTTGTAATGTTGTGACTTTGAAGTATCTAACTAAAATAATGTCATGAAGTAGCTTTGATTTGAGTTGTTCTGTGTTGTTGAGAAATGTGTTTCTTCAATATGTTTATTCTTAAGATAAATGTTTCTTCTAGTTCCAATTGCAGATTGTGAATTTTGAGAAGAAATAATAATAATAATAATCCAGAACCAAAATATTTGATGGTCTCTACTCTCTTGTCTTGTACAAAAAAATGTATTGCTCCTGTAATTTCTCATCTTCTTCTACTTCCAAATAGCAAGAAAATAGGACCCAAAAAACAAAAAAAATATCAACGATAAGTGACAAGTAAACGAATCAGAAATTTTGTTTTGTTGTGTCCTCTAACAAGTTAAGTGTATTCTTGTCCTCTGTATAGCATTGAAGGTTAAGCCTCTGTATTGAAAGATGCTTCTCCTTGGTTATTCAACAATCTTCTTTCTTTTCAGTATCGTTGGAAGAATAGAGATAAACCCGATGAGGAAAAGTACTGACAATGTCTTGAAATCATACAGATCTTTCACCGATTTGAGATCTCCAATAGCAAGGCCAGCCTACAATAAAAGAACCATAGCTTAAGCTAAAGAAATGAAATACAAGAATCTTGAATGATAGCATATCATAAAAGGAAAGATGGTGAAGGAGGGATGTAAAAGAGCTTACTCTAACGGTTATATAAGCTGCCGGAATGAGACCAATCAATGTCGCCAAAAAGAAGACATGGAAAGGTACATCGACTATAGGAGACGCAAGATTGATAAAAAGATTTGGCAGAGTTGGTGTTATCCTCAAAAACAACATATAGTTCAGAAGCTTATCTCTACGCTTACTAATCTGAAAGTTATAAACCACAACCTAATCAGTACCAAGTAAAGAACTTTCATAAAGATCATTGAAAGAGACTTACCTCTGCTTGAAAGAATCTTAATTTGTCAGGCCATAGCCAAGTAATCAAAGGCCGACCAATCAACTTCGACAAAAAGAAACACGAAGTAGCTCCCGCAGTTGCATTGAAAACAACCAAGACAACACCTTTGAATACTCCAAAGAGAGCTCCAGCTAACAATGACATAAAGATAGTCCCTGGAATCATAAAGGTCTGCATAAAAATGTATGTCGCACAATACCCTAAAACGAACTGCGCCGGATACTCATTCGCATAGTTTGCTAGATTATCTCTGAAACAACAACAACAACAACAACAACAACGATTACAGATTTATCAATTCTAATCCGTAAATTCTCCTAATTCGCTACAAAAATTGAATCATAGATAAGAAAGAAAGTTACTTGAGCAAACGGAGATCAGCGATGCTTCTTGGAAGCTTAAGCTTGCCAAATTCAGCAGCAGGCATGGTCATATAGATACAACAGAGACCAGAGGAGAAGACGAGGAAGACACCGAGAGAAACAGCGAGTTCCCACCGGCTAAGAGGGAAGCGATCAAGTTTAGATCTTTTTCCCGATGGAGAATCATCATCGTCAGATATAACACCAAGCTCTTCGTCTCTGGTTAGAATCCGAGTCGGAGCCATCACCAAAAAAATGCAGCAACACAAAAAAGATTTCGAATTGTGGTGAGATCGATCTCAATTCATTTGTTTGGGATTTGGTTACGGAGAAGAAACAACAACGATCTGGGATTAGATCTGAGAGATTTTGTAGAGATTCAATTGCATTTTGATTTTCCAGTGATGAACCCTAAAAAGAAATTTGATTCACGTTATTGGTTTCTTCAGATTAAACAAACGTACGAAGAAGAAAAAGAATTGAAATTATTTTATTTTAACGGAAAACGTGTTGGCCTTATCGGAGAGATTTGACGGTGGCTTTTAAGACCTTCTAAGAGGATCAGAGAGTTTTGACTTAGATTTTACAAAATCGATACCTCTGTATCGTTGAGAGGGTTTCAATTTTATTTTATTTTTAGTAGTATATGGCTCTTGGTTGAATAATAGTTTTACTTTCATTAATTCCGTAACACTTTTAGTTCCTCTTTTTTTTTGGTTTAATTAATTTTTTCATCACCTTATATACATAGAGAGTATATGATTTCGATTCAAATCGTGCATTGTGGGTTAGGGTAATTAGGTTTAGCATGGATTACGGTTTGAATTGAAATTTAGGAGTCTCAAAAACTACAAGTTCTCTTAACTAATACGGCACCACTGTTCTGAAGTATATATCAATATATGCATTGTGGACTGTGGTATATAATTATTAGCACTTTTTTAAATTATTAATGGATGAGTTACAAATTAATAGAGAGAAAAAATGAATAGAAAAACACAAGGGCTATTTAAAAAAAAAAACTCCACCTTTGTGAAATTCAACAACAATTTTCTACGTAATAAACACAAACTTCTTTTACAAATAGACAGTTATAAATGTTATTTTCCAGATGGAACAATTAAATCATAGAATACAAATCAATATATAGAAGTTTTTTTTTTTTTTTTTAATTACGAGTCAGGGAAGCATCCAAGAGAATGATGAATATTGGCTTCGACCTCATTATAGTTTTGATGCATGGAAGGGAAGCTCGGCGCCGGATGATACGACTGTGTTTCGAACGAATTCATAAGAACATTAGGGTTATGTGGATGTATGACTTGTGTCTCAAGCAAGGTATCTAGTGTTCTCCAATCCACACAGTTAAAGCTCTTCTCTTCTTCTTGCTCGAAACTCTCGTTCTGATCTTTATTCGTCCCTAGACTCGGCGACAAGCTTGGGCTGTCCAGCTGAGGTAGCTCGATGTTGCCATATTGATGCATCGATGAGGATGCATTATTAGGATTGTAGTGGTTATTGCTCATGAGCATTTGATTAAGGTTATGGTTCGATGAAGATGCACCGATATGATGACTCGTGTTCATTGTCACTGAAGATGAGTAGTTGTTACTACTTTCAACGTGGTATAGCTGGTTCTGCCATGGCTCGTACCCTAATGGCCTCTGGTTTGGAATTGGCTTCCTGAATGCTCGACACACCACCCACCCTTCCTCCTATAGTTCACAACATATAAAGTTACTATTTAGATAACCAGTTATTGATTTAGTCCGGTTAGGTTTGGTTATTTTAACATTATTGGATCCATTGTCAAACATGTAACATTATTGCTTAGGTTTATTAGACGGAGTAAGTATTGTAGTAATGTACTATTTTATTAGTAATTTTTGAATGTTTGGTTTGCTAGTGAGTCACGTATCAATTAGATCTTCAGATGTGTACCTGAACTGGGGCAAGCTCGGAGTTTTGGAGGCGGTATTCGTGCATGATCCAATCGGATTTTCTTCCATTAGGAGCTCGACCTTTGTAGTAGACAAGTGTCTTCCGCATTCCGATGACACTGTTCTTTGAAAGTACCGCCTTGTCTCTACCGGTGGCTTTCCAGAACCCTGCCGCGGTGGCTCTGTTGGTCCTAGTCCCGGTCGGGTACTTCCTATCCTTATGACTAAAGAAGTACCACTCATTTTGTTCTTCATACCCTAGTTTACACCTTGCTGCAAATGTAAAACCAAATATTAATGTCATAAATTTCTTACATCACAAAATATAAAAAATAAACAAAAAAGAGTGAAAACTTATGCTATATATGATATGATTATACTTTCCCATTTTCAATAAATAAATTCAACCGGCTTAATTTCAAAAGAAGTGTTATGATTTATGATTGTACTACATCTCTTAATTTTTCTTTGTAAAATTCGTTTCACACTCCGTTTATAAATCTACAAGTCAAAGAAAGTAGGCTCTCTCAATCACTTCGCATGCCAAATTCAATTGGTTTTCAAAAATCATGTCATAGCTAGACAATTTACTGCCATTACATGCAAAGGATTAATCAATGATAATGATTATACAAAATCCACGTTGATTACCTTGTATATCCCATGGCTCCATTTTGTAGAGATCAATCTCTACAATGACATCTAAAGCACTCTTCATTGAATTGATCTTTCTATCTAGGTAATATCCCACAAGCTCTTCCTCTGTCGGATGAAATCGGAATCCCGGTGGCATAGACGATTGCATTATATTATCCATCCACGATGATCCTGTAAATGTATTCAATTTGGAAAATTGTTAGAGAAATGAGTAAGAAACGAGATGGAGAGGTGGCAGAGAAGAGAATGATACGAAGGAAAATGAAATGTATATAAACATAAGCGTGTCTTTTTGGAAGCTATTGCGAAAACCTTAGACAAACAAGGCACAACCTTAAAGTTTTGTCTTTGGGACCAAAACCAAAGCCTATTACAAGCTTCGTTATATTTAATTATAAGAAAGGGATCGAATGGCTCTTGGGTCCAATGAAATTCCAAAAGCTGTATGTTGGGTAATGATAGTGATGTTACACACGGACACACACGATAAGATATTATATACCTTATAAATATACCAACACACAAATATATATGAATTCACATGTAACTAGATATTATATACAAAAGCTTGGATCTTTAAGCTTAAGGCTATCGCTATTATATGTTGCTGATGATGGTTATGATGTATTTTTATGGGACCACCCAACAATGGAGGAGCTGTTACTATTTTACAAGAAAAAATGAATAACAAAAGCTTGATAGAGAAAGTTTTTGGATTTTCTATTTTTTTTTTCAGAAAAAAATTAGGTTTAAGGGTTTGTTTCGCCTTATACTTACCGAACGATGCTTATAAACGAAAATATTCAAAGTTTGTATAACAACATAACTACATATATAAGGGTAGTATACATTATTAAGACCAAAAATATACAAACAATACTGTTTATATTTATTACTACACTATGTAAAATAATCGTATATAAAGGATATATATAGCCGAAAAGCTTGACGGGTGGAAGTCACTGAGGTTGGAGTGTATTACACACTCTTTATCTTGAGTTATATTCCTATACTATCTATATAATATAAATTATAATGGTGCAACAACAATTAATTTCCAAGAAACAATAATATCTTAGAAACACATAGATTCCGAAATCCCCACCATGATTTCAGTTCCCTGGTTTACTCTAATATTTGTGGGTCAACGTCCACAGGACCACACACATATATGTATACTATTCAAGATATGAAACTTCATACACGATACACCCTACCCATCTATGTATGTATATATGATGAAATTTTGCAAAACAGAAACGCAGATGCATCATCAATTCATCATGGTTCATGCATGTAGTGCGTAAAGGAAAAAAATCTTAAAGGAACAATGGGGTGAAACTTACGAGCTAATAAAGATTGGACGAAGGGCTTGTCGGAAATATTACGTTATTTGCAAGCAACGATCTAAAAAAAGAGTAGCAAAGGAAGAAGGAGAGGAAGATTGAAATCTCTGGTGGTGTGGATCAAATGATTGTTAATATAGCAAGACAAGGAGAGTTTGGCTTTTGATTAGATCACATGCATATGGACCAGCTAGAAATCTTAGAATGTATATATAGGTTTTATGTGCATTTATGTGAGTATGCTTATTTATATATATATGGTAAGTGTGTGACATGTGGGTGCAAAATGATGATATAAGAAGAAGGAGGAGAAGAAGAAGAAGAAGGAGATGAAGGCAGTGTTTGATTGCGCGTGGGATAGACATCTACGGTTTGTTTTTGGTCGGCGTCTCTCTCTCTCTTACCGCAATTTTTTGTTTAATGTTTTTCCAATCTTCTCCACTTTACCGGCAGTTACTGCACAAGCCAAACATTTCTTTTATTTGTCTATTGCTCATTAGTTATTACATCACACAGGATAAATTCTTTTATCTATTATATATCATAGCTATATATGATTAACAGTATTTATGTAGCATAATTAGGTCAAATGGATGTTTTTATCTTTGACGCTTTGGTTGAGTGGATGGACCAAAATCTTTGATTTCTGAAATATGTTTTCAAGTTTTTATCTTTTTTTTTTTTAATTTGTTATGGGATCATTTGTTACATGTTTATTTATTTATTTATTTTTTATTTTCCAGCTAAACTCATTTGTTATAGGTTTATAATCATCAATTGTATAACTAAGTTATTTTCATTATGATTAAATATTTACATTCTTAGCAAAAAAAAAAAAAAAGGTCAAATAGTGAAATGTTCCCAATATTTACAAAAACTTTAGTTTGATTGGATAATATTTTGAAAGACGGTTCCATGGTATTATACTATTATCAATAAAATTAGATGACAAAAAGAATTACGTTTTGAATTTAATTAATCTACTTTCTTAAATCATTATGTTCAACTACTCACCATAATTTTCTTATACCATGTAACTTTAAAATATTTTCAGTAATAAAAATCTAGTTATTAATTGTGAGTGGCTTGTTGGAAATTCACACTTCAAGAATTAACAAGGACTGGATTTGTAAACCCGAAGATGATGAAACTATAGAAATATATTCCTTTTTTTTTTTTTTCTTGTTTGTTGTTGTTAGAAATTTAGAAGATATATGTTTGCTACTGAAATGTGTCTTAGTTTTAGTATGTCTGATCATTAACCCATAGATAAGAGTAAGACACGTAATATCTCAAAGTTGTTGAGATATTACTATTAACTTTTTTTGTCATAGAGATATTACTATTAACTTATTAAGTATATAACATCGTCTCAACGTCGAAAGGATTTACACGCATGTACATTTATGGATTACTACGTAAATCTCACTCAATATACCACCGCATCTAATTTTATAATATGAGTCTAGCTAGATCCACTCGAAACCACAATCTTAACTTTTTCTTAAATGATTAAAATAAACTTCAGATTTATAGTAAACCTAAAGGAACGAACATTGGCCATTAAAAACATCAGGAACCGTGTATATATGAACATTATATTATATAACCAAAAAGAAGGAGAAGAGTAAAACAGAGGAATATGATTCATGTATATGTTCTTAAGTCTTTCTCCAGCAATCCAGCTCCCATTGTCTGGTTTGGTGGCGCCGTCCTTAACACGTGTCATTACGAGTGTAAGACACGTAAGAATCAGACCTGTTTCTATCACATAACTAATCATTTGTTCCTCATCTGATTTACCCGCTTGTGCGGGTCCTCCCAAAGCCGTTGGCTGTCTTTTTTTTACCTCACCTTTCGGCTTAAGATGACGTCATCTCAGTAACTCATTGACCCTAGTCTTAAAGAAAAATCCAAAAAATAACATAAGACGAGGTAAACACAAAATTCGAGGATAATGGATAAAACAGAAAAATGAAAATAATACAAATATTGGGTACGAAAAATAGAAAAGGCAAAGAGCTTGCACTCGATTTGGAGTCAGATTCACATGCATGCCTATTTGTCTACTGCGCGAGGGAGAGAGAGCCTTTTGTTCAAATCCAAGACCATCTATCCATAAACCCTTTCACACCATTCACTTTTTTCGTTATATAAATGTCCCTCGATCCCTAATTTTCCTTTTCTCTAATCATAATGTCTCTTAGTCTCAATATAAATATATATCATATATACTATATGCTTTTAACAATATATATATATATATATATATATATATATATATATATATTCCTCCTCTTATTCTTTGCATTCAAACCATATTTGAAGACTTGCTTGTGTATGCCATGCATATACGAGCCCCATGTATACTGAATTCGCTTTTTTTTGTTTTTTTTTTCATTTTGGTTTAATTTTGGATATATCATGATTCATGTCTTCATGAAGCACCAAAAGATATATAAAGCATACCCTTTGTTTATCCAAAAGTTTGATTTTACGATAAGTTGGATCGTATCATGAGATAGCAAATGTGTTCTTCATATTTACAAATGATCGAAGCTGTTTGAATTAAACCTATATCAGAACTATTCTCTTTAAACATGATGCATTGAACCCAATATATAATATATTGCCATATTGGTGTATTGAACTGTATATATGGATAGATATGGATCATGGATGGTCACAAATCATAGTGCGTGTGTACTTGCCACTCTTCACTAACTAAAATTAGTGTTTAACGGTAATTAGTGGGTTTAGCAACTTAAAAATTATTTAATCAAATAATTACTTTTTGACTTTTTTCATCCAGCAAGCGTCACCGTGCTACTGAACCTAATTAAAATTCTCATCTGAAGTTTTTTATCTGTAGAAGATAGTGACGCCACTGTAAACTAGTCCTCGATTCCGTCCTTACTATTGGCTGGCCGGTTTAATACCCTAAGATATATAATCAACTAAAATATTTACGAGATATAATAATTAGATTACCAAGCAGAATACTTGAAGCATGAGAACAAAAGTAATTGACACATTAGACGACCGTTTTTTTTTGGAGGCTGTTACTTTACCGCCCACGGATTAAAAGGTTGTTAATATCTCTCACGCCAATATCTTGAAAATATGATACATTATATTGGTCTAAAGACTCCAAGGTCCTTTTTATCTGTTTTAGAATTTGAGGAAATCTATGATCCCTAGACATATATATTTATTATTCAAAACATATAGCAAAAATATCTCAATATTCTTTGAGTGATGAAAAGAAACATTTGGCTCGTACAAGAATTATTATCCACAAGAAAATAGAACGATTTAATTTAGTTTACAAACAAATAAGTCTGTCATATTTATTGTTATCATTCGAACTTTTGTATGAATTGTTTGTTTGTATAGTAATCTAATCGGTTAATTTATTAATTTATGAAGAAATGTTCGTTTAAATGGGTCCATAGTGATTAAAAATGTAAATCATGAACTTAATCTGAGAAATCATTACAATCTGATGTGATCTACCGACCTTTCACTTTCTTTTATTTTCTTTTTATTGTAGTTCATTTCTATTGGACTGTTCACCAAACCGCCAACATAAAATATATATATATACTGTACTATAAAATTATGGCCGCACACACCTTCTCTCCATTGGTCACTTCGAAGATTAGTCACATAATATTATATTACACTTGAGGAAATCAACAAGAATGTAAAATGCATATATCACGTTATCAACTCTCTTATTTGTGACATCACAAAGAATTGGTCGTTGAGGGAAACAAAATGGTTATCAAAGTACCTAATTATGTAACGATGCCTAAAAATATCTACAAATGTTCGGGTGTTTGTATTGTGCCCAACTGCAGTAACTAGCAGTGTTTAAGAGATCGATTGAAAGGTCAAATAAGATAAGATTAAATGAATTAACTGAGAAAAGAAAGTTTCCCGAAAAAGAAAGTAATAGATTTGCTTTGGCTGAAAGAGTTAGCTTAGGATTTTGTCTTAGATTCTATCCTAACTGAACTTTGACAACGACCGGTATCTAGAAACAAGCTTCAATGTCTTTCTTTTATTTATCAGTTTTATAATAAAAGAAGAAGAAAAAATATATGACTTCACTTTTTTGTTTAAAGATATATATATATGAATCTAAATCTTTAAACAAAAAAGTGAAGTCATGTTTTTTTTCTATTGTCTTATTCACCCCTTGTAACAATTTTGTGATTGTGGATCATTGTGTATTCATATATAATTCGCTTGGAATACTATCTTTACGCTTTTCTCCAATAGTCTCACAGAAATATATTTGAACCCTGAAAGATATCATATCCACTAATGAATTATTACCAGCTGATCTTGGTGGCAATAATAATTAAGAAATAGTAAGTCATAATTAGTGATACTCATAGGCTATATATATATTAATCATCGTCGATTTTTTAATTATCTCGTAGGCATTGATGATTTCAAATTTGTCTTTACGTGAAAAATTTCGGAATTTTATAATGGAAAATATCTTTACTATATGAAGATCTTTGAAAACTATATCTATAAACTTCGAACCCTAATGTCTTTTTTGAAGAACTAACATCAACAAATACCCATCAAAAAGAAATCGGAAATTCATAACGTGGAATTTTTATTTTGTACAAGTGATCATTTATCAACTCAACTTAATGAAAACTGTTACATGACTATCAGTTCATATCGAAAATTAAACGATTCTGTTCTTTTTAACTCATTTGTTTAGGTTAACTAAATGAGAAAATATTGAATATATTAACGAAAATTAATATACTTAGCTGCAATTAATGATGAACGGACGGTGGATGGATATCGACCACTAATTCTCCAAGTGACCCCTACAACCTCCTCTACTTGTCTCCCTATACCACATCCTATCTGGTAAAGATCAAGTCAAAGGTTCCCACTAAACTTTCACTTTTAGTTTGATAATCTTACGTTTTAAACAAACCAATGTAGATATTTAGTACGTCAACATGTACATACAAGTATCAGCTTTGGTGTTTTGTAAAGAGATCACATTAACAAGTGAAGCGAAATCATGCGGGCACATCTGTTATTAATATGTTTGGGGCGGTTTAGTGGAACTTATATAAGAAATCTTGAGATTGCGTCTCTATCACAATATATCAAATAATAGTTCCATACTATTAGAATTATTATTAAATGTTCTACTTAAAAATTTAAAAAATTTCTCATTGTTTTTTTATCATTTGCTTTTCGTATCATGTTTATGAGTAAAATCAACGACAGCATAAAACCGAGTAATACCTTCCAATCCACCTTTTATCTTTTTATTCCCCCTTGTATCATTCTGCGTGTTGTTACCGTAAAAGTCCTAGATTATATGTTTATATAACTTTGAGAGGAGCTAATATGTGTTGTGTTAATTATATTTAACCGATATATTAAAGTGAGAAGCTAACTGTAATTTTAGCTTTAGTTTTTGGTCTGTTAAAAACATGACCTAAGTCCATAACCATCTAATATACAGTTAAAAACGTTTACAACGTTTATTATAGATGTTGTGACAATATGACCATATATAACCAATCTAAGTATAGATTGTAAATCTCTTTTTTTTTTGTCTTTAGTGGACATTTTTCAATATATATATATATATAGCCAAATTATGGTACAATTATTTTTATTCAGTGATTATGGTTATTCACACTAGACAAAAAAAAACATATGTAAGGCTAAGGATTACTGCAGGCTTTACTATGTTGTATGGTGCATGATTAGGTTATGGTTTTATAAAGCTTGATTGATAGTTAAATTTTAGTTTGGGACTCGAATAATTTACGCCAATCAAAAGACCTATACACTACAGTGTATAATGTGATATTTCTACACCAAAATTTGATTTAAAATCAGATAATTTGGGACACAAAACAAATAATTTTGAATCTTCGAATAAATTGGAATGTGAATTCAACAGTTATCCAGAAATTTTAGAAACGGATTAATAAAATGAGAAACTAAAAAAATGTAATGATGAGAAAAGCAAAAACTTCTAGAGGTTTTGAATGGAACAGAGAGGCTGATGATGGCATGTCGGCCCACACCCCCCAAGTTGTCTCTTTGATCCTATTGCTTCTCTCATACTTATTCTTCTTTTCTTACATTGTATTTTAGTTTTCTTTTTGTCTTTCTTTTAGGTTCCTTTACAGCTTAATTATTTTAAATTATAAACTTTTTAATGTAAGAAATATAAACTTACATTTAAAAATGAATAAGCTTTTTACTTATTTAAAATGAAAATAGTTTGATGGCTCTTCTTGGACAAGGGACAAAATTTTGTTTTACTTTACAAAATACTTTATATCTAGTTTAGGGCATTAGCTATTATATTTACGGCTTAATACATTTTTCTTACTATTTCATTTTTTTTGGCTTAAAAAAGAATTTGGTGCTTAACCTGTACTATGCATGAGCAAAAGTTTCAAAAAAAAGATTAAAAATAATTTGTAACATATTAAGATGCCTTTTTATCACTTTAACTAAAAATAGTGAAAGGAAAACTATTCACTTACTAAATTCGTTTAGACAGATCTAAAAAATTGATTCATGTAATGCATATATATATACATGGATTGCAACAAAAAAAAATTTGTATAACAGATAATTAAAGTTAAAAATTGAACCAAGATAAACCTACATATATATATCATTACCAACCATTATCCTCACTTCACCTTGCTAATTTCTTACTAATCAAGACAACCATCAACATAGACGTTTGATTTTGGGTCCGACCCGACTCGAATTAGTCAAGTTTCAGTTTTAATGAGCTCCATCAACAAGTTTTACAGATGGGCTTAGGCCCATTTTCAGACCATAAAGTACATACAATACAACGAAAGTTCTCCTTATTAATTGAAACAATGAATCCAACAAGCTAAAACAAACAAAATCAGTTCTTTTTTTTTGGGTTGTTTTATGAATTCCCAACAAATGGGGAAGTCAATAAAATTGCTTAAGACACTCCATGAGAACATCAGTGTGTTCAGGCTTTCCAGCAGAAACTCGAACATAACCTTTAAGCTCTTGACTGTTGTAGTGACGAACCATCACACCCATTTTCGCCAAATCCTCTTTCAGCTTCTTGGCGTCCATTCCAGATGTAACCTCACAGAGAATGAAATTCGAATGGCTCGGGTAAGGATTCAAGAAAGGAACTTCTTTTAAAAGCCCGAAAAGTCTCTCTCTTTCTCGTACCAACGCGTCTCTCACATCTTCCAAGTATTTTCCATTTGAAAGTGCTGCTAAAGCAGCTACTTCCCCGGCAACAGAGACATTATATGGCTGTTTTGCTCTCCACAGGTACTCGATTATGCTCAATGGAAACGCTCCATATCCAACTCGAAGTCCAGCTAAACCTGAAATATCATAAGAACTCTTAGATGCAGACTTTATATATGTAATTGTTTAGATTATATAGAGTGATAAACCCAAATTTACCAGCTCGTTTGCTAAATGTGCGGAGAACGATTAGGTTTTCATACTTCTTCACCCATTTCATCCTTGATTCAACTCCTGAGAATTCGATGTAAGCTTCATCTAGAACAACAAGTATTGGCATCTTTAGAATCTTCAACAGATCGTCCTCGCTGATGATACTGTAGCAAAAAGAAACTCGGATTAATCATGACGGACTACTAAAATGTATCTTCCTTTGAGTTGTTTAGAGTGGTGGTGTTTTACCTCCCATCTGGATTGTTGGGAGAAGTTAGGAATATGCATTTGGGTTTTTCTAGTTCTACAACTTCAGCGATGCGGTCTACATTCAAGCTGAAATCAGGGTTCCTTGGAACTGTGAAGCAAACAAAGACCAACATGTCTAAGACTATACACTCAGAGAGAGAGAGGAAAAATCGAAGAGAATGAAACATGTGAGATCATAAATCTTTCACCTTTAATGACACCTGCTCCATTCACAGCCGCATCAAACACATACATTGAGAAAGTCGGAGGGCAATCTATGATCTTCTCCCCAGGATCCAACACGCACCTGCAAAAAAAAAAACAGAGTTTAGTCAGGAAACACGGTTTTAGTGGAGAAGAAACTCAATTTACTGAAAAGGTCAAATTCCCTAGCCATACCTCATGATCAAATCAATTAGTTCGTCAGCGCCACAGCCTACAAGAATGTATTCAGACTCAAGACCAGAGTCTAGAGCGAGGGCATCACGAAGTCTACGACTTTGTGGATCAGGATAAACGTAAGGGAATTTCATATTGCCTAATGCTTCAAAAACCTACACAGAGCTTCTGAAACCTGAAGTCAGAGATGACAACTAACTACTAACTAACAATTTATCCTTTTTCCAATCATCAACATATCTATGAATGAGTGAAAGAAAGATATGAACTTGCCTCTGGAGGAGGACCATATGGGTTCTCATTAGCATCTAACTTGACAATATCCTCAGGCTTTCTTCCTAATTGAGCAGACAATACCTAATCAGAAACAAACAATGCACGTTTTAAAAGATAAAATCCAATCCAATCCAACCGTCAGGACAAGAGATAAATCCAATCTAATCATCACCTCAAAGGGTAAAATTGGCTGATAAGCAGCCAATTGTCTCAAATGTGGACGGATAAAAGAGTCTCCCATGGTTATGTTCTTGGATTCGTCTACAGATACACTTGAAGACTGAACACAATAAACCCTATTCCGGATTGAGCACGAGGGTTTCTTCAAAGCTCGAGACTTTCGAAGATTTGACTCTGAAGAATGAATAGAGAACGATGGAGAGCCCTGAACATTGATCACACCCATCAGTCTGCGCATATCAAAAGTCCAATCATCAGTTCAATCTACTGCAATTTCACATTCTATTGACAATCAATCTGGTTCTAAGGTATATACCTGAAACTTGTCAGGAAGAGAGGCAAATGGCTTTCAGTGAGAAAACCCTAAGGAGACGAGAAGGGTCGTGAGCGGAGACTAAAGTGACGGAGATCAGTCAAAAGCTTCGATTTTTCTAATGACCCACTTGTGATTTGTGGACAAAGTTGGGATTTTTTTTATTCTGAGTGACTGAGAATTGGCGAACCAATTTAGGGTTTATCCGAAATTGGATCCGTAACCCGGTTCTGAAGATTCGGGTCGATAGTGAGAGTAGGTAAGAGTCGTGCCGTTAGACTTCTTGACCTATAGAAAAAGTTTGCAAGTCTTCTAAGTAAGAGTATTCAATAACTCTCTTTTTTTTTTTTCATATGAAGAGATCACCTAATTTCTCTTCCAATCTGCCAATGATTCCGGAGATACCTATATATTAGTTTTGATTTTGGAAGATGATTCTTGGTGATCTTCATATTTTAGTCTTTAAACAATAAGCTTTTATGATTGAGACCAAAAACAAAACTCTACAAATTTTGACATATGGAGAAAACTAGTTGTAAAAGTTTAGGCAGGGGCGGTTCTTGGCATGAACCATGGGAGTAAGTGAACAAGACTCCAAACATTTTGACAATTTTGAAAACCCTTTAGATTTATTTTAGTATAATAAAAAGACCCCTAAAAGTTTTAGTATATAATAAAAGACATCTTAGACATAACTTTTGTATTCATTGGACCGCTCCTAATTTTAGATGGTACAAATCTTTCCAATCACACATTTAAAAAGTGATATCAAATAAACACAAATGGAATGTTTCAAATAGAAACTTAAAAGTTTTCGGGCGGTAAAATGATAAATAACTTTTACCTTCCTTTACTATTGCACCCTAATATTCTGACCCTCTTTCATTTTTCATATTGTAAATTCATACATATTCAAATCAAACCCCACGCAAGAGGCAAATGATTCAAGACGAGAAACCAAAAAAGACTCCAGATGTGTTATTAAAAATACTAGGACTCAAGACCCCCGCGATGTCGCGGGGGAATATATTACAAAAAATCGTTTAAAAAATATCAAACGAAAAATCATAATGAATTGTAATAATTTTGATTTTTTTAAAATATCAAATCAATATATATTTTACAAAAATTATGATAAAGAAAACCCTCACAAGCATTTATTAATTATATGAATATTAGAAAAACATTAATTTGTAACTAAAAAACTATTCCCAAATGCAAAAAGCATCAAATAATAAACCAAAGGTTACAACGGTTTGATAAATAAACCAAAATATTCAACGCCAAATAAACCAAATGCTATCATGTTAAATTAAACGGTGACAATAATTTATTTAAATATATTTTAGTAATTAAATATTTTTTACAAAATATGACAAACTTTAACCGAGAGACGTGACCGTAGATATCAAATATACCAAAAGCTGCAACGGTTCGTCAAATATACCAAATATTGCAATGGTTCATCAAATATACTAAAGATTACAATGGTTTGTAAAACAAAACCAAAAGTTGCAATGATTCGTTAAATAATCCAAATATTGCAACAGTTCAATTAAATAGTTACAATCTTATTTAAATACATTTTAATAATTTATGAAAGATTACACCGACGGTAGATGAATAAATGTTATAAAGATTTATAAAATAAACATAAAGTTGTAATTGTTCATGAAATAAACTAAATGTTGCAATGGTTCTACTAATTAAGGATGGGGTTTGCCTATTATCATCGTAGAACAAATAATCGTTGTAGCAGGACAAAAAATTGGAGTTTCGAAAAGAAAGACAATATATAGAGTTGAAAATGCACGATTTTACAACTATTCGATAAGTCCATTACGTAGACGAACCTGTCCGTTACAGCTTTAATGTGTAGGGCTCATTTCACTCACGTATGTCCAAAATTATTTAAACCTCTATATTATTGTTTTTCCATGATATCACGTAAATGTTAAATGAATGATATAATTAAGGAGGTTATACTACAAAATATATCCATATGTAAACTATGAAATAAAACCAATTTTATATGTAGTTTATTGGTTTACGTAAAAAGAAATTCAATAAAACAACATGACCGTACAAAAATAACTGTAAGAAAAACAACCATAAATATTTAAACGAAAGGTTGCAATAAAAAGATACAACCGTTCAGATGTGCAAATGGTATTTATTGGAAACGACATAACCGTAAAAAAATAACCGACTAAAACGAAAATTGCGATAAAAAGACGCAACCAAAATAACCGTAAAAAAATAACCGATTTAAACGAAAGGTTGCGATAAAAAGACGCAACCGTTCAGATGTGCAAATGGTATTTATTAGATTGCTATTATATATAGATTAGGACCCTAAAATTAATTTTTGTGAACCACTCAAACTACTAATAAATCTTTTTCAGACAATTACAATTTTCTCCACAAAAAGCCCCGTAACTTATGAATTCTACAAAAATAACCCCAAAATTCACAATTATCACGGTGGAGATCGATCACCGTGGATGAGTTTTCACCGGCGATCTCTGTGACGAACTTCGCAACACAATAAGCTTCTTCAAAACCCTCATCAACACCAACACACTCAGATTCGTCTTTTTTTTCGCCTTCTTCGATAACTTCATCCCACACCCCACGGCCACGGCAGAGCTTTCCTCGGAAAACAAAGCCGTTTTCTTCTCTCCACCGTCTCCGCCAGGTTCAATCCTCAAACTCTGGCTTCTTGGAGGCAATTCTTCGTTGAGATCTTCCCATAACATATCCATTTTCTCCTCTTCTTTGTCGTCAATCCAACGACTTCTCATCTCCACGTACGAGAAGCTCTTCCTCTGATCATGATCATCGTCTTTTCCAATGAGTAATCTTGCTAAACCAAAGTCGTAATCTTTCCGGCGGAAGGAATTAACCGGCGAGTGTTTCCACAAAGGAGGTGAATCGAGACCAGAATGGTGAGAAGGATCATGAGAAGCAAGCGATGGGAAGCTAAATTCTTCAGAGGAGACACTGTTCAGAGCCATTTTTCTGAGATCAAGAAACCAAATTAAAAATTGTTAAAAAGAAGAAGAGATGACCAAAGAGACAACACACAGTTTGTGTTTTGTTTTGTGATGTTGGATTCGTTACTCTGTTTTTTCTTTTCTGCTTCAACTGCTACAACAAGTTCTCTTTTTTATGTATTTTATTTTATTTCTTTCTCTAAGGATTTTAGGAGTTGCAGATGCAGAGGAAGATTTTTGTTTATTCGAAAGAAATCTATAATTATGGTAACAAATTAAAATTTTGTCTCTATTGGGTCTTTTTTATTAAGTTACGATATTTATAGGCGATTTTATTACTCAATAAGTCAACTCTACTTTTCTTTTTTAGGTAATATATAGTTCATAGCCTTATACACGTATTCCTCTGTTTGTAATGCAAATCAGATTTAACTTTATCAATTTTTACCATGATCCAAATCAGATATCTGAAAGTTGAAATTTTATAAGTTAGAGATTTTATGCTATTATATAGTTTTGAATAAATTGGTTTTGGATTAGCTATAAGATAAGAAATGTGTAAAAAGAGTAATGAAAGTGACATAACGCAGTTTCAGTTTGACATCTCATCTACCGGTGGAGTGATTGATTGAGGAAAAGATGAACATAGAACGTTGTCACTATCTATTATCATCAATGTTATAACTCCACCTCATCAAATTACTATTGACTAATAATAAGACGTGTGTCTCGTCAACTTTCAAAGTCTCCATTTCTTGTTTTTCAAAGGGTTTAAACCAACCAAGGAAGAAAAATAGAAGATTCAATATTAAAAAATGTGCAAATCTTGAATTGAAGTCTTTAGTTATAGATGCTTGTAAGACCAATTTAAGCAAAACCCATCTCTTGTTTATAAAATTTTGAATGTCACAAAAGGGTTTACGCGTGGGTGTGTGCTAATGGCGTGTGCTTGAACTCACAGCATATTTACCGATATTGGAGAAGAAGATGATCTCATCTGAGATCTCGTCCTCGTTGCTCCTCTATCCTTCTTCGATCTTCTTGAACAATTTGTAAGTGTTAGACAGAAACATGATCCATGTTCATAGTAGGTCGAGATAAGGAAAAGAGGTTGATTCTCTGGCTTGCAGTTATCGCAGTGAACCAGAAAACAAAGCGAAGAAGCTTTTAAGGTGACCGGAGAGATTCTTGGCGTCTAAGTGGAATGCCTTCTTCCTCATTTATATGCTTGCTTATCCGCAACGGTAATATTACCGACGAACCTGCAATAAAATAGCGAATAACAGTCAGTTTCAAGCTCTCAGAAACTCCAGAGGGATACAGACACTTGATGTTAAGAATGTATGGATCCAACAGATGTCAATCCTTTTGTAAATCACCAAACTATGTTTACCAAATTCTAGCTAGGAGTGTGTACATAGATCTATATACATATAGTATGCATATTCTTGTCCTTGTACTTGAAGAGAGAGTAAGAGTAACTTGAGATTTCTTTTCATATCTGCATACGATTTTTTCTCATTGAATGCAAAAACACTCGAGCTCTTGCCAGTCACAAAAACGTGTCTTCCAAGATGGGATAAAAAAGAAAAGCAAATAAGTGCCATAAATGAAACTAAGGAACGCACCCTCGACCATGTCCTTTGTTCTGTGGAGAAGAAAAGTGCCTGAAAGTATTGTAACAAATCCACACATTTCTGTAACAATTTGAGTACCGTTTTGTCGATCCCAGTCCTGTTCAAAAAAAACTCAGCAATTTGAATCATGTACCGAAACAACACCCTCATACAACTATATATACATTTTGTGAGAGAAGAGGGTACCTTAAACATGATGACACTGGCCAAAATAGTTAGAGATGTAAACATCACGTAGTATATAGGAGATACTATAGCTGTATTGAATGTATCAAGAGCCTGCAAGTTAAATGCAATTCCTTTAGTAACAAAGGTAGACAACTAAACCCACAACGAATTCTACAAATCGATTATCCTGAAATCACTTAATTAATAGTTACCTTGTTTAAGTAGTTCAATTGGGTTATCACACAGGTAAGTACGACCAAGGTGAATATCCATGTTTGAGGATAAAATAACTGATTTGTTCCTGAAAATGTCAGCTTTAATGCTATTCCAAGTGCTTTTACACTCATGACCTGTTAACATATTTGACAATATCATTTTCAGTAAAGTGAATTAAGATTCTTTTTAAAGAAATATAGGATTACAAACTGGAAATACCAAAAACTACATACCGATAATGATCCCACAAGCGAGCAAATACCAATATAAACCATTACGTTTGTTTGCCCATATAGGGGGACAAAACGGATAATGAGAAATACAGCAGCCCCAATTACCATACTCGCATAGAACATAAATGCTGCAATTAAACTAGATGAAGTTAGAAACTTACAATGGAAGGGGGGAAAAAATCGTGAGATGGTACAAAGTACTATCTCCCAAACACTAGAGTATCAGAGTCCCATCAAGCAACGCACCTGGTTCTGTTGCAAGATTCCAAACTTCAATCACAGAATCAATTTCTTGTTCTTGAGGGGCATGTAAGACAATAGTTGTGGAACCCACAACACATAAGGCACAGCCAAGAATTCCAAAGATGTGTAGTTTTTCCCGTAATATAATATGAGCTAAGACAGCACTGAGATTCAGAGAACAAAGCGTATGAGAAAGAGAGAAAAATCACCGATTTAAGCGTATATAGAAAACCATATAGAAGAGTGAGAGACATGGGCACTCTCGTACCTGATAATGATACTGACAGCACCTAGAGGAGTGACAAGTATAGCCGGCGCAAATGCATAAGCAGCGAAATTGGCAATTTCACCAAGTAACACTGAAAGAAGCAGAAACCAATGAGCAATAAATAAACCAACAACATAGTAATCAATCACTAAGAAAGAAGAATAAAAAGCAAACGCCAAGGAACAAACAAGACTCACTTGTCGTCATGCCGATCCACCAAAGAGGCTCGTAAAGATAAGAATACCCACCAACACCTACAAACACAGTCTGTTACCTTTCGTGAACCAAAGGAAACCTAAAGGAACAACATTTACACACAGTCTTGAAGCAATGTGGCTAGCTAACTGAATCCTGATAAGTTCAATTACAATTAGAGATCCCAAATCTCTTATTTGCTTATCGAGTTGAACATAATTCTGCACACTCTAAATCCACAATTCCAGCACCAATATCGAAACCCAGAAACCAAAATTCGATTTAAAGAAAGAGATTTATACCTGCCCTAGTGCCAGTGCTCGCAGCTTTCTTAAGCCCTTTCTTCTTAACAATGAAACTAGCACCAATGAACAAACTAGAAGACAACGCTAAAACCAAACCCTTGATGTTATCAGACGACATTCCTTTATAAGAATCTCGCCAGCTTCCACCAGATTCCGCCATTCTAACGCCAAATTCGAAACCTTTTTCCACTTTAACTTCGACCCAGATGAGAAAACCCTAGATTTCGTCAGATCGGAACTTCAGATGTAGAGATCAAAGCAGAAATCGCTTCTCCGACTTCTAATTCCTGTTTATACTCAAGGAATTCAGAGGTTGCTTGAACGGAGAAGCGAGATTTGAAATCGGAGATTGAGGGAAGAAGATCTTGTAGGTGAAGATTTGAGGACCAAAAAGAGAAACGCTGAGAGAGTAAATGACTGTCCCTACGGTCACTTTCCGGCGCCACCATTCCTTCTTTTTACTAAAATAAAGATTAAAAAAGATAAATGTCACAAAAATAAATAATATTTAGTTTCTTTTTTGAGATTTATCTAAATAATAAAATAAATAATACTATAAAATTTCAATTTTGGTTTTCCATAGCTTTTTTTGGTCAATAAAAAAACAAAAATAAAATTAAAAAAAACAAGGAAACTCAAAATTTTAAATTTTATAGTATATTTATTCCTTAGCATTTTAAGCCTAACTACACTATTTTATCAATGCAAATAGTACTGGCATTGATCAGAGACAAACTTATGATTGATGTATGCAATTTTTTTTAAACTGGCCATTTGTGCTTTAAAACTTGTAAAAGCCAACAAATGCATCATTTTTTTTTTTTATCATCTGGTTTTATTGATAGAAAACATGAAATGAAACTTGAAATACAAACTTAAGCCGGCGGAAAATATAGATATCCCCGGAGTCAAGTGCCCAAACGAGGGAAGCTAAGCCCGCGGACGAAAGAAAAGTCCCGGAAAACATAAGCCGGAGGAAAACGTAAATTCCCCGGAAACTAAAGTGAGAACGAGGAACACTTAAATTACCAAGCACAAAATGAAAACCCTAAATCAAAAGAGATTGCAACCTAAGTCTGAGAAACAAAGCAACAAGATTTTAACTTTAAAAGAGACGCTAGCTCAAAGCAATAAATCAACTTCATCTTCTGGAAATCCTAAGAACGAGATTTATCAATGATGCCCTCAGCAAACCCAAAGATAACAACCACTTCCTCCTATCAAGATGAGAGCCGACCTCTCGAAACCAAGAACCAAAGACTTACATAACCCAGCAAGCAAGAGACAAGATGAACCTCAACCACTTCCGGATGCGACGACGATAACGACATAAGCGCCACCAATTTACGCCTAGATAGAAGTCTTCAAAACGCTTTCAGATCCCTACCCGATCTGCAAAGCAAAGACAAGGAGCGAAGCCTAACCACTCGAAAAAACCCTTCTCACGAACAAGAACACCATTAGATCGAGCCAGCTATCATTCACCGTGAAATCCACCCCGAATCGGAAAATCTGTAAACTTTGAAACTAGCATCAACTTCAGACAAATCAAAGCAACTGGAACAAACCAGAAGGAAACAAAGGCTGAACCAAGCAGAGAAAGAGCAAGCGGAAAGAAGAAGGCATGACGGAGACTAACGAGAGACCACCCCCAAACCACAACGACGGCATAAAGACGATGAAAAACACAAAAGCATACACGGATCTAAGACGAGGAGAGCAAAGAGACTGGAATTATTAAACGAACCACACCGTGGATCTAACAGATCCGGCATCAACCTCTCTGAAGGAACCTCGAACCAAGAAGATCTGACTACCCTTGACCGCTTCCGCAAAGACCACCCTTTCACAACCCGAATTCACCAGCAACTCTCCAATCGAAGGCCAAAATTCTGTGAACCAGACAACAACAAGCTAAATCAAAGAGGGTACCGGCGCCGGCGCTTAAGGAGCCGCCCAACACCGGCCATCGGAAGAGAAACGGTGTTTTTTCTTCTCTGGTTTTTCGTCTCTGGCTTTCTTTCTTTTTTTTTTTTTTTTTCCTTTTTTTACTTTTGTCCAAGAAGTGATTGGCGCCAACAAATGCATCATATATATACATGTTACAGAGTACAGACTATAAATTATTTATAAATTTGTCTCTTGATAGAGGAATTTGGTAAGTGAGCCAAGCTTAAAGTTGGATTGTAAAAAAAAAGGGTTGGATTCAAGCCCGACTCAAATGGATTCGAGTGCAATGGCTCATGGGCCAAATCTCTTTAACAAAATAAAATGACATTAAAAAGCCTGAAAAAGTTTTCACAGAAAGGGTTCATGTTTTGAATTTATTACATAAGAGGGCTCAGATTTTATTTTCAATTTTACTTCAGACTAAAATAAATAACAAAAGTAAAAAAAAAAAAAAAACTAAAGAACGGGTAAATGACAGACGACCCAAGGTTTATTAGATTTTCTCACTTCATCCTTTTTTTTGTTGGGTTTTCACTTTTAGACAACACTATTGTATTTGATGGAAATTCATAAAAAAGGACTAGTAAACTAATGGAATCCCATAGCCCCTGACATGGCTGGTGCGTCCGCAGGCGGTGAAGGTAGAACGGTTAACGCTAACACTCCACTAATCGCAGCCGCAATAGCTCCGACCACAAATGAAGGTAGGTTTCCACCGCCGAAGTGAGCGTCCAATGGTCCACTTGAGAATGATACTATCATTTGTGGTATACAAATTGCTATATTTAAAACGCCTAGAGAAAGTCCTGTAGAAAGAAACACGGTTTTGTTAACTTCAAATTTAAATATTTATGTTACAAAATAAAATGTCTATGTTTCAAACATTAGGTGCATGAATGATGGAAACCTATGGATAATTAAAAGATAAGAACAGATTACATAGAGATCTCAATTAATATAATTAAGTTAATAAATCCCACCCTATTAAATGTTATAGATAAACTTGTAGATATTATCCACATAAGTAGAAATGAATTTGAAAAAAGTTACAAAGGAAATATTTTTTTCTCCCATGCAATAAAGGAAAGAATTACTTTTGAATAGATAGATACAATAATGCACAAAATTGGAAACATAATCTTTCAATTAATTATTCAAATCAAACGTTTGAAATCAATAAATGCTAATATAACATTTTCGGTCCCACATTATCAGAATCTGACCATTAGATTTGTAACTTAACATTTTAAATAAATCAAAATTACCTTGGCCGGCACCGGAATTGGTTGAGAAAATGGACGCTAGTGCAAATGGAACACTGTAAGTAATCTGTCATAATAATAACAAAAGAAAAAAGAATCGGTTACAAACCTAAAATTGCAAAGAAAACAAAAAGACAAAACAAAAGTGTACTTACGGCCAATGGGATACCAAGAACGGTAAAGAGACTAAATACTCCGGCTTTAATACCACTGCTCGGTCCGGCCAAAGCACCGGCGGTTTTCCGGTGTTGCTCAGCCGATTGCGTAACAAGAACCGTCATGGCCAAACCTATGGCGAGTATGAAATTGACACATCCCCAAAGTCGTTTAGCTCCTCCCATTTTCCGACCAATGGATTCAACACCAAGTGACACGAAACCAAGAAGTATAGAATTAAACATCAATCCCAATGCACCAGCCTGAACTCCTTGGTCGTAAAGTTTCTTGGCTTGCTCATTTCCATCTGAATTGCCACCGTACACTTCACGACCCATCCAATCGGTATCGTACAAAAGAAACGGAAACCAAGCGATCCAATTAATAACCGTGACCATTAGAAGCATCCACATGGGACGTTTCATGACTCTGACAGCTCCAAAGATTTCTCCAAAGAAAAAAAGACTTGATGTTTTCTCTTTCTCTCCATGTGGCGGAGACCATTGTTTGTCTTTAACGTACCATAGAGACGAGAAGGTGAGGATAAGGAGGAGAGTGATGGATAAGAAGAAACAAGTCTTGAGATTCGCGCAATAGACATCGCAAGCTTTTGTCATTGTGAAAGGAAACATTTTGTGAAGGTTAGTGTAAGATCCAGCAGCGTAACCCAAAACGTTTCCAACCGCCATAAAAAAAGAGAAACATGCGTTTGCGACTCGCGTTTTTTTAGCGTCTCCGGCGGCTAAATCGGCTAAGAAAGCACGGCATGGTCCTTGTAAGGTGTTGTTAGCCACGTCAAGGACCCAAAACCCGGTAAGGAAGATTATAATGGCTCGAGTCCTTACCTTGTCCTCGAGTTTATCTCCAAAACTATGTCCCATATCCGCTGCGAATCCGATAAGGAAAACCGAGACGGCTACGAGTACGGCTCCGGTGGCGATGAAAGGACGACGGCGACCGAATCTTGACTCGCATCGGTCACTGTGGTAACCGACGATTGGTTGAACAATCATGCCGGAGATAGGACCACAAAGCCACATGTAAGACGACCATTTGTGAGGGATTCCGAGAAGTTGTACGTAAGGAGTCAGAAGAGAGAGCTGTAAGGCCCACCCGAACTGTACACCGGCGGCGATTGAAGCCACGGAGATGATCTTACGCAGCGGAGATGGTTGACCGAGATCTTCCGGTGACGACTGCGTCTCTAACGTCGCCGCATCGTTGGCGGCTCTTTCTGCTTCCAAGGCTCCCATTATGAAAAACACTAACAGACAAAAAGAAAATTTTAGAGGAAAGAAAAAGAAAAGGAAATTTGTTTTTCTTGTCTGCCTTTCTATCGATTTTTTTTTTTTAAAGTGAGGATTTAGTTTTGTGATGTAGGAGATGAGACATTGGAGTTGTATTTATAAGCGAGGAAGAAGATTATTTTCCAGATAAGAGACGCAGTTAGAAATCTCATTTGTGTGAGTGCATGACAATGTGAGGACACGTGGCAGTTTAAGACATTAACTCCTTTTTGTTTTGTTTTTTTAGTTGACTAAACTAGTTGTTTAGAAGAATAGGTAAGGTTTATTATTTAATGAGAGCCCTTATTTTACTAGTATATACTGTATTATTTTTATATTTTATTGGTCAATATTTGATTTATTTACATATTTAGATGACAAAAAAAAAATATTTGATGTATTTACATGAGAATTCAAATATTTATAAGTAATTTGAATTCATAAATCAGTTACTTAATTCACAAACAAATATCAAATTAATTAATTTTAAGAAATTTTATTTAATGGTTTTTTTTTTCAAGACATCTTAAGTAATTCAGTTACCTAAAAAAAAAGTAAACTTATTCAAAGTTGTCCCCATCTAATTCAAAAAGAAGTGCCATAAAAAGAGATTTTAATATCTCTAGTGTGATCATTTGGGATCTTTCTTGTTTACCAAAAAAAAAAAACGTTACGCACAATGTTTAGTGCAGGCCAAAAAAAAAAAAAAATTCTATTTCAAATTAAAGTCAGTAAGAAAGAAGGGTGAAATATTATTAGACGGTCGGTTTATTAGATTTCATCGTTTAATCAATCTTTTCTTTTATTTGGGTTTTGCACAATAATACTATATTTCATAAAAAGGAAACCTGACTTCAAAGCAGTGAAGATAAAACAGGTAACTTCAATATTCTACTAATCGCTGTTGTAATTGCTACGACGATCAACTCCGGTAAGTTTCCACTGGAAAGATCCACTTCCAAGTGATACTATCAATTGTGGTATCACAATTGCCAAATTTAAAACTCCTTAAACAAAAGTCATGTACAAAATGAATCCACGTTTTAAATTTAAATATTCATGTTTCATACATTTTTGGTAAATTGCATAAGGGGATGAAACCCATGGATTATTGCATAAGATATATGACCGGATTACAGAAAGATATCGAATAATATAATTAAGTTAATGAATCTCACCATAATAAATTCTGAGGCTGAACTTGTAGATAAGATATTATCGACATAAGGATTTTGAAGAAAAAGAACCTACAAAGGAAATTTGCCTCTCCCTTTTAATTCTTGGCAACAAAGGGAAATCTACTTTAATTATATATGGAATTAAACAAATAATTATTCAATTCAAACGTTCAAACTTATCAATGTTTTTTGGGTCCAAAACTCCAAATTAAGAGATTATTATTTTTCGTATAAGAAATACAGTTAGCAAGTTAAAAAATTTGACTCTTGAAAGACGAATTTGGTAAGTGAATCAGAGTTTAGCCGATAATCCGTTTATTACAAAGTAAACAAGACATTTGACCAAAAATAAATACATAAACAAACAAGACAAGATTTATTTCTTCGGATGTGTAAATTAAAGTGAGAGTATCCAAGGTGATTATCAAAAGACTGGGCTCATACACCTTTAAGAAGAGTATTGATCGAGGCCCAATTATAAAAAGCCTCAAACTTATCCAATCATTGAAAATTTGATGTATCCAAAAAAACTATTTAGCCCAAAGGCCATCATTCTTGTTTTGATCGTTTGCAAACTTTGCACAATAGACTGTCCTTTGTTGCTTTGCTTTGATTTGATGTGTCCTGATATCTAATGACTTGCCAGTTGACGAAGTCGTGACAATTTAGTCCGAATTGTGCAAAATGGGTATGGAGTCAGTCTATATATGGACTACCTGTTCTTACTCATCAATCATCATTAAGCAGTAGGAACATTTCTTATATGTTTGGCAAATACTGACAAAAAAAAAAAACAATTATGGAAAAAATTATATATAAAAATATGTAAAATGTTGGTTCAAGCCTAAATATTGTTGATCAAAAAAATATATCATTTTATAGTATCATAAAAAATGATATAAATATATACGATAATGTATGATCTTCAAAAACTTAGGTTGTTGCCTAGTAATAAATCACCAGGTTGTTAATTGTCATTCTATGGTAGAAACATATACTTTATATTATAATAAAGTGTGTTTATAACATACAAAATCCCATGTTGATTAGACTAGTTGTTTACAAGAATATTTAAGGTTTCTAATTTACTTTATAGGTCTAAATTTGATGTACTTACATGAGAATAGTTTTAATATACTAATAAATGTTTAATATTTTATAAATCAAATTAATTATTTAATGGTTATTTTTCTCCTCGAATAAAGTTATTTTATTACCCAAATCATTCTAAACTATAAAAATTGTTCAACTTATATTCCCTATGTATAAAAGAATTGCCATAAATTATTATCAGAATTTCATTTTTTTTTTCCTGAGGGAAGAGGGAATTTTTTTTTCTCTAGTTGGATATTTGTTTTACCGAAGCAAACAGTAAAAAACTGTACTCAACACACAAATCTTATTGAAGGGCCAAAAAAAAAAAAAAAACACATTCTATTTCAAATTAAAATAAGTGACAAAAGTTTAGAAAAAAAAAACTAAAAAAGGGTGAAATACAGACGACCCAAGATTTATTAGATTTTATCATTTTATCCATTCTTTTCTTTATTTGGGTTTTGCAGTTTTGAACTGTAATAATGTATTTGATGATTTTCATTAAAAAAAAACATAGTAAACTAGTGGAATCCTCCCATGGCCGTTGCCTTAGGGGCATCCGGTGGCGGTGAAGGCAAAACGGTTAACGCTAATACTCCACTAATCGCCGCTGCAATTGCTGCAACGATAAACGCCGGTAAGTTTCCACCGCCGAACAGGGCGTCAAAAGGTCCACCTCCAAGTGATACTATCATTTGTGGTATCACAATCGCCAAATTTAAAACTCCTAAAGAAAGCCCTGTAATAAAAAACAAAAACAATTTAAATACTTATGTCATAATTGCATAAAGTGGATGAAACCAATAAATAATGAATAGATATCTAATTTAACAATTACGGTCCCACAGATTTGTAACTTTAATCAAAATATATAAATGTTTACCTTGGCCTGCACCGGAGCAGCTTGAGAATATGGACGCTAGAGCAAACGGAGTACTAAAAGTAATCTGTAAATAATAAAATAACGAATCGATTAATGTTAGTTTAAGCAAAGCAAAAAGTTAAAAAAAAAAAGACAAAACACAAAAGTGTACTTACAGCTAATGGGATACCAAGAACAGCAAAGAGACTTAAAGCTCCTGCTTTAATACCACTGCTCGGTCCGGCTAAAGCACCGGCGGTTTTCCGGTGATCCTCGGCGAGTTTAGTAACGAGAACCGTCATGGCCAAACCAGCGGCGAGGATGAAATTCACAATTCCCCAAAGCCGTTTAGCTCCTCCTAATTTCCGACCAATCCATTCAACACCAAGTGACATGAAACCAAGAACTATAGAATTAAACATCAATCCCATTGCACCAGATTGGACTCCAAGGCTGTATAGTTTCTTCGATCGTTCATTTCCATCTGAGTCTCCACCGTACACTTCACGACCCATCCAATCAGTATCGAACAAAAGAAATGGGAACCAAGCGATCCAGTTTAAGGCTGTGACGATGAGAAGCATCCACATGGGACGTTTCATGACTCTGAAAGCTCCAAAGATTTCACCGAACAAAGGAACGCTTGAGGTCTTCTCGTCGTCGTCGGAGTTTCGCGGCGGCGGAGACCATTGTTTGTCTTTAACGTACCAAAGAGACGTGACGGTGACGATGAGGAGGAGAGTGATGGATAAGAAGAAACAAGTCTTGAGATTCGCGCAATAGATATCGCAAGCTTTTGTCATTGTGAACGGAAACATCTTGTGAAGGTGAGTGTACGATCCAGCCGCGTATCCCAAAACGTTTCCAACCGCCATAAAAAAAGAGAAAAACGCGTTTGCGACTCGCGTTCTCTTAGCGTCACCGGCGGCTAAATCGGCTAAGAAAGCACGGCAAGGTCCTTGTAAGGTGTTGTTGGCAACGTCGAGGATCCAGAACCCGAGAGCGAAGATCCCTATAGCTCGAACTTTTACCTTGTCCTCAAGTTTATCTCCCATTTTATATCCGAAATCCGCAGCGTAACCGATGAGGAAAACGGCGACAGCGACGAGTGCGGCTCCGGATGCGATGAAAGGACGACGGCGACCGAATCTGGACCTGCATCGGTCACTGTGAAAACCGACGATTGGTTGAACAATCATGCCGGAGACTGGACCACATAGCCAAATGAGAGATGACCATTTGTGTGGGATTCCAAGGAGTTGAACGTACGGAGTCAGAAGAGAGAGCTGTAAGGCCCACCCGAACTGTACACCGGCGGCGATGGAAGCGACGGAGATGATTTTACGAAGCGGTGATGGTTGATTGAAATCTTCCGGCGACTGTGTCTCTAGAGCCGCCGCATCTTTAGTTGATTTTTCTGTTTCAAAGACTCCCATTATCAGGAAGAAAAAAAAAACACACGAATAGACAAAATAGAAACTTTAGAGGAAAAAAAAAAGAAAAGAAAATTTGTTTGTTTTCCTTTTTCTTTTTTTTTTGGGTTTTTTTCTGTCTTTCTCTCTGTTTTTTTTTTTTTTTTTTTAAGTGAGGTTTTTGTTTTGTGATGTAGGAGACGAGAGAATGAAGTTGTATTTATAGGCAAGGAAGAAGAAGAAATGAGATTTTAATTTTTATTTTCAATTACACTTGGAGATGATTATTTTTCGGATAAGAGACACAGTTAGAAATTTTAATTGTGTGTATGGCAAGGTAGGGACACGTGTCAGTTAGGACATTAACTCTCCTGTTCTTTTGTGTTCTGTTTTTACGGGGATTTAATTGGTTTTGCTTTTTTCTTGCATCAAGTGACTTTGACGTTGATTCAATTTCTCTCTCACAGTTCTTTTTTTTTGTTCAACTCTTTTAAAAGTTCGATATTCAGTACCGTTTTGTTTTGGCTAAACAATAAAGTTTCT